CAGTGGCTGCTGATCTCCCCCAACAATCTGAGGAAGCAAAACATCATCTCTTTTTGATGCTTGAGGATCCCAGGGAACCCCAGTGACTGACATCAAAGTTTCGGCATCATATCTGTCGTCAGCACTCTTGCGTCGAATGCTTTGCACAGTGAAAACACCTGATGCATTTCCCACTATCTTCTCAGTGGTATTGTCTTTGACTCCCAAGAAAACTCCTTGGTGCCATCTTTGTTCAAACTTGTGACCTCTTTTGAGGAATTCAATTGTTTCCCCAAATGGTGGTAATGACACTCTCCACTCACGACCACGGTGTCTAGAGTACGGTGTCTTCCCATCTTTGACTTCCAATGATCTGTGAAACAAATTGTAAGTGGTGCTAGCATGTTCAACCAACCATGTCAAAACTGGGTGGTCGTCTGGCACCTTTCTTCCATAGCTTGTCTCCAAGGCACTTCTGAGTGTCCTGGATTGAGATTCAATAGCTTGAACTGCTCTTTCAATTTCCCCTTTGGATTCTGAGACTCCTTTGGGAACTTTTTCCAAAACCAACTGTTTGTCAAAACCATTCTTGGCTGCCTCAACTACGGAGTTGAGTGCAGGCTCTGGGTCATACCTCATGACCATCTTGGGGTACCCAAACTTCTTAAGGTCATTCAAAAGACACTTAGATCCAATAGGACCTTGGGTAACTCCCTTGTATGGCAAAACGTGTGCGTAGGTCAACTTGGACCATCGATCATGTACTATCAAAACTGGTGCATGCTTTTTCTGCACTTCTTCTGTGATGACAGTGTCATCCACTGAATTCATGAAACAATAGTCAGCTGAGATCACAGGAACTGTTTCATCTGAATGATCTACTTTGACATGTCTCATTGCCTTTGCCTTACCTCGAATGCAATGTTCACACCAACTCCTAAAAGGATAATGGCTGACAAAATGCTCTTCTTTTTCTCTCTGCGTCGGCGCTGCTGCAGTTGGTAGCGCTTGAGAACCTAGCTTACTACTGCCCGGTTCATCATCTCCACTACCTGCGCTCTCTGTGGTCTCCACAGGACTTACGCCTTCAACCCTTCTGTGGGCTGCCCATGAAAATCCATGGCTATCTTGAAAACTCCTCCAGTCATTGTGATTGGTACCTTCTTGGCTCCCCTTTGCAGGAACGATCCTTTGGGGCCGAAGGTCACTGTCCAGCCTTTCTCAACCAGCTTGGACACAGATAGCAATGGCTTTGCAACATCCATTGCCCGGAACTGTCCCACACCTTTGACTTGTGGGCCTCCTTTCTCACCCATGGTCACTATAGGGTTGCACACCCCATGCACCTGGACTGGCTGCCCTGATGCGTTGGTGAACGGCTTCTCATCCACAGGTGTCATAGCCAACTCCAATGACTGTGCCAATTCCTTGGGTAGGCAACTGGTTGCTGCCCCTGAGTCAACGGTGGCCCAGACAATGGTATCCACCTGAGATGCCAAACTTCCCAGGAAGTCGAGGTTGGAATCAGATCGAACTCCTCCTCTTGGTGAATGCTTCCTGGGCTTGGGAGATGGCGTTTTCTCCCTCTTCTTCCTGGCTTTTCTTTCCATGTAGTTAGCTGCATCACGCACCGTCTTCTCCAGGAATCTCTTGGTGCCCATGCTGAACTTTCCCCTGCCCTTGGACGCCTGGGCTGAATCAGCCCGGCTGTCCTCAGGCGCTCTCGATGGGGATTTGGACTTCAGCTCGATGGGTGCTCTGGGTGCCTCTTCTTCTTCTTTCTTTTCTTCTTTCTCTTTCTCCTCGACCTTCTCTTTCTCCCCTGGCCTCTTGGGGATCTTCTTCACCTCGGGCTTCACTTCATCTTTGCCCTTGTGCCTGAAGCGCTCGTAGTGCTCCTCAAAGCTTTGCTTGCGCTTCTTCCTTTCTTCATCCTTGGCAATCACTTGGCGCCTCTTCTCATCTTTGGCTTCTGCATCATCCATGGGGCGCTTCTGGGATGATTCTCCTTCTTCTCGTGCCTCTCTCTCTGCCTTTACCTAACGATGTTCTTTCTTCCAAAACTCCAGGGCATACTGAGGATAGCATTGCTTGTTCTCCACATGTTGCCAAAAGCTTGCAACGCTCATGGAGTTGAGTGCCTTTCCACATGACTGGCACTTCACATAGGGATACCCTTTGTTGGAGACAGTTTTGCACTTCTCATGCAACTCCTTGAATGGAATGGGTCTTCGAAAGGAATTCTGCCAATGCTCGACCACATCCTCCATGCCTGGTGCTGGCTCCTGGTTGTAGGGCAAATCGTCTGGATCTGTCTTATCAGAAGATCCTAGGTCAAGAACTTCACCATAGGCTTTCTCGTAGGCTTCCTTCAAGACGTTGTCCAACTTGCTGAGGACTTCAGGATCGGTTTTCAGCTTTTCAAGTCTGCTGACAAACTCATATCCTTCAGAGGAAATGCTCTCCTCAGAGGAAATCTCACACTTGTCATGGATCCATTGTGGGATCTCATCCTTGCTCATCTCTTTCATCTTCTCCTTATTGGCCTTCTTCCTTGCTTCATGTGCTCTACGTCTGTCAGACCAATGACGTCCTCCTCTGTGGCGCTTAGGTTCCAGCTTTCTTGCTTTGGGAGGTTCAGGAAGATCTCCCATGTCATCCTTGTCCCACTTGTCAGGGTTGGCCTGTCCAAAGGTGGCCAACTCATAGCGCTTGAAGCTGGATGCTCTTTGTCCAGCAGTGGCTGCTCGATGACTGGCAGCTCTCTGCCTGTCCTTCTCCTTCTTCTTGGCAGCTCTTGGATGTACTCCAGCATCAAGGTCGGCTTGCATCCGACGAGAGGGTGCAGCCGGTGCTGAAGCAGCACGGCCTTCTGCCCTCACTTTGGCCATTGCCTCTTTGGCCTCTTTGTGATGCTGGGCTGCCTCTTTCTTCAACTTGCCCAGGGCTTCTTGGCGTTCCTTAAGAGCTTGATTTGCTTGACGCCCTTTGTCCTGAGCTTCTTTGACAGCGCTCTCAGCCTGAGCAGTCATCTTGCCAAACAGCTCCTTGTTAGACCCAGAAGCTGATGCCAAAGCGCTCTGAGCCATGACGATAGCGCTCCTGGTCACAGTGCTCCTTGAAGGTGCTTGAAGGTTTGCTCGTCTTGGGCTTCGACCACGACGAGAAGATTCATCTCGAGCTTCAGACTTGGGTGGCATAGTGTCTTCCAAGGCAAACAGCGCAGTGATCTCTGGTTCAGGTTGATCACCAGATGATGCTGCAGGTTGTTGCTCTTGAGCCCAAGTGTCAGACTCAACATTAGCAACTTTACGACCTTTGCCTTGATCCCCTTTTCCTTTACCTTTGTCTTGACCTTTCTTACCTTTGCCTTTGCTCTTGGAGTCATTGGTATTCTGTTTAGACCAAGACTGCTGATTCCAAGATTGATTGTTCCAAGACTGATTGTTCCAAGACTTGTTGTATGAATTGTTTGACCAAGACGAAGACTGACTCTTTCCTTTGTCTTTACCTTTGGACTTACCTTTGCCTTTCCCTTTATCATGTTTTCCTTTTCCCTTACCCTTAGCAAGGGAATCCACATCCATGGGAACGGCTCCTGACTTTGCTTCTTTCCTGGTCTCGACGTTCTCAAGGTAGGCCAAAACTTCAGCTTTCACCTGGTCATACGTGGTCAATCTCGAAGCCTGCAAGTCCAAATGATCTTGCAACTTGTTGGGACACATCTGCTGCAAGCAACTCCTGCAGATGTCATCTTCAAGTGGTTTCTTTCTCCTGTCTTCGTACTTTCTTTTCAAGTTCTCCCAACTCTCAAGCCCTTCTCGAAGCTTATCAAGACTGCATTGACTTGGATGCAGAACCTTTTTCAACAAGGCTGAATTGGCTTGAGGATTTTGAGGATCATATTTGCACAACAGTCGTCTCATGGCTTCTAGGCCAAAGTGGCTACCACGAGATGTGTTCTTGACAATTTCCAACGCTTCTCCCTCAGTCAATGATATGAGGGCTTGTCTAGCCTGAGCTGAAACTAGCTCGGCGCCTTCATCAAAGTCTACTTCTAGACTTGACTCAGTGATCTCTTTGTCACACTGAGATTCAACTTGTGCCACAATCTTCACAGCATTCTTGTGGCAACTTTCAACCCATGTCTTAAACTTGTACCACCAACTATCCCAAGTGCCTGATGCTCCAGTGAACTTATCAGGTTTGGGTATGCCTTTCAACTCTGATCTGTCTTTGTACTCAACAGACCTCTCAACATTTCTGTTGATCTGTAGCTGCTGGTTCATAGCCTCGGTCATTGCCTGATTCAACTGCGCCTGACCCTGAGTCAATTGGGCCATCATCTGCATGATCATCTGGGACATGTTGGGACCGTTGCCTTGTGCTTGTGGTGGTGCCGGTGGAGTGCCTGGTTGCTGAGGTGGCTGCTGTTGCTGAGCCATCCTTAGTCGTTCTTCAGGTGCTTAGAGACCTGGTTCAAGAGAACCCTTGGATACTGTTGGAGATGCACTCCCAGGTTATGGAAGTACCTTTGGAGTTTCCTGATTTTCAGGAGCTTGAGTGTCAACCTTTTCCAGTTGGCACTGTGTAGGCGCGCCAGAGCTGATGCAGCTCGGCGTTGACACCTACACATTCACAGCCGGGTATCAGAACCTCAGCTCCGCTACCATGAACAGAGAATTTGGGCTCTTAAATCTGATGAACACTCCTGAGCACTGATCAGCACCTTTTACTCAGTCAGCTCGAAGGTAGCTGAAAGCACTAAAATGGCTGCAGCACATATACAAACATATATGCTACATGTGACATAGTCTACACTGTACACATATCTGATCAGCTAGGTATATATATATATATATATTATATTGTATATACAGTATATATATATATATTTGACATATCTGCTTCCACCATCAGAACCAAGCACTTGAATTTGGATTCCTACTCGGTGCTTACACATTTTGCCAAATCAGAAGGAAAAATATCTGAAGAGACCCCGCAGAGGCTGAGGATGCGGCTGGCCCTGCCTTTCTTTGTGATTCAAAATACGTCGCAACAAGTCCTGCCCAAAGCCTGCCTCAGCCGATCCGACGTTTGAAAATAAATCGACATCTCTCAGCATGACGCAAGTGTTTGAAGGATTCTTCAGGAAGTGAGTCGACATGAGTCGACATGAGGCTATGGCATGTCTGGCCCATGGCATCGACTCATGGTTTAGGTTGAAGTTTCCACAGTGCACAAGCAATCTGGACTGTAGGCTGAAGAATTGCAACAAGGACTTCTCCAAGGGATCACTTGACTCACTTGGAGAGTAAGAGGGGGGGCTGAACATAAACCATGATGTCCTTAGGAGTGTGATGCGAGGAGTTCTTAGTTCTGGGAAGCTGAAGGGTCACTTTGGAACCATGAAATCCTTGAGCATGCAAACACGAAATGCATAGCAGCATACAATGGGTCGATACGGGCTGCTTTGACTTCCAAAAGCTGAATTGTGGATTCACGGTGGATCCAAAACCTTGAAAGATCCAGCACATCGGTCCTAGTTTCGATTTTGCAGCGACGCCCCAAACATCAGCACCGATGCTAGCCTCCAGGCCTTGGCAATGCTCGCATTGCGAAACTCAAAATTCATCTCTCATGAGACTCATGAGCTACTTTTTGATCTTCTTGCGGAACTTCATGTCAAGGTAACTGAGTGGGCAGAAGTCATCGTAATTCATCTTTGTGAAAGGACGGGCATCAGCACCAGATGCCATCATGAAGACATGGAAAGCCGCCCGGTCACAGAGGAAAGATCCTTGGGACTTCTGGCCAAAGATTGACGCAACAAGCTTTGGCACTTGATTGGCAGAAATCTGGAGGGTAGCAGCCATGCTCTTCGAAGTAGCAGGCGTCCTCCTGAGGCATTACAAGACCGGACCTGGGCCCTGGGGGGACCTAGGGACCTTGATCATGTAAAATGATGTAAAAGGATATTATTCATCTGATTTACGTAAATTCGCAATCCGAAACGTCCGAAACAAGATCTCTGTAAGGTACTCATCTTCAGGATCATGAGATACTTTGGATGCCACTGGGAGAAGCAGCCGCACTGTGTTCAACAGTTTGCTTGCCTTTTGCTCATCAAGCTCGTGACCTGGCCGTTTCAAGAGGCCCAGGGTGCACGAAAGCTAAGGTTCGCACGAGTCTAGAAACGTCATGGGATCTTGATATGTTCAGTACAGGACTGATTTCTATATCAACCAAAATGGAGAAAAAAAACATAATTTTCTGTCGATATTAAGCAAAGCGCCTTGTCTTTGAATGATCTGTGCGCCCGAACAAATATCCCTTGAAGACCTGGGGGGATTTAAGCCTATAACCATCTGGTTCTAAAACGGTTCAGAAATGCACAGGGAGCTTGGGGGGGAAGGGGCAAGGTGGTTTCACGTGAAAAATCACTGTGTTGGAGTCAGAGCTGCCCCTCCCTTGCTGAAGCAAGAGTAAACTCGAGCTAGCTACCGATTAGTCATTTGGAATCATCATCCCAGTCGTACGGTCAGGTATGGAAATAAGATAGTTATGCTAACTCCACATGAACCCCCGACTAGGTTTCAACATGTTCCAAGACTCCGCGAGTCCACGCCTTGGCGTCCAATGGACCAAATGATATGGGAATATCGGAACCCAGGGCCAATTCTTCCATCTCCGTTGCGCAGAGATGTTGGCTGTCCATCAAATCGACGTCTCTGGGACCACGACCACTGCGCTGTCTTTCAGCAAATGATGGAAAATGCCCTGTAAGTAGTGCTGAGCATCATCTGCTGCCAAGGCCTGCCGAATCAACATTCATATGAGTAGCGGAAAAAAAATATATTAAATTTAATGCCATGCACAAATTAGGGTCGTCCTCTATTGGTTGTGAGGATTTGAGTATTCCCGGAGTTACCGGGTTCATCCGGGTTCTTCAAAAAAAACAGCCATCCCATGAAGTACCACACCAGAGAGGTCATGCCACCCCCCGTCCCCCAATTCAATGTTGTCTTCTGAATTTTGTGTTTGGCGGCCTTCAAAAAAAACAGCCATTTCTGCTGATGATGCTCGGCACTTCCGATCACAACATTGAAGTTGGGGGTTGCGGGGGTAAGCAGGGTATCTCTGTGGTTTCCTGTGGATGGTTGTTTTTTTGGAAGAACCCGGTGAGTTTTTTTTGGTTCCGAGTTCATTTTAAGTGTTGTTAATATGCATGTGGATGTAGATCAGCACACATCCACACACATCGATGCGACAACATCAGCTTCTGAAATTTACGCATTGTCAAAGCATGCACTTCTGTAATCTGTGACAGCCCAAAAAAGGTGGATGCTAAGGGCTAACCATCAGCTTGTGAAATTTACTCAAGATGGTTGTCAAAACTTATTCTGTATAATATGCGACAACCCCACAAAGGTGGATGCTACGGGCCACCACGACAATGTAATATCCAAGGCGCTCAGCTTCCAAAGTCTCGCCCCTGCCACCTACAACTCTTGCGCCTGCCACGCTGTTTTCTACTTCCCCACTTCACGGCTGCCAATGCAACGCACGTGCAACACACATGCAACACACTCATGCAACACACATGCAACACGAGCATTTTCCCTGTAAATTTCCAAGCAAAGTGGCCGCGGGGGCAAAAATCTACACTTTCCATTCTAAGACCGGAGTTGGGGCTGCAAACGTCAAATCCTGCACGTTGACTGTAAATTTACAGGTCAAAAGCTCATGTTGCATGTCGTGTTGCATGTCGTGTTGCATGTGTGCTGCATGTGTGTTGCATGTGTGTTGCATGTGCGTTGCATGGCAGGTGTGCAGGATAGAGCAGTCACGCTCTCAAAGTGGTGCGCCTGCCACGCAGAACGACAGCCAGTGCACCCCACGACATTGCGGAATCAGGTCAAAAAGGTGTCAAGACTGTCGCTGCATGTATTTCACTTAGCACAACCCATATTAGCACATATGCGCCCGCGCAAGCAAACAGACACACCCACACACAAACACCCGCCCAAACTGATCCCGATACTTTCTCTGACACAGTGTCGTCATCATTTTCGCGTTTGTCCGCAGCCATGGGTCCATCCTATTGTGTCTTTTCTGAGTCCGTGAGTTTTTTTGGTTCCGAGTTCATTTTAAGTGTTGTTAATATGCATGTGGATGTAGATCAGCACACATCCACACACATCGATGCGACAACATCAGCTTCTGAAATTTACGCGTTGTCAAAGCATGCACTTCTGTAATCTGTGACAGCCCAAAAAAGGTGGATGCTAAGGGCTAACCATCAGCTTGTGAAATTTACCCAAGATGGTTGTCAAAACTTATTCTGTATAATATGCGACAACCCCACAAAGGTGGATGCTACGGGCCACCACGATAATGTAATATCCAAGGCGCTCAGCTTCCAAAGTCTCGCCCCTGCCACCTACAACTCTTGCGCCTGCCACGCTGTTTTCTACTTCCCCACTTCACGGCTGCCAATGCAACGCGCGTGCAACACACGTGCAACACACATGCAACACACATGCAACACACATGCAACACACATGCAACACGAGCATTTTCCCTGTAAATTTCCAAGCAAAGTGGCCGCGGGGGCAAAAATCTACACTTTCCATTCTAAGACCGGAGTTGGGGCTGCAAACGTCAAATCCTGCACGTTGACTGTAAATTTACAGGTCAAAAGCTCATGTTGCATGTCGTGCTGCATGTGTGTTGCATGTGTGTTGCATGTGTGTTGCATAAGTGTTGCATGGCAGGTGTGCAGGATAGAGCAGTCACGCTCTCAAAGTGGTGCGCCTGCCACGCAGAACGACAGCCAGTGCACCCCACGACATTGCGGAATCAGGTCAAAAAGGTGTCAAGACTGTCGCTGCATGTATTTCACTTAGCACAACCCATATTAGCTACATATGCGCCCGCGCAAGCAAACAGACACACCCACACACAAACACCCGCCCAAACTGATCCCGATGCTTTCTCTGACACAGTGTCGTCATCATTTTCGCGTTTGTCCGCAGCCATGGGTCCATCCTACTGTGTCTTTTCTGAGTCCGTGAGTTTTTTTGGTTCCGAGTTCATTTTAAGTGTTGTTAATATGCATGTGGATGTAGATCAGCACACATCCACACACATCGATGCGACAACATCAGCTTCTGAAATTTACGCGTTGTCAAAGCATGCACTTCTGTAATCTGTGACAGCCCAAAAAAGGTGGATGCTAAGGGCTAACCATCAGCTTGTGAAATTTACCCAAGATGGTTGTCAAAACTTATTCTGTATAATATGCGACAACCCCACAAAGGTGGATGCTACGGGCCACCACGACAATGTAATATCCAAGGCGCTCAGCTTCCAAAGTCTCGCCCCTGCCACCTACAACTCTTGCGCCTGCCACGCTGTTTTCTACTTCCCCACTTCACGGCTGCCAATGCAACGCACGTGCAACACACATGCAACACACATGCAACACTCATGCAACACACATGCAACACACATGCAACATGAGCATTTTCCCTGTAAATTTCCAAGCAAAGTGGCCGCGGGGGCAAAAATCTACACTTTCCATTCTAAGACCGGAGTTGGGGCTGCAAACGTCAAATCCTGCACGTTGACTGTAAATTTACAGGTCAAAAGCTCATGTTGCATGTCGTGTTGCGTGTGTGTTGCATGTGTGTTGCATGTGTGTTGCATGTGCGTTGCATGGCAGGTGTGATCGTCAATGAATGTAGAAGTTTAACGGGGCTGGGAGGAATTAAACCCTCATTGAAGATCTTCAAAGAATGTAGAAGTTTAACGGGGGCTGGGAGAATTAAACCCTCATTGAAGATCGTGAATGAATGTAGAAGTTTAACGGGGGTTGGGAGAATTAAACCCCCATTGAAGATCGTCAATGAATGTAGAAGTGTAACGGGGCTGGGAGGAATTAAACCCTCATTTAAGATCTTCAATGAATGTAGAAGTTTAACGGGGGCTGGGGAGAATTAAACCCTCATTGAAGATCGTGAATGAATGTAGAAGTTTAACGGGGCTGGGGAGAATTAAACCCTTATTGAAGATCGCCAATGAATGTAGAAGTGTAACGGGGCTGGGAGAATTAAACCCTCATTGAAGATGTTCAATGAATGTAGAAGTTTAACGGGGCTGGGGAGAATTAAACCCTCATTGAAGATCTTCGATGAATGTAGAAGTTTAACGGGGGTGGGAGAATTAAACCCTAATTGAAGATCTTCAATGAATGTAGAAGTTTAACGGGGCTGGGAGAATTAAACCCTCATTGAAGATCGTCAATGAAGGTAGAAGTTTAACGAGGCTGGGAGAATTAAACCCTCATTGAAGATCGTCAATGAATGTAGAAGTTTAACGGGGCTGGGAGAATTAAAACCCTCATTGAAGATCTTCGATGAATGTAGAAGTTTGAGGGCTGGGAGAATTAAACCCTCATTGAAGATCTTCAATGAATGTAGAAGTTTAACGGGGCGAGGTAGTGTTCAGAGGGGGTCGCTGGCTTGATCTTCGAAGATGCAACATATATTCAAAGGGGGTGGCGGGGCTGATGTCTCAAGGTGCAACGTATTGTTCAGAGGGGGTTGGGGGTTGATGTCTTGTGAGGGTGAAGATGCAACATAGTGTTCAGAGGGGGTTCCAGGGCTACTGTCTCAGCTTGTCCGGTGGCTTCTCGGCTTCTCGGCTTCCCCGGCGGCTTCTCGGCTTCACGGCTTCTCGGCTTCTCGGCTTGCCCGGCGGCTCCTCGGCTTCGCGGCTTCTCGGCTTCTCGGCTTGTCCAGTGGCTTCTCGGCTTCTCGGCTTCTTGGCTTCTCGGCTTGTGCCGGGCTTCTCGGCTGTCTCGGCTTCTCGGCTTGTGTCGTACTTCGCGGCTTCTCGGCTTCTCGGCTTGTGTCGGGCTTCTCGGCTTCTCGGCTTCTCGGCTTCTGGTCGCATTTCTGGGCCCCTTTTGCCCGTGCTTTGAGATATATATATATATATGAGTACAACATGGAATACGCCAGTCATACATGGATTACACATGCGTTCTTAAGCGCCTATGAAGGTGCCCCCCAAATAAGAAAGTGCTTTTCCGTCAGGGAAGGCAAATCTTAACCACCAACAACCACGATTCGAAGGGCGAATCTTGATCTGAAGCAGCTATCATTGGGTGGGTCACAAACATGGTGGATTTAATCAACCCCTTGATATTGTTCATGGAAAGCTGGGATAAACCGATTAACCCAGATCCTAATATAGTCTCCTTATGCATGCTGCATCTACAAATGAAACAACGGGTCCTGCCCCTGTTCTCCCCTGGCTTGGGGTATGACTTCGCCAGGTGAAGCACGCTGCGTTTGCACCCAGGGGTCACGAGGGCAGCACAAGAAAAACAGGTTAAAGAAGATGATTAAAACTAAAGCGTTGACACTCATCCAGAAGAAGGCTCTGGAGGTCTTTGTTACCAGCCCTTTGGTCTATATAGTCTCATTGCTGGCCCCGGTTAAAAAACAAACAATCAATATATCAATGTAGGCATCGTTTCCTGATGTTTTGTATAACGTTGTGCGCCATACTGTGTTAGATTGGTATATGTAAGGCAAAACATGGGAACTCTGATTTAACCTACCCTTCAAACCACAGTGTATAGATGCTCGCTTGACTCATCAATCGCTTGTAGATGACATGTCAATAAGTCTACTGCACATAGTTGTGTCATGTCTTGTATCTAGGAGCTCATCAGCGGTGCGGCATTCTAAGTATAATTTTTTGCACCTTCATATTATTGTGGTATTGCCGGCGGTGCCATTGAATACTTGCTTCAATGTGAGAGGAAATTGGCAGGCATTCTACGTAAGTTGTCAGAATGCATATTGCTATCGTCATTTAAATAAGCTGAGTTGGTGTCATTGTTTCTATGATTTTCCCCTCCAACCAAAAGTTTTGCGGCGTTCTTACTGTCTTATTTTGGTTACGCCCGCCCCTTTTTGGCTAGCCCGCGGGCTGTTTGCAGGGAACACCTTTTCAAATTGGCATTCTAAGTTTCAATGCTATTATATACACCTATCATAACTACAGTATAACCACGGTATAGTATAGTTGACCTACGTATGTCAATCAACTTGGCTCAGGTAAACTGGGACTCCTATGCTCCTACTAAGTAGACACATTGTCTCCCCGCCTGCCAGGTGAGGGTCTCTAGATTCTAACAAAGGTGCAACTCCGCCTGGACCCGAACTCTATTGTGAGCCCCGGATGCTGTGGGCCACGTCTGGACCCGAACTCTATATCGCAAGCTCCGGATGCAGTCGGCCATGCCTAGACCCGAAATGACTCGAATACTCGCCAGAGAGAATGCCAGACAGAATGTCAGAACATATGTCCGATAGAATGCCAGATAGAAATGAATGCCAGACAGGATGCCAGAATATATATGCGAAATAGGATGCCAGAAAGAATGACAGGTAGAATGTCAAAACATGTCGATAGAATGCCATAAAGAAAGCCCTAAAGAATGCTGGACAGAATGTCAGAATAGATGCCAAAAAAGAATGGCAGATAGAAATGTCAGAATGGATGCCGGATAGAAGGCCAGAATAGATTTGCCAAATAGAATGCCCAGAAAGAATGTCAGAATAGATGGAAGCTAGCAGCTAGAGTGCCAAATAGATTGCCGGAAAGAATGTCAGAATATATGCCTGCAGCAAGGATGTCAGATAGAATGTCAAATAATTTTCCACAAAGAATGCCAAATAGAATGTCAGCGTATTTGCCAGAAAGCATGTCAGATAGAAAGTCAAGACATATATGCCATACTTCCAGATGGTATTTCAGAAACTATGTCAGAATAGTGTGTCAGGGTTTGGATCACTCGAAGAAATTTGGTTCTTACCCTGGGCTTCTCCGAGTGGCGAAAAATCCGCCATCTGAAAGGACGAATGATCTTGTCCAAGTTGTCCAATGTCTCGCAGTTGCCCTGCAGCTCTTCGTCCCAGCTCTACAACGCTGTTTAAACTTCGATAAATTTAAAACAAAACCATCCCCACAACATCGAACAATGTTGTCTGTGCTGGAATGGCGACAAATAACGGCCATGACGCATGCATTCATGGGCTGGATCTGTGCAAAATAATCTCGCTTTGATTCTTACCAACTTTCTAAATCAACCCGTAGAAGGTCTTTTTTTCGCCAGAAAGCATGTCAAATGGAAAGTCAAGAAATATATGACATACTTCCAGATGGTATTTCAGAAACTATGTCAGAATAGTGTGTCAGGGTGGGGATCACTCGAAGAATTTTGGTTCTTACCCTGGGCTTCTCCGAGTGGCGAGATTTTAAGACTCCGCCATCTGCAAGGTTTGAATGATCTTGTCCAAGTTGTCCAATGTCTCGCAGTTGCCCTGCAGCTGTTCGTCCCGGCTCTACAAAGTTGTTTGAACTTCGAAGCTGGTAATTATGCGTAAAAAAATGTTTTTGTTTAATGCAAATGATTTCAAATAATGGACTAGTGATGGGATAAGCTTTCTACCAAGTGATGCAGTATTTCGATATTAAAACAAAACCATCCCCAAAACAGCGAACAATGTTGTCTGTGCTGGAATGGCGACAAATAACGGCCATGACGCATGCAGTCATGGGCTGGATCTGGGCAAAATCATCTCGCTTTGGTTCTCACCAACTCTCTACATGAATCCACAGCTAATGTTTTTTGACAAAAGGACTGGGGTATGATTTTGGGGGCCAGCCGATCCTTCTCAGAAAGGGTTGGAATGAGGCAAGAATTAATTCATAAATGTAAATATGCATATACGTATTTATATATATATATATACACATACATATGAATATAATATATATTTATATGTATGTGTTGGTATATGTATATGTATATGTATATGCATATGTATACGCATATGTATATGTATATGTAGATGTATGTGCTAATGTAGATGTGTATGTATGTGTAGATGTATATGCATGTATGAATGTATGCATGTATGCAGGTTTGCATGTATGCATGTATGTATTTGTATATGTATGTGTATATATGTATGTATATATATATATGCACACATATATATATATATATATATGCATATATGGGGGTTGTCCAAAATTATGGTACCCGAAAACGCCCTTACGCTGCGCTTTCGCGAACCTTTCGCGCCTTTTCGCGCCCCAGCAGAATCGGGACATGAGATTATATATATGATCAGGTTTTCGTTTACTTATAGGTTTATAAGTATAATGGTATTCAGACCTTTCGCGAACCTTACGCCGCCCTTTCGCGGCCTTTCGCCACTGCAGCAAAACACACTCGGGTACTAAAAGCCTTGCATGGGTTTGAGGACGACTCCCATATATGCCCGAGGGAGCTCAAATTCTCCTAGGGGATGGGATGGGGTGGGGCAAAAAAAATGTTTAAGTACACTTGCACACAAACGTGATGCTATGCTCGCACTTGCGCACGCGTGTCATGCTACGCTGAGGACGTGCTACGTCACCAGGACTCATGACTCATGCCTGTGCTGCAAGCGCTGGCCCGCTTTAGAAAATATGCAGAACGTAGCTTCAAACGTAGGTCTTTGCAAGCGCGCCGTGGGAAAGTTAAAAAGGAGGTCACACATCGACAGCAGCAAACAACAGAAGAACAAAGAAACAAAGGAAGCACATACAATAAACCTGACTATGAAGATACAGCTCGGTTGGCCAAGTTACAAAACACTGCAAATATCAATAGAACAACTGCGTGTCTCATCTTGACTGGTAAAACCCAATAAATTTAGCGTTTTTCAAAAGAAAATGGATATATACGTTATTAAAATCGCGGGCCGGGGGAAATCAGCAATTTGACAATATAGAGGCCCCAATGAAGCGTACATGTTGTATTTCAACTTCAACGGACGAACAAAAATTGTCCGACGAACATCAATTTCCAAGAGGACAACCATGTGTTCAAAAATGAGTAAGTTACCCCAGCAAAGACACAATATTGAGTTTCATTGAACATTACAAAAAACACCAAGAAGTGAAGTATCGGGGAACTGGGCTAGTGTATATATATATATAATATATAACCATATAACTATATAGGAGCCAAGGGTGCAACCAGCAAATAGGTTTCCTGTAACTGACTAAGAAACACCAAGCAACAATAAGAATCACCCAAATATTGAACGCCCTCCAAACAAAACCTTCCTGACCTAGGGCTCTGAGGCTTCGGGGATTGCACAGATCCCCCATATTATAGATTATAGAGACTCTATATACTGAATTCAAATTTACGCTGAAGTAACCTAACTAAGATCCCACAAATCAACATAATTACTGTAGTCCCCGCCACATTCGAGTTGGAAGATGACTTTCTATTTTCAGGGTCCATGTGTTAATTTACTGGAGGATTTTAAAACCCCAAATAGCCAAAGCGAGGCCTATCTAGATAGCTAAGTTGGTGGGAAAAACTAAACTGACCACACTATGGTTTATGGAGGATACACCAACTATACAACTACAGTATTCATATGGGTCATAAACCAACAAACCAGCCACGTTTGGGTACACCCTTGCTGTGCGCTTTCCCCAGCGGATCTCCAACTAGGACCAGCCACGTCGGCGGCAAGGTCTCGTGCCAAATCCTCTGGGCGCCGGCCCTTGGAGCTCTTCTGACGCGGGTCGCTGCCAGCAATCAGCAACATGTTCACCTATGGGAAAGGGGGTGCTCCAGACACAACAACATACAACAACTCTCAAGATTTTTTTTGGAAGAATCATAGTTGAGATATCTACAGTTGGATTGATTTAAGGAGCCAATTTTTCGGTGATTAATATGAAAAGGGACTTTAGCGAGCCAAGATAATGATTTCTGCGCAATGTACCACCTGTGGGATCATTTCACGACTCGTACCTGGTTGTAAAGTATGTGCGGGGAGACTTTACCCAGTCCAGTTATTTCAACAGGTTGATTAACCAAGATTACCAGCCAGCCACTAATGACATGCTCCCGGGAGGGAAGACTTTTGGTAGGTGTTCTTTTGTAGATTACTTTCCAGTCTTTTGAACACCTACCAAAGTCAAGTAAGAAACCCTATTTCTGTAGATTACCTTGTCTTTTGGTATGTGTTCTTTTGTCAAGTAAGACATTGAGATGGAAAAACAACAATGAAGATTATCCTCCGAACGGGAAACAGTATGGACTTCCATATAGAATTTGCTAATCTAAGCGCCGAAAAAAAAACTCCCAAAGGACTGATCATCACATAGGATGGAACAATTAGCAACATGTTCTATTCAGGATTCAGCCGCCCCTCAATTAACTGTTGTAAATATACCTGCCATAAGCTGAACCTACATATCTCAGCCAATTTTAGTGTAAACAAATCAAGTATATCAACTATAAATTCATATGCATGTAAAATCATGTAAATAAAAAATATATAGATATATATAACATAAGTAAAAACATTCTATATATATATATATGTAAGTGAGTAGCGGTCAAAACTTACTTGTTAAATTTAATGTCATGCACAATTAAAATTTAGGGTCATCCCCTATCGGTTGTGAGGGTTGAGAACTCCCGGAAGTATTACAAATGTCGTCCCCTATCGGTTCTGAAGGCTTTGTGCAACCTCAGAAAGGCCAGGGCGAATCAAGACTAAATTAGTAGTACACTAATTTTGCCCATTACTCAAATACCCATAGGATCCATGTATGCCATATATGGTAACATAGATCCCACCAATATACCCCATGTTAGCATATAAACCAGCACCATGGATCCTATGGGATATACATACATCTGGATTTTGTTGAAACATGTTGAAACCCATCTGCGGACCGCCACCGAAGCCGTCATCGAACGAATCGTTCGCCAAGGTACCATCTCTGCATCGTTCTCCAGCACAGCATAGTGCAGTGGGTAGAAGGTTTCGCGACGGAACCCTGAGTTTCCACGGAAAGTGGTCCCCTGTTTACCTCTGCTAAAGTGGTTCACTTAAATATGTAGGCTACACCTGTAACCCTGAAACCAGTTACAGACTGGCTTATTTCATGCTATACAACTAGTTACAGGAGATATTTCATCCCATGTGTTAGTGTAACTGCAAGAATCGGGGGTAATGTAATTAGATATATTTTAGGTATATTCTGGAAAAATCACCAAAAATGCATGCGCCAGATTTCAGGTTCATTTAGGAATTGATTATGGTTCAGTTCCGGTGCGTTTGGTGTTTACTTAGGGTTGGTTTAGCGCAAGTTTGGTTTCTGGTGTTTCTTTCGGGTTGGCCTGGGGCTTGTTTGGGATTGTTTTAGGGTTTGTTTAGGGCTGAAGGTTTGTCTAGGGCTGCCTTCGGGTTGATTGAGGGTTTACGTTTTTTGAATTCTTTTGGGCGGAATTTTTTGCTGTAAGTTTTTGCTTTATTTAGGTTTTGTTTAAGAAGTTCATTTGAGGTTGTTTGTGTGTTTGTTTAGAGTTGGTATGGGATTTGTTCAAGGTGGTTTTTAAGATTCACTGTAAGGTATTTTGTGTCTCTTTACGGTAAATTTCAAGTGCTTTCTACAGTTGGTTTAGAATCTAGAATGTTGATTCAGGGTTTTGTGGTTTACTTAAATTTGGTTTTGCATCCCCCTGCACATTTACCCCCCTGACCCAAGGCAACCATTTTGTAAGGGACCCAGGAGTTAACCTTACAAACATCCATGGTTAGGGGTTTACAAAATGGGCTGGGCACCAGGCTTGGTGTGATTCCCCAGCAAACACCGGTGAACCCCCAAAAAAATCAAAAATCGGCTCCTTACAAAATGGTTGCCCCAAGTTAATTTCCAGGCCCCAAACCCAATCATCTTATAAGTTTGTGTCTTAAAAAATGGTTTGTTTGGAAACATGTCTTACTTGTACAAGTCGAACTTTCCCCAGGGAACCTCGCAATTTTTTTCCCAGTCCCCAAAGTTTGGAAAAAAATCCCAGAAAGTTTGATATCACCTTTTCTGGTTGGTTGACTTAGTGGTGTCTTGCCGGTTCTTCACACATCAATGGTGGAACCCAAAAAAAATTAGAGAAGAAACCCTGGTTCCTGGACATGGCCAAGATTTCAATACCCTTTTTTGCACTGCCTGAAATGAACCCAAAATTGCGTTATGAAATGATTGGCCCCGAGTTCATTTTGTAAAGAATGTTGGCTCTTACAAAATGATTCGGCCAGCAAAAAACACGCTTTTTACAAAATGGCATGGTTGGCCAGAAAAATGTCCTTATAAAATGCCTCCTTTTGTTAGAAAAATGCCCCTGGAGTGGAACATGGGTCAAGCCATTTCATAGTGGAAATGTACACAAGGATGGTTTTGCTTGATTTATTCCCCACCTGCTAGGTGAGGGTCGTTAGATTTTATCAGAGCTGTTCTCCTCCTCCTCCGCCTCCTCACCCGCCGCCTCCTCCTCGCAGTCCAGATCCCAAGGTGGGCACAGCCGGACCTCAACCGCGAGCTCCAGATCCCAGTGGGCACTGCCGGACCTCAACCGCGAGTTGCAGATCGCAGTGGGCACTGCCGGACCTCAACCGCGACTTCCAGGTCGCAGTGGGCACTGCCGGACCTCCACCGCGAGCTCCAGATCCCAGTGGGCACTGCCGGACCCCAACCGCGACTTCCAGATCGCAGTGGGCATTGCCGGACCTCAACCGCGACTTCCAGATCGCAGTGGGCACTGCCGGACCTCAACGGGAAGAATGTCAGAAAAGATGTCAGATAGAATGTCAGAAGATATGCCAGATAGAATGCCAAAAAGAATGTCAGAAAGAATGTCAGAAGATATGCCGGACAGAATGTCAGAAGATACGCCAGAAAGAATGATAGAAGATATGCCAGATAGAATGTCAGAAGATATGCCGGATAGAATGCCAGAAAAAATGTCAGAAGATATGCCAGATAGAATGTCAGAAGATTTGCCAGAAAGAATGTCATAAGATATGCCAGAAAGAATGTTCTGAATGCCACAAGATATGCCAGAAAGAAAATCATAATATATGCCAGATAGAGTGCCAGAAAGAATGTCAGAAGATATGCCAGATAGAATGCCAGAAAGAATGCCAGAAAGAATGTCAGAAAGAATGTCAGAAGATATGCAAGATAGAATGTCAGAAGATATGCCAGATAGAATGTCATGGTGGGGATCATTCGAAGTGAAGTAATTGGTTTAAGTTGTTTTTTGAAAATTTTGGCGTACGTTTTTTGAGGGTTTATTCCCCACCTGCCAGGTGAGGGTTGTTAGATTTTATCAGAGCTGTTCTCCTCCTCCTCCTCCGCCTCCTCTGCCTCCTCCGCCTCCTCACCCGCCGCCTCCTCCTCGCAGTCCAGATCCCAGTGGGCACAGCCGGACCTCCACCGCGAGCTCCAGATCCCAGTGGGCACTGCCGGACCTCAACCGCGAGTTGCAAATCGCAGTGGGCACTGCCGGACCTCAACCGCGACTTCCAGGTCGCAGTGGGCACTGCCGGACCTCAACCGCGACTTCCAGATCGCAGTGGGCACTGCCGGACCTCAACCGCGACTTCCAGATCGCAGTGGGCACTGCCGGACCTCAACGGGAAGAATGTCAGAAAAGATGTCAGATAGAATGTCAGAAGATATGCCAGATAGAATGCCAAAAAGAATGTCAGAAAGAATGTCAGAAGATATGCCGGACAGAATGTCAGAAGATACGCCAGAAAGAATGATAGAAGATATGCCAGAAGATATGCCAGAATATATGCCAGAACATATGCCAGAAGATATGCCAGATAGAATGCCAGATAGAATGCCAGAAGATATGTCAAATAGAATGCCAGAAGATTTGCCAGTAAGAAAATGTATAAATGTCATGGTGGGGATCACACGAAGTAAAGTAATTGTGGTTTATTTGGAGTGGGGTCATGGGTTATTTAAATTTGCTAGGGTCGATTTGAATTTGGTTTGTGTTTCTTCAGCGTGCGTTCAAGTTTTGTTTAGGGTTTGTTTGGAGTTTGCTTAGGGTCATTTAAAGTTGGTTTGCGGGGTTGTTTGGGGCTGGTTTAAGGTTTATTTGGACATGATTTGAAGATTTCAGGTGTTTCTTTCAAGTTTCGTGATTGTTTTTAGGGGTTTAAGAGTTTTGGGTTTTAATATAAGGCTGGCTTTGGTTTGATTCAGGTTTCGTTTAGGATATTTATTTACGGGTTCATTTAGGATTTATATACGTAGCCTTTTGAGGGTTGGTTTCCGGTCTAGTTGCAGTTGGTTTAAGGTGTTTGTTGATGTTTGGTTCGGCTTGTTTATTTACGGATGGTTTGGGATTTTGTTAGGGTAGGTTTAAAGTGTTTATTTACGGCAAGTTTTAAGTTTGTTTGAGGTTGGTTCGAGTTTTCTTCACGGTTCGTTTAAGGTTTGTTTCGGACTGACTTAAAGTTGATTTAGGGTGTGTTTAAAACTGTTTTCTTTCTATACGTATATGTTCGGTGTTAACTTGGCGTAGGCTTATGGTTGTTTAGCTTTGGCTTTAAATGTTTTGTTTAGGGTTGGTTTTAAGGCTGGTTTTAAGGTTTAAGGTAGTTGGCTTCAGGTGTTTGTTTAGGGTTGGTTCAAAGTGCTTCTTGCGGTTGGCTTAGGGTTTCTTTAAGTTTGGTTTAGTTTTATTATTGTTTCCGGTTGGTTTAGTTTTTGTTTGAAATTATTCAGTGTTTTTTTGTGGTTTATTTAAACTTGGTTTATTGATTACTTAAGCTTGTTAAGATCTATTTATGCTTGGTGTACTGTTTCTTACGGTATGTTCAGGGTTTGTTTAGGGCTGGATTAGGGTTTGTTTAGTCTCTATTTAAGATTGTTTTACGGTGCTGTTTGGCCCTGGTTTGAAATTTGTTGAGACTTGGTTTCAACATTTAAGATTAAGGTTTATTTAGGGTAGGTTTACGATGTTTATCTCGGGTTGACTTATGCTTGCTGGCTGGCTGGCTATCCTCTCCCTCCCTCCCTTGCTTGTGTGCTTGCTTGCTGGCTGGCTGGCAAGCAGGCAGGCAGGCTTGCTTGTTTGACGGCTTGCTGTCCCCGTCCGTCCCTCGCTTTGCTTACTTGCTTGCTGGCTGGCTTGCTTGCTCGCTTGCTGCCACAGTAGCTTTGAGGATATATATGTTTCTGCAAAAAACACCCTGGGGAAATTGAAACAAAAAGGGGAAATACGTAGTCAGGGGCTCACCCCTGCCTCTGAAAAAAAGGTCCTCAAACAAATAGACAAACACATCCAGGATGTACGAATGATGAAACTTACATATACTTATCTCATAATGTCCAAGTTGCCAACTTTTTGACTATTTAGGGGCTTGCTATAATTCACCCACACTCCAGTACAACTGATTTTTATTGGATCCGCTCATCATCAGGGGGGCCATCTAGGGCAAAAACAAAGGGGATTAGATTTGTTTGTCTTTCGGATCGCACCAACCAACTGTTGAACGACCGCAGCGATCATTCAACTCGATGATGTCCCAAAAAGCCGTAGATACCAACTTACCTACTGCAGCAAACTAACATCAGTTCCACCCCCAAGGTTGATTCTCCTAGTCATATGCGATGTCATCCCGTACGTTTCACCAAGGTGACTCTGGTAAGTGTTTAATATGAAGGACGGGATGGTCCGCGCCCATGCGGCCCCAGCACTTTTCACCAAGCAGCGAAAAAGAAAACCTTGGTTGTTTGGACACAGAAAAATGAGACAAAAACGCACAGAATCATGGGAAACGCAACCAAACATGATGGAACTACACGAACCTTGCATTAACATAGATCAACTAAGGAATGCTAAATTTGCGATTTTGTCGTTCCATTTATGGCAAAATGATGTTCCATCAACCAGCTTTAATGGTCATATCCTCAGGTGCCGATATCCATCTGTTTCCTGGTTAAACTCCGCTTCTCCCCCATTCACAAGACGCTTCCGTGTGCCAAATAGTCAGCGATTTTGAGGTTCACAAGTTATATCTTGACATACCATATACACACATGATACACACATGTTAGATATAGTATACGCACACCCGTGACATCATGCCCTTTCATCTAGATATGCGAATATAGCCGCCGTGCAGCTGTAGGATATGTAGGAGATGTTCTTTACTCATGTGAAGGCAGCATGCATCATGTTGTTGATTGACCCATGCAGGGTTCCCCTCCATAAAATTGATGATCTGGTATTGAAATTGCACATAGTATCACATAATCATGAAAGTACCAAGGCGTTTGCTAATCCAGGATTGACATTTTAGCAAGTGCTCAAGCACATGCGGAAAAAAATAAAAATTATCCAAATCTGTGTTTTTCCAGTCTTTAATCCAGGGCTCCTCCCTGGAATGCGCCCATCAAACTGGTACCCGCATCACTTTGGGCACCCACCTAAACGAGCACACTGCGCACACTTTGGACGCTTAATTTGGGCACCCAATTACACATCACTTGGGGCACCCCATGGTGACGCTCTCACTGACAAGCACAGTATGGTGACACTCATTCCTATTCACCCACACGCGCGTCCACATGATGGCCAAGTGCGTTGGGGTGGGGTGGAGGGGATGTTGACGTTTCTTCACATTCGCGCAGGATGGTGACGTTCACTGACACGTGCACGCTACGGCCAAGTGTGGTTTTCTAGCATACCCTGCAATTACATATATATATATATATATTGAAAATCCAACCCCGTAGATTTTCAATTGGGACAATTGATTTTTACGACCATATTTTCAAAAAAATCGCACCTCTGTTTTGAAACATCAATTTTAATAAAAAACTTGTGTTTTGAAGTTTCAAATTCGATAGAAATGAGGTGAACTCACAAAAACACACATACTTACCACTTTAAGACCTGCTCTGTGTGGCCATTTGGGTTTTGCCATGGCTATTGAAGTTATACAATTTCCAGCCTAGGAAATCATGCCTTTTCCAACACAGCTGTTTTTTCTTACTACTACTACTACTACAACTACAACTACAACTACAACAACAACAACTACTACTACTACTGCTACTATTACTACTACTACTACTACTACTTCTGCTACTACTACTACTACTACTACTACTATTGTATTACTATAGTGCTACTATAGTACTATTAAAGTATTACTATAGTACTACTATAGTACTGCTATACTAAGTACTACAAAAAGTGCTACTATAGTACAACTATAATAGTAATACTATTTTAATACTACTAGTACCTGTACTACTTCTACTACCACCACTACCCCTCGCACTACCACTACTACTACCACTACCACTACTACTACTAATACTCCTGCTACTACTACTACTACTGCTGCTACTACTACTACTAGGTATAGGTATAGGTATACTACTACTACTACTACTACTACTACTACTACTACTACTAGTACTAGTACTAGTACTAGTACGACTACTACTAGTACTAGTACTAGTACTAGTACTAGTACTAGTACTAGTACTACTACTACTACTACTACTACTGGTACTACTACTGCTACTACTACTACTACTACTGGTGCTGCTACTACTACTACTACTACTACTAGTACTAGTACTAGTACGACTACTACTAGTACTAGTACTAGTACTAGTACTAGTACTACTACTACTACTACTACTACTACTACTGCCGCCACTACCACCACCCACTATTACTACTAGTACTACTAGTACTACTAATACTTCTGGTACTACCAGTACTACTAGTGAATACTAGTGAATACTACTAGCACTACTAATACTACTGGTACTAATAGTGTACTAATAGCGTACTACTAGTACTAGTATAGTACTACTTGAACTGCCAATACTACTAATACTGCTAATACTGCTACTACTAGTACTGCTAGTACAGCTACTACTACTGCTACTACTACTGCTACTACTAGTCACACTAGGCATACTAGTCATACTAGTCATAATAGTACTAATACTGCTACTACTACTACTACTACTACTCCTCCTGTTGCTGCTGCTACTACTACTATTACTACCTCTACTACAACTACAACTACAACTACAACTACTACTACTACTACTACTAATTACTACTAATTACTACTAATTACTACTATTACTACTACTACTACTACAACTACAACTACAGCTACAACTACAACATACTACAACTACAACTACAACAACGACGACGACGACAAAGACGACGACTACTACTTCTACTTCCTCTTCTACCACTACGACGAATACTAGTCTTATCCTTTCTTTTGTAACAAAATGAAAGCTGTTGGTAAAGACGTGCGAAATAACAATCATCAAATGCAACGACATGGGTTTGTCTGAGATAGGGTGCCTAAAATTCCAATATCTCATGTATGTAAAATATTATCTAAAATATGTAGATAGATAGCTAGATAGATTCTCCCCATTGACATCGCTATTTTGGGGATTATACTGTACACATGTGTATACTCCTGTAACCATGACTTGATGCAATGATCTTTTGGAGCTATGACTAGGCCAGCCGGCATGACATGATCGTCTAGCCAGCATGGCATGCCATGGTATTCGTCAAGTCACACCCTTCTGGCATTTGTGGCTCATTCACGTCCTTCAGCCGATTGCGTCGCATGAAGGTCTCCAACCGAGTCTGCGGCACAAGTGGCACGATGTGACACGCTAATGCCGGGGAGCTTGACGACTTAACCAGCAGCAGCAACGACGACGCCGCCGACGACGACAACAACAACAACAACAACAACAACAACAACAACAACAACATCAACATCAACATCAACACCAGCAGCAGCAGCAACAACAACAACAACAACAACAACAACAACGACAGCAACAGCAACAACAACAGCAACAGCAACAGCAACAACCACAGCAACAGCAACAAGAACAACAACAGTGGTCAAATCAGCAAGAATGTTGAGAAAACTGGCAAGTCTGGAGGTCTGTAAAGTCAAAAAGAACATGGATCAAACTTACAATAGATTTGATTAAACAAATCATAACAGCAGTACCGCGCAAGGCGTGGCGGAAGTTTCAAGGATATGAAAGTTATAGGAGAGGTTGGTTGTTGTGACGCAAGGAAGGCAGAGCGAACCCACTGACGGACCAAAAGGTGGTTGAGGTGTTGGAGCGGTTGCAGTGGTCACCCCACCCACAACCGCTGGATGTATTGTGGTGTAGTGTAATGTACTCGTAGTTGTAGTTGTACTTGTAGTAGCAGTACTAGCAGAATTAGCATCATTAGCAGTAGTAGCAGTGGCAGTAGCAGTAGCAGTAGCAGTGGCAGTAGTAGTCGTAGTGGTAGTTGCAGTAGTGGTAGTGGTAGTGGGTGGTAGTGGTAGTGGTAGTGGTAGTGGTAGTGGTAGTGGTAGTGGTAGTGGTAGTGGTAGTGGTAGTGGTGGTAGTAGTAGTGGTAGTGGTAGTGGTAGTGGTAGTTGGTAGTTGGCAGTGTTAGTGGTAGTGGTAGCGGTGGTGGTGGTAGTAGTAGTAGTAGTGGTAGTGGTAGTAGTAGTAGTAGTAGAAGTAGAAGTAGTAATAGAAGTAGTAGTAGAAGTAGTAGTAGTAGTAATGCCAACACCGGATTAATAACCCCCCCCCCTAGAAGGTAGGAGGTACCTTCTGGCGAGTTTTCTTGACTACCCGTAAATAAACGGCCCTGAACCATAAAATTCTGAACCATAAAACTTTGGATATGGCTTACGTCAATTAGATCTTAATAGAATTCCATTGGATTTGTTAAAATTTCATGGATCAGAAAGGTGGTTGATTAATCAGGGGCAAACCATGGTTATTATTAATGGGGGACATGGGCTCATGGGGGGTACCCTTTGGGAGCTATCCAAACTGATGTTTTTTATAAAGATTTTAATTAGAAATCGATCATTTGGGGAATAGTTGTTTTTTGAAATTTTCAATGATCAACTTAAACCTGAAGTATAACAATGATGATTAAAAAAAAGGTAAAAAACAATTGGAAATAAATAGAATTGGAAATAAAAAATGTTGGATAAAAAATTGGATTTCAGCACTGGTGGTTGATTAATCGGGGGTAGGCCCACCGGTTTATTAATCTCGGGGGACCACCTGTTTTTAAATTACATTTTTTTTTGGGGCAATGGTGGTTGATTAATCGGGAGGGGATTATTAATCATCACTTGACATTAGTAGTAGTAGTAGTAGCAGCAGTGGAAGTCGTAGTGTGGTAGTAATATGTGTTGTTGTTGTTGTTGATGATGATGTTGTTGTTGCTTGTAGTGGTAGTTGTAGTGCAGTGGTAGCTATAGTGTGGGTAGTGTAAGTACTGTAAGTAGTGTAGGTAGTGTAAGTAGGGTAAGTAGTGTAAGTAGTGTAGGTACTGTAAGTAGATGCAAGCAGCAAAAGTAGTGCAAGTAAATGTAAGTAGCGTAAGTAATGTAAGTAGTGAAAGTAGTGTAAGCAGTCTAAGCGGCGTAAGTAGTGTAAGTAGTATAAGTATGTATAAGCCGTGTAACTAGTGTAAGTAGTCAAAGTAGTGTAGTGAAGTTGTAGTTGCAGTTCTAGCTGTAGATGCTGCTGTTGTTGTAGTTGTAGCCGTACAAAAATCGAAGTATAGTGTAGTGTGGTGTGTAGTGGTAGTGGCAGTGGTAGTGGTAGTTTTAGTGCAGTGGTAGTGGTAGTGGTAGTTGTAGTAGGTGTAGTAGTGGTGGTTGTGGTAGTTATGGTAGTTGTGGTTAGCTGTAGCGGTTGTAAGGTGTGAGTGTTAGTGTTAGTGTTCGCTTTTTCGACATCTCAACTTCCACAAGTGGTCTGAGACCGCCAGTTTTTAACATGTTTCACTTGGAAATGTGCTTCGCGCCACAGCGGCGTGCGCTTGTTGGACGTCTCAACTTCCAAAAGTGATCCGAGACCGCCAGTTTTTAACACTTTTGACTTCCAAATGTGCTTCGCGCCACAATCGCGTGCACTTTTTGAGCAGCTCAACTTCCAAAAGTGTTCCGACAATAATGGTGTGCTTTCCACATCTCAACTTCCAATCGTGCTCCGAAACTGAAGTGTTTTTAACATTTTGACTTCCAAATGTGCTTCGCGCCACATCCGTGCGCACTTTTCCGACATCTTCACTTCCAAAAGTGCTCCAAACCTGAGGTTTTTTATTATTTTGACTTCGCGTCACGGCCGTGTGCACTTTTTCGACATCTCCGCTAATCTCCACTCCCAAAAGTGCTCGGAGCATGAAGCATTTTGACATTTTGACTTCGTAAATGTGCTTCGTGCCACAACAGCGTGCAATTTTTGATCTCTCATCTCCCCAGATGCCTCCGCACCCGCCGCTTTAGCGAGCCTACTTTGCGACCCTCAGGAGCCACAAAACAGAGTGCGCTGCTACTTTTCTACCTTTTCGCGCGCCTTGATCTTCTTTCTTTTGATCTTGTGGTTAAAGGAAAAAAACACGTGTCATTTGCGTATTTTCTGATATTTTTGGGCTTCAGGGGAAAACCGGCATATGCACCTGTGTGTATAGCAGCAATGGCTGTTACAAAGGCTGATAGGATTCAATCAAGAAAGGCAGCTGTCGAAACCGACAGAAGCCTACCTCGAGTTCGAAAGAAAAGGCAAGCTTTACTGGCTTTACTCAAAGAAATTGAGGAGGATAAGCTGAACAATGAGCTGAAAGAGAAGCGAAGACGTGAGGAGTGTGAAAGACGAGCCGCAGCCAAGAGTGAGGGAAGGAGCAAAAGGAGAAGAAAGTGCAGAAGACCCAAGAGGAAGAGAAATCAGCCAGCCCAACCACTTCGACCGAAGTTGAGGAGAAGAAAAGTCTAGCCAATTCCAACAAGGCGCAACACCAAAAGGATTAGGAGTTGTGCTTTTTCCAATCACAATAAAAATGGATAATATGCAATTCTCCCAAAGATAGGTCCAATTCAGGAAGATAAGACCTTAAATTCCAAGGGGTGACCCTAGCTAAGGGGTGCCTTTTTTCGCCACCCCCTCTTTTCGGGGTCCTGGTACGGTTGCTGGATGGTTAAATTCCACATGATTCATTGGTACAAGGTGGTGCCCCCCAGTTATAAGTTGGTTTATAATCCCATTAACTATAGATATATCTACCAAAAACCATAAACCATAGTTATTGGAGTTATTAACCAACTTAGCTATCTAAGGGGCCCCACTTTGTAAAATCCTTATGTTCAATGCGATTTCATGCCCCGCCCCGCCACACCTTACGTTCAACTGCAGCATCAGCCTCCAGCTGTTCACCTCGCAGCGGGCTGTGGCAGATTGCTTGTCCTCTACTGGTTGATTACCCTCTGGTAAACCAACATAGCTATGGAAAATCACCATTTTTAATGGGAAAACTCACTATAAATGGCAATTTTCAATAGCTATATTAGTTTACCAGAGGGTAACTAACAGTTTGCGAACTTGAAAATTGCACATTTAGTTCGTTGATTTACCTATTCAAGATGGTGATTTTCCAGTTCGCAATGTTAGTTTACCGAAGGGTCAACCAGCAAACCCATGGTGGTTGAAAGAGCCGTGAAACTGTTCGGATCCAAAACTGTTGGAACATTATGGTGTAATGGGGATACAAACTGGTCAAACCTGTCAGGCCCCATAGTTAGCTAAACTGGTTATAAATTAATATAAATTATATAACTGGGCTTTATTAGAATTTCACGATGAAACAACATGATATATAACTAATTGGTAAGTTAAAACTATGGAAAACTGTGCTATAACTAGGAGCATAGTTATCTAACGGGGATCCAATCAACAATATTCATCAACTGAGCATCGTCACTGCGCCCCTCAATGTCGCCCCGTGTTTGTGGATTCCAGAATGGGCTGGAATATGTTATAATATGGGATTTCCATTTTCATAAATATATACATATATATATATATATAGAGAGAGAGAGAGTGTGTTACTTTTTATCAAATAATTGACCACAACATAATATGTTCCATGTTGTACGGGTAGCTATTAACCAAACAGTGAACATCAGTGAGCAGGATGGCCAAACTATCTCTATACTAGTAGCGCACACCAAAAAAAGAACGATCATCAAACAAATCAACCACTTTCACAGAGCTTCCACCAGTTTATGTCCTCGCCACTGCATGTTTCCCTCATCATTTGCCATTTATTGAAATGTCTTAATCTAGCAGCGTTTATCGTTAGTTGGACATTCATCCCCAAACAAGGAACATCATGTATCATCATGTATCTAATCTAGCTGTAAGTTGGTTTGTAGCCACCCATTGACTATAGACAACTATAGCGACTATAGGCTATAGCTATATCCTCCATATAGTTTACCTACTTGGTTTCCCCAGCACTGATCTCCTCTCCCCCATCTCCAGCTGGTTTTTTTTCCCCATCAATTGGTGAATCTCCAAGGAAACTCAGCACAGCAAATCCGACATTCAGGTGGCGCCAAGCCCGCCCGGCCCGGGGGTTAAGCACCACCTCGTTACACGTTGGTTTATAACCTCAATTAACTATACAATGTGGTGCCCCATAGTTATAAGTTGGTCTATAAGCCCCAGTAACTATAGTTATAAGTACCATAAACCATAGTCATTGGAGTTATAAACCAACTTAGCTATCTTGGGGGCCTCACATTGTAGCTATATATCCATATGTATCCTCCATAGCTAACTCTAGTTAAGCCAGTTCAAATCGCTGCCTTAGCGATTGTTTGGGGGCCCCACCCCGGGGTGAAATCCCAAGGTGTAAATCCCACTTGTTTAAACGTCGGTGAAATCACCCATTTCTTGTGGGATGTTGTGGGTAAACTTACTGGTGCTTAGTAGGGAATGGATGGGAATGGGGGAATGGGATGATTCTTTCTAGTGATTATGGGAATTTCAGGATCCAATTTATGGAGGTACGTAAACATACCACATTTTTGGCCATATGAATTCTGGGGATATTCCCTGAAATTTAAGCCTGACTTACTTCGGCCTTATATATGGTAGGTACCGGTTTAGGTTCCTGAAATGGCCATTGATCAATGGAAATTTCAGAATCCTAAATTGGAGGTACCTACCATATATAAGGCCTATTTTTTAGGCCTATGTAAGGGAATATCCCCCCAAAATATGGCCAAAAATATGATACACTACCTCCATTTTAGGATCCTGAAATGGCCATTGATGTGGGTAAAATCAGCTGCTTCTTCGATGACTGGGCTCCCCAGCTGCTTCGAAGACTGGGCTTCGTGGCAAAGGACGCGGGCCGCGGCAGCTTCTTCGGCTGCACCGGCGAGCGCGGTGTGCCGGTGCTGCGAGTGGAGCGGGTCGACATCTTGGAGATCCTCGAAACGTACGAAGAGCTGGGAATTACTGTGATTGATCTTGATGATACTTGGGAAATTCTAGTTGGTGTTGGTAGAATTAGTTGGGAATTAGAGTTCATATGGTTGGGGCTTGGACTTATGATGGCTGAGTTGCTTTATATGAAAACAAGAGCATTGTTGAAAACAATGGCCAACATGTTCAGCAGACTCCAGCACGCCCTTCCGCCTGATATATTTCATGACCCCCACCCAAAAACCCGTGGTAGTATATTGGATCTATTCAATTTGACCTTATGTTATGGTAAACTAACAGTTTGCGACATAGAAAATGGCCCAGTCGAAATAGTGGATTTACGCACCCACTTAGGTTTATTTGGCTTTATTTTTGGATACTGTATGATACTGTAAATGACCAGAGAGTACCCCCCAAACAAAACAAACGTTGATTGAGCGCAAGCATCGCAGAGGTCTCGGACCGAACGGACCGAACGTGGCTCATCTGCGGCGTTGTCATCCTCGCGGCAACGGAGAAGCACCGGTGTACCACACTGATTTGATTTTGGATGACAGCACCCGACAGTATTATGGAAAAAAAAACGTTTCAATTTACAGGCGCCGCCTGTCTATGATAGAAAAGTTACGAACCTTTTTTTTTTCCATAATTATTGTTTCCATATTTTTTTTTCCATAATTCTGTCGGTGACTGTATGTCCATTGATTCGCAATTTGAATGCATTTTAAGGGGGAATATTGAATTATAGAAAATATGTGTCTAAAGATCTGGTATATGCCCCTAAGTCTTCCATTGATATACAATTGCACCACCAAAACTCATTGTTGTACGTACATACATATGCGGGATGTACCCTTTTGCCAAGCCACCAATTGGGTTGATACTACATACTTGCATTTGCATACATATTTCCATAACCCCAAAAAAAGGGGTTTGAATTGTGGATCCATGACATGTCCAACAGGTGGAGCCCCAAACATTAATTATGGAAAACACAATTATGGAAAAAAATAATTATGGAAAAAATAATTATGGAAAAACCGGTCAATCTGCCCTAGCCCCCTGATTTTACAGGAAAAATCAATTATGGAAATAATGGCCACCTCCAAGAATTATGGAAAAAAAAAGGTTCGGATCACTTCCGGGATATTTTGAACCCTTATGGGGAAAACCCAATTATGGAAAAATCGGACGCAGGCGCCGCCTGTCTAAGTTGAACGTTTTTTTTTTCCATAATTCTGTCGGTTACCATATGTCAATTTTCATGTCAACCCCGGATTTTGCTAAACCATTTTACATAATTAGGGGGTACTCCCCCAATAGTCATGATTTGATACTTAAATGGTACCTTCCCAATTAAATGGCCTAGGGTTTATTAATCCAGGGTTGACATTATGTATAATTATGTATTACTCTGGTAAACTAACAGTTTGCGACATAAAAAATGGCCCAGTCGAAATAGTTGATGTTCCCATTAAAAATGGTGGATGTTTCCATGGTTTTTGGTATGTTTACCAGAGGGTATCATGAGTCATTGGTGTGTTAGCCAGTTCGCCATTACAAAACCAGAAATTCTCCACCGGTTCAAAGGGTTCCATTCACTGGTCGTGTCTTTTTTCGTCACTGGCCAGACTTGCGATAATAACAATGATTCACCTGATTTTACCCCCTGGTAAACGTTTACATAACTATGGAAAGATCCACCATGCTATTAATGGTAAATCAACTATTCCATTATTTCGACTGGGCCATTTTCAATAGCTATGTTTGTTTACCACAGGGTATCGGCTTTGGACAGTGAGGTCATAATCATGTTAATCATGTTCATGAATTTTCGTAGGTCCTACAGTTTCTTGGTTCCCAGAACATCCCTTGTGGTGATCTTAGCAGCCATTGGTTTTGGCAATCCATCTCCGCCTCCAACAACAGGATGCCTTTGCAACATTTTCATGGTCAGTCTGTCACTACTGCTGTCAGTGCGGGAGGAAGATGCACTTTGACTCACTTTGACCAGTCATGATTTGCCAACCAATAAGCTGGAAAAAGTTGGGGATTGGGTCACCGGCCGGACCACAACCGAATTGTCATTTTAAATCATTTTAAGGCTTTTCGCCTATCTCTGTGGCAATCGGATATGTGAACCCAAAGGAGTTGATTAAAATTAGTTGGCCATACTAGACCATTACCCATAGGATCCATGTATGGTATATATGCTAACATGACTGGGGTATATTGATGGGATCTATGGCACACCATATATAGCAGCACCGTTAGGATCCGTCATGGGTTATGAAAAAAACTCCGCCCGCTGCTGACCCCGGTGTCCTGCCAAAGGGAAGAGCCCTTAGAGATCTCAGGGTGCAGCACGGGGGGAACTTCCCAAAAAACAAATAGGATTTACCCTCTGGGAATAGCTGACATAGCTGTGGAAAATTGTGATTTACTGGGATTGCAACTGAGTACTAGGGTACGACCATCTGGTACTTGAATGCCTTGAATGGTAACGGCTACATACACTGGCCCATTTGTAGATGATTACTTATCGAAAATCATTGATTTACCATGATTTACCATCATTTACTGTTGAATATACCAAAGGGTAACCAGCTCTCGAGCTGGTTAAGCAATAAGCCCGCCTTTGCAAATTTGGATAGCTGGGCTTTCGCTGCCAGCAGCTCGAAACTGGTAAAACAAATCACCCATCATTTGGGAATGGAAAACATACCACCCATAAAAATGATGATTTGGGGGATGGTTTTCATGGCATTGTTTTACCCACATTGATAACTTAGAGAATTTAGAGAACTAGGACCAATCCTAAGGTTAAAAAAAACGCCTCAAGCCCTACACTGAGTCCCCATTAGGGGTGACCCAACAAGAATAGCTGCTATAGGAGGTCATCATACCCAGCACGAGTTTTGTGCCACGAGGCAGTGAATCAGACCCAGCTCGGTTCCGCGACCTGGGGGGGTGGATTGGGATCCCTAAACTGGTGGATACCCTGAAATGGATGGTTTTTAGAATGGAACATCCTACCCATGATCCATGGTGCTGGTAGAAAAATGCTAACATGACTGGGGTATATTGATGGGATCTATGTTGCCATATATATAGCAGCACCATGGATCCTATGGCACCTATGGGCTATAAAAATGGATGATTTGGAGGTACCTCCACGTTTAGGAGACCGACAAATGCTGGATTTCTTGGCCTGGTATATGCTTTGTAGGAAGGGGTATCCCATCATCATCATCATCATCATCATCATCATCATCCTGGATCTCTAGGGCGATTTTTTTTCCACCAACCGTTACGGTTTGGAAAATTATGGAACATGATTGTTTTGTTAGGTGGAAAATGATGGACAATGATGGGTAATGATGGATTATATTCCATTTGGTTTGGAGGGTTATTTTTTTCCGCATTCGTTGTTTCATGTAAAAAGGATCAAGAGGATCAAGAGGGCACTAGGAAAGCTCCGAATGGTATCCTACAGTATTGGTTGAATCAAACTTGACCAGACATTTGGGACATTGTTGGTATCTTTTTGGCCCGGCCTTCATTGGATACCATAAAATCTTGCAAAGATGTTTGATCAAATATCTGCATCTTGGATGACATTCAAGGCTTAGAAAAGCCTTATATAAGTTTGCTGATTTCGCTGGTCTCAAATGAAAAATGTAGCATCTCAATGACCAGTCAGCCATTCCTCGCCAGCCGATTTCTTCAGCGCTAGGCTCCGGGCTGTGCGGTCACGGAATCAGGTTCGTCAAGTGTGGGATGCAGCCTCAGTTCAACATCGAAATTGGCGAGTTTCCTTGGGCGGCTTGTTTCAGGAACACGGAAAAAAACTGCATGTGACCCAAAAAAAAGGGATGATATATAGGATAGTATTTTGCCATTATTTCGGTTAGATGCTACTTTTCTATCGTTCTTTTTTTTAGAGGTTCTATGAAGAAAAACATGGATTCACATTTTCATGTGGCGGTTTTCTCAAATCCATTGATAGTCTGGATTCAAGGAGGAAGACAGGGAAGTATCTGACAGCAATGAAGAAATTGATCTCAAAAACATACCTGGTTGGTGGTTTCATCCCCTCTGAAAAATATTACTCAGTTGGGATTATTATTCCCAATATATGGAAAAATAAAACTTGAGGCCGGGGGTGGATGACGAAAGCTAGCGGGGTAGGAGAAAGAAGGAAGGGAAGAGGTGAGTTGCGGAGGACTGTCATCATCGTGTCGCGGCATTGTTCGTCCCAACGAGGATGCAACAATGATATATGATATATGATATATGATATATAACAATGATATATATGGGGAAGGGGGCAGGGGGGGGGGCCTTACGCGTGAAAAATCACGTGATGTCCTTGGGGAGCCCCGGAATACTTGCTAAAGCAAGAAGACTCTAGCGAGCTGACGCTAGCTTTCGTGATAATGCCAATAATTGCCAATAATGATACATTGTAATTGAATAACGATGATGATGATGATGAATGATGAATGGTGAATGATGAATGATGAATGATGAATGATGAATGATTGATGATGGATGATGATGATGATGATGATGATGAAGATGACGATGACGATGACCGTGACGATGACGAGGATGATGATGATGATGATGATGATGACGATGACGAGGACGATGGCGAGGACGATGACGATGATGATGACGATGATGATGACGATGACGATGATGATGATGGTGGTGGTGGCGATGATGATGATGGTGGTGGTGGCGATGGTGATGATGATGATGATGATGATGACGATGATGATGACGAGGACGATGACGAGGACGATGGCGAAGACGATGACGATGATGATGATGATGATGATGATGATGGTGGTGGTGGTGGTGGTGGTGGGGGTCCCCCCCTTTCACGTGAAAAATCACGTGATGTCCTTGAGCAGCCCCCGGAATACTTGCTAAAGCAAGAAGACTCCAGCTAGCTGACGCTAGCTTTCGTGACTTGTTCCAAACCACCATCCAGATATAAGAGTTTTAGCCACATAAATTCCACCAACTAGGACCTTAGAGAATTACTTTAGCACCTTAGTCAACTCTCAAGAAATTTAGGAACTTTAGGACCTTCGCTAACCAACGATTGCCGGGGCTAGGCGGGGCCTGCTCCCCACAAGCTGTTGGGTCAATGGCGGAAATATGGTGGGAAATATGTGGAAAGGCAACTTGGTTTATCATTTGACCAACAAACGTGTTGATACATTTATGGCCCTTAACAGTTATCAATGGGATTATAATGATATACAACCTCAGTTTTAGAGGTTATGCATACAGTAATCCCATTTACAAATGTTAAGGGCCATAACCATAGCTGTAGAGAACGTAATTATTTACAGTTGGAATTGGAAAAGACCAACCAACTACAACTATAACATGTAGAACCAACTTATAGACTGGGGGGTGTCCACGACATTAAAGCCAAGTTGAGCACAATTCCGAACCACTGAAATAGCTTCAGGTAATATATGGAAATCTACGAGTGCACCCCCAAATCTGGCCTTATGGATATGGGTTATCAATGGTTATCAACAGCTTCAAGCTCTGTTACACTGTCCAGGGGCTTGTCAGGCTTCTAGTGCTGGAGCTATCTTCGGTGGGCTTCCCGGGCTTCCCGCAGAGTGGCGGGAGAATATTTGCGGTTGCAAACGGTCGAACCAGCATTGATCCTAGCTTTGGGTCGCATGTCCATTTGTCTAGATTCAATCCTCAGGGGAAACATCCCAATGATATCCAATATCCACTCATCCCTGGTGCTTTAAGCCCATTCTTCTTGGAACATGTGCCTCACAATCCCTTCCGGATCACCCACCATCATCCCCAGTCGTTCCCAAGGGACTCAGAGGAGGCGGAAGACTTGTTCCTAGGGCGTCATCCGATGATCTGGTGGTCCAATGAACAAATTGGATAATAAGATACCCATAGGATACTCCACAAATGGATCCAATACCCTCCGGTAAACTAACATAGCCATGGAAAATCACAATTTTTAATGGGTAAATCCACTATACATGACCATTTTCAATAGCTATGTTAGTTTACCAGAGGGTAATATATCCATTTTTTCAACATGCTTTACTTAGTTTATCCAATGATGGCTTTCCAGCAGGATCTAATCGGAACATGTTCAATAAAAAGTATACGAACATTGCTGGCAAACTTCATTGGAGACCAGGTATCTCAAGTATCTCAAGACCAAAAAAGATGCCGAAAAGGATGAGATGATGTTTTCCTAGGTCCTATCATTTCCAGGTTTGCAACTGTTCTATACTTTTTACTTTTCTATGTTTGTTGGCGGTTGCTTTTTGAACCTTTTGCACCACTCCGAGGCTGGCCCCCCCAAGCTGGTGCCAAGCTGCTGTAAGCTGTTGCTTTTGGGGAAAAAACAAACTAGACCCTGGGGTCTATGCAAGAACTTATAACTAGGGGGCGCCACATGGCGCCACCTTTGTACAGCTTTCCAGCGATTTATAGATCTTGGTGCAACCTGAAACAAACACGCAGCCCTCAACAATGAGTTTCCAGCGATTTCTCCGTCAAAGAATCTCCGTCAAAGCATGAACAAGCAAGACAATGACATACTGGTTGGTGGTTTTAACTAGTTTTAACCATCTTAAAAAAAATGAAAGTCAATGGGAAGGATAATATCCCAATATCCTATATATATAATGGTATCCCATATATATATTATGGACAATAAAACATGTTCCAAACCACCAACCAGCATAACAATTCCTCACATGATGGGGATTCGGCTGTGAGTCACTCGACTTGGACGGAATCCTCACAATGGGCCGCCAAGGACGGCCATGTCTTAAACATGGCACACCCTGCGGTAAAGTTTCAAACAGATGGCAATGGATCCACGGAAACCTTCCAAGAAGGAAACAAAAATGAAGGTTCAGACAGGAATTAGCACAAAATATGAGAAAATCGAGAAAATCCATCGCCAGGCAGTTCTGAGGGTCCACCTCAGGCAGGAAACATGTAAATCAAGAGCGCTAAAAAGAAATCTGAAGCGAATGGTTCAAGAGTTGTGATTCAAGTGAATTATTCCAGGTGGTGCCCCGGTTGGTCACCTTACTTTCTATAGTTAAGTTCCAAGTGAAGTAGGGTTTATTGATGATTTATGGTAGATAACATCTACAATAGCTAACTTACAGGTCTTATATGGTCTTATGAATCTACAATCAACTGCTACATTTTGCAAGTGATAGGTTATGAATGGTTATGAATGGTCCTGAATGGTTATGAAATGTATGAATGGTTATACCCTCTGGTAATTTAACATAGCTATTGAAAATGGCCATTGAAATAGTGAGTTTTCCCATTAAAACTGGTGATTTTCCATAGCTATGTTAGTTTACCAGAGGGTAGCTTGAAAAAAATCCAACCGATTTCGGCACCACCTTTTTTGGCTCAGCAAAAGGCGACGGCTCAGCATCGCGATAATCGCAGCCTTGCCTTCAACGCACAAGCCACGCAGGACCAGCACATGGAGACCACCAGCGTGCAACCGGTGAAGGTCACGGCACGCCGCGCCGGGTTGGGATTTCGAGTCCATACGTAACAGAGCAACCTATGCTTTGCGTTCGAAAAAACATATGGCCTCCCCCCCCAAAAAAAAACAGGACCTTCAAGATGTAACTCAGATTTGGTTATCATAAAATCATCCCAGTTTTTAAAGTGTGGGCTGATTTAACTGCAATTAAACTAATTAAACAGGGGATTCTACCTGCAAAGTGTACTAGCTGCATCCCGAGGAACGTCCCATATTCTTCACTTCTCTATGTGCAATGGTCATTTGAAAAGGTTATGTGGGTAAACCAATTTCATAAACCATCCCCAATTTCACTATAAATGGATGGTATAAACCATTCCCAAATGGGTGTATGACATTGTTTTACTCACATTAAATATATTACCCTCTGGAAATTTGTTACATAGCCATGGAAAATCACCATTTTTAAGTTCGGTAAACCCAGGTAAACCATCTATTTCTATGGGCCATCTATACCATGGCTATGTAACAAATAACCAAAGGGTACCCTGTGGTAAACTAACATAGCTATGGAAAATTGCCATTTATAGTGGACTTACCCATTGAAAATGGTGGTTTTCCATAGCTATGTTAGTTTACCAGAGGGTAAATGATTTATGGTCAATGGAAATCCATTTCCAGATCAATTCCTATGGATTCATGTATAACACCATTTTTGCTGCCCGGTTGAGGCCCGAATGGCATGGGTTATGTATAGTGGATGGTTATGGCCTCAAAACAGTTACAGTATGATACTATAGCAGTTTAAAGCAATCATAAAAGCTAGCATATCTGTAAATATAACCCCTTGGTGACCCCCAAAATAATCGACCAATTGGGCATTTTGGGCATTGCACTGTGATAGTACTTAACCAACATAGCTATACATAAACAGGCTTGCATATGCTTTCATCGCATTCATGAATCAAACTATTTACCTCGAAATTGGCGAAGAACCATTGGCTGATTGCGGGTGATTTCCATCCAGGAATCATGTAGGCCCTTGAACCTTGCCAATTTCAAACACCCTGCAAAAAACACCAACTTAGAACACTTAGGATGATGAGACAAAAGCTGAAAAAAACTGAACAACTCTTCCGTAAACTATCAACCAGCGGCAAGATCATGATCGGAATGCTCACAATGAACGAGACTCCCGCATTCTTCAAGACCTCCGCGAAGCTGCTTGCAGGCTTTGATTGCATCAGGCGGCTAAGAGGGATCATGACATCCTTGATGCTTGGAATGGCCAAGAGCCAAATAGACAAACCTTCCTTGGTCAGGTCTGACCCGGCTAAAGGGCTACAAGACTTGACCGCTGTTGACCCATAGCTGTATTTTTCTCATTCGCGCCTTGAAACAATAAACTTATTTGAGAAACCCATGTGAAACACCCCCCAAACCCATCCGACAGCCCTCCCCCCCAAAAAAACATCGTATATAAATGCATCTGACACCCCTCCAAACAATGGCAACCCCATCAAACCCTTCCAAAAAAAATGACAAAGCACTATAAACCCATCTGAACCAGAAAAAAATGCAAAACAAGCAGACACACAGAAAAAAACACATAGCAACAGCAACAACAGCATCCTCTAGGGCTGCAATCTGACGAGATTCCAGTAGGAAACAAATGCTGTCGGAACGCCACCATAAATCGACATCAAAGTTTTCAGCAAAGCTGGCCGCGAAATCCATGAAGCTCCACACCTGGACTCGACAGGTCTGTTGTCAAAACCTGCCCTATGGCCCTACAGTAAGCCCTGCGGGGCCTTCAATGACAATTCCTGTAACTGGTTGGTTATCTAAGAGATCTCTCTATGTATATATATATATATATATATATATATATCATGAAATAAGCACGAATAAGCCAGTTGTTAATGTTCAGGGCCATTACTTCCAGATCTGTAGGGGTGCGTCTCAGGAATTGTCATTGGGTATCATCCAAGTAGGCTACTTTCATCCAATGTTTTTTGCCAAACTTTCCTGGGATGATATACTGGGTATGTCCTTCCAAACTTAGAACTCCCAAGAATTCCAGCAAATGAGTGGATGATTTACGCTACGCGCTACTTTCTTTTGGGTACTGGGCGTGTTCTTTTCAGAAACTTCAGCGATAGATTATAAAAAAAACCCTGCAAAATAGAACGTTATTTGCCCCTTTTCAGGCAGGATTTGTCGTTTCTGTTTCTTTGGGGGTTGCTATGTGGTTTCCCGGACATAAGCAAATTAAAATAAAGAAACAATTTGGACATTTACCACTAGACGAATCTAAGCAAAAGGTGTTTGCCCATGTTTCTTGAGGGCAGATTGTCATTGGGCACCTAAGAATACCACAACATGGGAGGGTTTGGATCAAAACCTGCGAGCCCTAAAACCATAATTTTTGACCCTAGCCATATGACATCACTATACATCACTATTCAAACATGTATCAGAACAGATTTCAGGGCGTCAAATCGGGCAACAACGGCAACACATTTTGCCTGAGATTAACGCTGCAACCAAACCAAATAATTACAGTGTGGAATCATCAAAAAAATTCAGAATAACAATAAACATGTCGTATTCCCATGTATTGCCAACAGTAAAACCACAATTCTTCATGGCTAATCTCCACCCATTCCCGTATTGGGCCAACCACGTGTTAAAACCTACGTAGCCGAAAGCGATTTCAATTCGGGATTTCACCACTGAAATCACGGACGAGCAACGACTGGAGAAGTTACTCCAAGCACCCAGGGAGTGGTAAAAACTCGTTCGCTCAAATCACGGCTCAAGATTTCCAGGACCTCTGATCTCACAGTGTTCTCAAAAGCCTTGCGTTTGCGCAGGCGCGCCCCCCAAAAATGACATGTATGCTGATTTATATATAGATATTATAATATATATATAACCGTCATAGATATTCAGAATAGATTCCCAATTTCCCGTGGATTTCACATCATGGGAGCAAAACAAGATTACAACCATTACAACCAACTCCGCGCAAGAAACCTCTTGGCTGCCAAACCAGATGTTGACGCAACGTTTTACCACCTGGGGCTGAGGGAAATCATGGGAACTCGATGATTTTTGGACCATGTTCCATAGCTATGTTAGTTTATGTTACTTTCCTAGCGGCATACTAGCGGCTGGTGATATATATATATATATATATAAGAGTTTCAATCTAAGAATATCTAAGATGATAAAACACATTTTCTTCAAACCATTGAGATATTCTTAGATAAGACAACCATCAAGATATCTGATAATATCTGTTAAGATACCCTCTGGTAATTTAACATAACTATGGAAAATCACCATTTTCAATGGGAAAATCCACTATATATAAATGGCCATTTTCAATAGCTATGTTAAATTACCAGAGGGTAAAACCATTGAGAAACTCAACAAAATGACACGGGGTGTCGTTTTTCGCCGGCCTTGCGGTCACACAGCAAGACCTCGCCTGCGGTTGTTTTTTTTTTTTTCCGAGCAGCGAAATGGGGCGAAATATCACCAGCTATACCTGTTGGTTTGTAACTAGATAAAGATAGTTTTATAGTTACAAACCACTATGTTATATATATATATATATATGACCTGAATACTAATTGGTAATGACAGGTAATAACTGGGCACTATATATATATTAATATATATATATATATTAATATATATATATATATATTATAAATTTATATATATATATATATATAAATTATATATATATGTATATAAATATATATTAATATTAATATGTACTGTGATGCCCATAAGTTCATGTAGTCCATAAATAAGCTATACCAATAATACCTATCCCGTGGGCGATACAAGGTGGTGCCAAGATCTTTTTTGGAAACTTCGCACCTGCTGGGCCCTGGTGTTTCAGGTCGCAGCATGTGCTTCGAGTCAGATCAAAGGAAATGTCCAACAGCTGCTGCTTCATCACTTCCAACTCTCGGAAATACTTTCCTGGGCTCAAGTGGAATCAAAAAAGGGGGAACCCTTTTGCAACAAAAAAAGGGGTGGTTCCCCCAGTCAAACAAAACAGTGTGTTTATGAAGTTTATGTGAGAAACATGTATTTTTTTGGGCCTTGGGATCTTTGGGCCACTATGGGCCACTTGGGATCTTTGGGGGTTTGACGACTGTTTGTACCCCACCAGGTGAGGGTCGATTTTCACAGCTAGCTCCGAGGATCCCTGGGGGCTCCAGCTCTCTTTTGGTCGAGATGTCAGGTGGAATGCCAGATCTATGTCAGATCTACGTCAGTTGGGGACCACTCAAAGACAGTACTTCTCATGCGTTTTTTTTTTAAGCATGGAGGTGTGAGCAACCTTAATACAGGTTGCCATGGTCTACAAAAACGCGCTCATCAAATACAGTAAACCCCGGAAAAAAACATCAAACGACCTAATATGATTCACCCAGAAAAGACCACCTTCGACTAACGAATCTTCCAAGCCATCCAAACCCCAGTTCTAAAGGAATTTCAGGAAGGCAAAACATTTGACTTGGAAGGTTCCTGCAACAAGTTTCGCACCGTGCTCACAGTCCAATAGCCAACTGATACACCCAAAAGTAAGCCACAACCAATGGGAATCAATAGTGAAGTCATCTTGGCGCGATCAAAAGGTGCAATCGTCAATGGAAAGTTGAAGGCTGTGAGTGTCAGGAACACTGCGATGGAAATCCGCCCAAGAAAAATCGGTCTGACCACGAGGGTCTGTTTCCGCGTGGTGCTGCTTTTCAAGAAGGCTGAAAGCTCAAACCTTGGCAAATCATAGAGGTCCAACAAAAGAACATGGTCTCAAAACATGCCACATACAAGGTGGTGCCCCAGTTCGTTAGCTAAGTTGGTGAACATAACTCCAATTTCACTATGGTTTATGGTAGATATAACGAACTAGTTAGTGGGGTTTATATACCAACTTATAACTGAGGGGCACCACATTGTAGCACTTTATAGATGTATTCCAAAGTAAGGGATGCCCTTGACCCCATGGGCTTCAATAACTTGGATGAAGTTTGGGGGGGCAAAACTCTTTGAAAATCCGCTTTAATGAAAATAAAACTTGCAACCAGAAAAAAACAGTCCTAGTTGGTGGCGCACCCCATTGAGTAAATCACTTATAACAAGTCATAACCCCAGGTTATAAGTATAGGGTAAGTAAGTAAGTAGGCTTAGTCCAGTTTTTTCACTTCGGTAAACTAACCTACTTACAATCGCTGGGTTTTTTTCCATCAACCTGCCCAGAAACAAGCACCACAACCTTGTTGTCCAGCTGGGGTCCCACAGGATCAGCATGGTATCAGATTTTCTCAGCAGCCCTGCTAGGCTTAAGATTGCTTCAGTTTTCATATTCTTGTTTGCTTGGTTGATGCAGATCCGGTCCAAAAACACCTGGACAAAATGACTTTTATGGATTGGGGAAAGGGAAACACTATTTTCGGAAAATCATGTTTGTTTTGACCAACAAAATTAAGGGATTTCCTGAGGTTTAACAAAAACACATATTATGTGGAGAGGTTCTACGAGCTGGTGGATTCAAAAGACAACACTGATTTGTGCACTCCCCATTCAAACTGGTAGTATGGCCCGGAATGATAGTTCTCTGTAGGCACCATTCAAACGGTTAACTTGCTGATCACTATTCATCATACTATTCACCCATGTTCAACCGTCGATTTACCAACGAAGCGCAAGAAAATAAAGATCAGGGTTTGTCTGAAAAGAATATATGTTTGATCCCAATTTCCATGTATCATCTGCACTATGTCTCCCATTTAAATGGCCACAAACTGGGGGATTTGGCAATCAAAGAGAATCTCTTCATATGTGTCCCCTCAACAATCATACGCCCTCATTTGGCCGTTTGGCCACGAATTGGGGGGATGTTTCCAGGTTTCCAATTATTCTTCCTCTAAAAAATCCGAAAATTGATCGATGTTTCCCCCGTTTTTTTTTCGAAAAAGACCACAAGGTCCAGCGCCATCCAGCGCCGTTGGGTGCCTGGTTCTTGGGACGCCAGAGCAATAACGTTCCACTGCTGACCAGCAGGGCCGACAGCAAACACCAGGTGGACCACTGGATGTCGTAGTAGCCACGATAGAAACCGGGTAGGAGGTCGAAGCTGAAGAACAGCATCATCACCAACTCAGGTTACGGAAAAAGTGGAGAATCCCAACCCTTATGCCTTATGCTCCATGGTGCTGGTATATTTACCTACAAAACTGGGCGATTTTTGAGGCAAATGTTGGTAAATATTCCAGCACCATGGAGCATATGGGCACTGATATGATCTAATTTGATGGGGAAATATTGGGAATATGGAGATAAAGTTACACTTCTGGCCCTGCCAGTTGGAACTGGTTGATTTTATGAAAATGAAATAGATCTAACCAACTAGCCACAGGAGTTGGTTAACCCATTTCAGGCCCTGTTGAGGGCCATAACCGTACATGAAGTTACTAAACCAATGGTTAAAATCCTCATGATATGAACCAATTGTATGTGATTGTGAAATCTTTGGGCTATGGAGATATCACTGGGAGATAGTTTTTTTTCTAGTTATGGATGGGCTACTTGACCAACAATATACATATGGAAGTTTAACATCGTTTAACCAGCAAACAACATGATGAAACATGGGGGATGTGATTTCATTGGGATAGAGCAACTTCAACAACTGGGGGAGACTCCATTGAAAGGTGATGGGGAATTGGTCGATGGGAAGGAAGAATCTCCAATGGTTACACCCAGAGCCTCTGGTTGCAATACAACACATATCTATAATTGGTGTGAACAATCCTACTGAAAAGTATGGCAACCCTGGAAATAGGTTGGAACACTCCGAAAAGTATGGCAACCCTGGAAATAGCTGGACAATGCTGGACATGATATTCTCTAAACCTGTGGCTTCACCGTTGTACAAAGGTGGTGTCCCATAGTCATCTAAGTTAGCCTATAAAACTTGTGGTCATTTAGGGATGATTCTCCCCGAATCCATAAACCCATCATTCCAGGGTTCGGTCGCGTTGAGTCGTAACAGTTTACTAATATATATTGTAATTAACTAGATTTTATGATGCTTGTAACTACAGGTACATACATGGGCGTGCACACAAAGTTACAACAAGTGGGGAACACTTTGTAGTTTGTGTAGTCTCCCAGTTTTTGTTGTTTAACCTTATCCTTATCCTGGTTTACCTAAATTCTGAGCCCATCTTCAACCCCAAACTTGGGAATCAATGTGAGTTAAATCTGTTGTTCCGATTCATGATCATTCGTATTATCATATTACTACTACGCATAAAATCATAAATAATTATATATAATGGTACATACATTTATATATTCATAATGGTTTGTCTATAGTCATATCACCCGGAGCTTTCTAAAATTTTCACCAGTTCCAACAGTCAACAACCGAGCCGCGGCTGCGACAAAGCCCAAGGCAATGGCCGCGGTGCCGTTGTAGAACGTCATCAGGGTCAGAATCTTCTTCCACTGGTTCCCGTGCCAAGAGTGGCTCCAGAAGGTGCCAATGCTCTCCGCCTGCTGACCTGAATCACAAAAAAAACGCAAAAGGAGGAAATCACCCGGAGTTTCCGCGGCAGTTTTCAAGGACTTGAGACTCGATTGTTGGTTTAAAGTTTAAAAAACCAGATGGGAATGCATGTCTCCCTATTTTCAAAGGTGTTTTGGTGTTGCATCTGTTGACGTAACGAGAAAGCAAGGACTGGGTCACCATTTGGTGGATCGACCCAGCACCTGGCTGCTGGTTTCATGACCACTTTTGCCAGAAAAAACAAGAAACAAAATCTGGCTGGTGGTTTCAACCCCTCTGAAAAATATATAAAAATATCATATAGTCAGTTGGGGTTATTGTTCCCAACCACCAACCAGAAACAAATCTTGCAGGGTGAAATCAGTTGAAAAATCAGTTGATTTCTCAACGTTTCAAGTGGCTCTTGTAGAAGAAATTCTCGTGACATGCCGGGCGCAGTGCTGCTGCGAAGTGTTCGAAGGCTTGACAGGCCTCTGTGACTCGCAATACTTCGGGAACGGTCACCTGACACGGTGAAAAAGCTGGAGTACGAAAACTCTCCATTAATTTGAACCGTTTGCGACATTGAAAATGGCCCATTTATATCCAGTTATAAGTGATTTACCCATTAAAATAGTGATGTTCCATAGTTATGCTAGTTTACCAGAGGGTAACCAACCAAAAATGTTACCCTCTGGTAATTTAACATAGCTATTGAAAATCGCCACTTTTAATGGGTAAATCCACTATAAATGGCCATTTTCAATAGCTACGTTAAATTACCAGAGGGTAATTTGACAGAAGTTGAATGGAATTTCACCAAGAAAACTGGTGATTTTGACCCAGGTGTAATGGGAAACCAATGGTTTTCCCAGCCAGAAATGATGAACTTGGCCACTGGGATGATTCTGCCTATCACCAGGTGCAAGGTGGTGCCTAGCTAAGTTAGTTGATAAGTACATACAAGTACTATATATATATATATATGAACTGGTTGGCGGTGTCCACCATCTTGAAAAATATGAACGTCAATGGGAAGGATGACATCCCATATATGAAATGGAAGATAAAATTCAGGTTTGAAACCACCAGCCAGTGAATTGTTGGGCTACAGTTCGCTAGGCTCATAAACCAAGAAACATTTCACGGACCGTGCCACATCGTGCCATCTTGTAGGAGTTTGAAACACCAACAACGACTCGAACCCTTTGAGCTCAGTTGATGCATCCAAAACTAGCCAGCCAAGTGTGATTCACAACAGCCACCAATGCTTAGGCAGAAAATGCCAGAAATAACCACTTAGACTTAGCTTTGGTCATTGAATCTCTCTCCTTCCACTGCAAGAAGAATTGTCATTCTTGTGATTACAGGATTGCTATATCTGTAAGGCCATCTGTAAGGCCTGCAAATTATACTTTTGTTAAAAACGGCCCAAGGCCATCAACCTGTAATTTATACCAGAAATATAGACCTTGTGATTTTGGGGCACGATTTTCCATTTCATACCATTTCCATACCATTTCCCCCAGAAAAAATGACCAAAAAAATATCGCAAACCACGGACTTTCCAAATGTGCCTCCATCTCAGCCACACTTTGTGCCAGCTCATCCTCTTCGGAAAAGCGGATCTCCATCTCTGCTGGATCCCTGGGATCCCTTGGATCCCGCCCTTCCCACGGCCCCCCCTGTGGGATCGCAGAAAGTTCCGAACCAATCACGGTTCCGGAGGGCGCCATGGCGAACTGAGCCAAGGAATTTGATCGACTTGTCGGATAGGTCACATAGAGGTTTTTCGATTGGTCGCTTCACTGATCTCTCCGAAAAACGCATGCTCCTCTATGGTCGACTTAAGCATTTGTAAAGTAAACTGGCATGTCAATGTTGGCATGTAGATGCATGTATCCGAAACATGGAGCATCTCCGGAACATGTATTCAAGTACATGGGGTACTTCAACTTTTGGTCACTGAGATTGAGCCCGCTTTTTTATGCCTTCAGAAATGCAGTAGGACATAGTTAGACATCCAGCAACCTCCAGCTGATGGGTACAAATTTGTGGGTCAGTCCTGGCAGTCCAACGTCAAAACCATCTGGCCAAAACATCGAAATTGAAATATCCTGATCATTGGATTGGTTCGTTGGGAACATCTACAGGAAACCCCATATTTGCTCGGAAAAACCATGATTATCCATTGACACGTCGTGACGTCGCGAATCGTCGCCCACCTCCCTGAGCTCAAAGTGGTGTATGTTTCAACTGGTATATATGATTAACTAACTAAATCAAATTAATACATAGATCTATAATGCAGATCACAAACTAAATTTAAGATATCCATATTTCAGATCAATACAGTAAAATTTCTGGGGTATGTAAATCCCATCCATGTCAGCTCCATTTCAGACTTCTAAAAAAGGTTTCGGGGGCCGACATGGCCGACATTCGTCCCACAAATCAAGGAATGATGAAATGATGGACCCCCCACTACTTAGACTTGGGCTTATTTATTTGTATAAGCTGACTTAGTTTCTAGCTATCCCCATCATAATATATCATAATATCCAGTTGCATCATGCTGCATCTGCTTCAAAAACCACATTTACCCACATTTCGTGCACTTAAAATCCATTAATAGGGTGGGATGGAAGCCATCCCCAGTCATGGTAGGTTCATTGGGTTTCCCACATGAAACATCATTGGTCACATTGTAACATATAGGCTTGTTTTGCACATATCCTAAGATTTCATGGCTCTATCATCATTTTCCCCATTAAAAATAGCTTTTGCAGGTGCATTCCCCATGAAAAATAGCCATTGGTCTCCCCATTTTCAACCTCGGACGTCCAAGGCGCGAAAAGGAACGACTGTCACTCAATGACAGGCGATCTTTTGGCTCGTTGGAGCAAGACTTTTAAGCCCTGGAAAAAGTCTGCCACTTGAGCCGAATTGTCTGCCGACGACTCCTAGCTTCGAGGTTTTGTTTAACAACTGGATCTGGAAATGCACGTTAACTATATTGTTTTTCACTTTAGAAATCCCCGCCAAAGAAAGTGAAAAAGTTGGAAACCTGAAAATTCTAGGAAAACATCATCTATATATACCACCAGGAAAGCCCGTTCTATATTGTTGGGGGTTTGCTATATAGGGGGTTACTATAGGTATAGTATCAGTACAATCTCTTTCCGCTGTAATAAATACCCTCCAAGAAAAACCAGGGCAAAATGCACTGGAACAATTAAATGTTAGGAAGGATTAGCTAAAATGACCCACAAGATCCAACCAGATACAATAAAATAGAGATAATTATGGTAAACCCAATGCCATAAACGTACCATTTGGGGATGGTGTTTACAGTGTTTACCACTCATCAATGGATATACTTATAGTATCTTATAATATTAGGGGTGGTTTATGGCATTTGCTTTTTACCACATTAGACATATTATGATACACCAACCGCCGCTTGGTAAGGCCTAATGGGGATCACATTACCATGGATCCTATTATCAGAAAATCGGAAGAGCTGCTACATCAGAAGTGCCTGAATAGATCTGAATAGTGTGTGGACAAGAGGAGCCGACTGACATGAAGCCGCCCACAAAAACTACCCTCTGGTAATTTACCATAGCTATTGAAAATCACCATTTTTAATGGGTAAAACAACTATAAATGGGCCATTTTCAATAGCTATGTTAGTTTACCAGAGGGTACTTTGCTATTCCAAGTGTTTTTCTTTGAAAACATGTGAAGACAAGTTGAACATAGGCATATATGATATATTCCGTCATAATATTGGCTATTTAAAAAAAATACCCTGGTGCCCTTCTGTTCGCATCAAAACAGCTTCTAATGCTGGCACATGGATGTTCATCCCTTCAAAATTGTAGGACATGACAGGTTTTGACCCATGCCCATATTCCAACTACCTCCATTGGCACCCTCACAGCGCTCTGCTGGTTGGTTCTCATTTCCCCTGCTAAGTCTTTAAGTTAGTGCAACTGCTTGTGGCTACGTATACATTTTACCAAACAACTCACCTTCAAAAAGGGAACATAAAGGCTTTGTTGGAATGGCTCTCAACCGACCAAAAGAAAACCCATGAAACCGAAGGGTATAGAAACCACGCTTATCAGATATTCCATATCACCCAAAATACCACTAATAAATCACCAATTTAAATACCAATTAAATAAAATCCATATCCCAGTACTACTCCATATATGTCAATAAGCAATATTGAAAACTCCCAACAATTTCCATATCCCAAATACTCCATATAATCCATATATATATATCATATATATCATATATGTATAAATATATATATAATATATGTATAAATATATATTTATATATATATATATAAATATCATATATGTATAAATATATATAATTATATATATGCGATGTCCCAGTAATGCATAGTAATACTCCATTAAAAAAAACCGTTGACGAAGCGTCCCAAGGGAAGCTTTCGTATTATCACGGCATCGGTTCCGGACGACGTATGGCCTGGTTCCGGCTCTGGTAGAGCCAGGGCAGCTCATGACGACGCGGCTGTTCCTGCCAGGTGGTGCCTGGGAAAAAGCCTAAGTTGGTTTTAGAACTGTCAAAGATTCTATGAATTTCTATGATAACTAATGGCATCATATATAACTACAATGTGGTGCCCCATAGTTATAAGTTGGTTTATAAGCCCCAGTAACTATAGTTATAAGTACCATAAACCATAGTTATTGGAGTTATAAACCAACTTAGCTATCTTGGGGGCCTCACATTGTATCATATAAGTTTGATATAAACTAACTGATGCCACTATAATGAGTTTTTTGTTGATTGCAGTTTATGCTAATTGTAGCTTGTAACCAAAGCCTTAAGACTTAGGGTCGGACATCAAGATTTAACCAACGGAAAAATGGGGATTCACATGTGGGTCAAGTTTTGGGCTGGCACCCGGGTGATAGGATGTACTATGATTGACCTATGATTGACCCAACACAAGGGGGCGATTTACCCAAGCAACACAATTAAGTTGAGGTGTACTAGACAGGTAAGTTGCCTTGCAACTAAACCAACCCTTGGATTTATGATCGAACAAAAATCTACCAGTCACGTGAGTGACTGGGGTGGTCAAAATTTTAAGACCCAATCGCACACCGAGGTCATTTGCATGTACAAGGCATTGTACCATTATTTTTGGGGTTCCCCTCTGATAAACTGACATAACTATGGAAAATCCCCACTTTGCATAGAGAAACCAAGTGGCAATTTTCTATGTCGCTATGTCCATGTTAAACTACCAGAGCTTATGCGCAAAATGTAACGTGCCAATATATCTGGGTAAATTATAATATTTCACTAACCTGAATTAAGGCCATTTGGGGATGATTCCCCTTACTAACCATGATTCCAGTGAGGTCGCAGTGAGGTCGTTATAATTTACCCAGAATATATACGAGGGTTGTAACCACAGGGAGTTGAACCAAAAAAATATGGAGTTTGATCCCCCATACTTGCCTTCCACAATGTGTTTGCCCCCCGCCCCCCCTCAACACTCGCCATAATTTAACATGACCATCTAAACCATCTATGAATCTATGCAGGTTTGGGCCGATTTAAACAGTTCATTGAAGCATCAGCAATCTGCATCTGCATCTATATCCCAGTTTCTCTGGATTTGCCTTCTCTCTTTGCAAATATGAGCCCATTCAATGGCCAAGTTAAGGTGTATCCACCATTACTAGACAAACCATGCCAAAACCCGTACCAACCGGTCATTGTTCTGCAGCTTTTGTGGCAACGTCAAGGTCTCACCAACCATCACCTCCTTCGGCACCTCGTAGTAGCCGGACCAGAAACCCTTGTACTCGGGGAAGTCTTGGGAGGCACTGTAGACCTTGGCTGACCCAATAGTTTTGGAGGTTCCTTACTTGGAGGTACAAAAACCTCCAAAAAAAATATAAAACCATATTCTTGGGAAAATTTGGGGCATATCGCCTGGAAGATAGCCCTGAAATTTAGACCATATGGATCCATATGGTACATACGTACCACCAATATAGATCGCTTCGCCGTTGAGTTTTTTCGCTCCAACTGGCTGGGATATGGGGCCCGAAAAAAATATCCTGTTTGGTCATATTGTCAAGTCGAAACCTTAAGAAAAACCTTAGGTTTACTTTGGTTTATATTTACCCTCTGGCAATTTAACATAGCGAACTGGAAAATCACCATGTTTAATTGGTAAATCAACTATAAATGGCAATTTAAAAAATAGCTATATGTTAGTTTACCAGAGGGTATATGGTTTTTATCGCTAATCCCAAATGTTTAAAGCTGACATTCCCCTTTTTGATAGCTATATCACTATATCACCATAATATCACCACTGAAAAATATAAAACGTGATATCATACCATATCTCATTCTGTACCACATGTTTCTTGCTTAAATGCCCCAACTTCTCTGCTTCACTTTCCACCCCGTTGCCCAAAGACCAAGAGGGGCGGAGCAGCGCGGGATCCGCTGCTGCCCTTGCAGTAGACTGAGAAAGGCCGATCCACGCGTTCACGGGGATACGCTAAACCTCGGCTTTTTAACGAAGCAAAGGGAAGCCTTGGAGACCTACAAGTGGTGGCTAATGGATTGATAATGGCTATGTATATATATATAATGGGTTTAAAGTGGTTAATACTGCTTAATAATCAATAATAAACTAATGGATTAATAATATGTTAATAATGGTTAACTGGTTAACAGTTGATTATTACTATATACTACGGGATCTATAATGGCTAATAATGGGGGAACAAAAAACGCAATGGCATAAAGAACTACCATGACTGGAGATGGTTCGCAAGCCACCCATGAAAATTATATTTGGGGATGGTTTACCACATCAATGGGTATTAATGAGTATTAATGGGTATTTAATGGGTAAACAGTATATGAAACATATCAAGTGTTTGGTTTTCATGGCTATTTAACTTAATGTGATTTAATGGATATTTATTGGGAAACACTATGGACGAATTTCTATGAGTGTTTAACATTGGTATTCCTAGCGAATAATAAGAATACAGTAATAATATGGAATATTAACATTATTTGATACACTCAAAACACTTTAGTCACATCACGCTTCCGTGGAATCCAAAGTCCGCATGGCACAAGCCCGATGCGACCAAGGCACATGAGGGTCACATCAGGTAGTCATTCACAATGCGTTAACCCTACAGGAAGGCCTTCCCCCGCGCAGTTTTTCTTGTTGGTTTATACAACCCCATTCACCATGGCTGGCTGCCTCACCCAACCACCCAACAATAGAACTGCCGGTCATGGTGAGGCCTCCGGGTAGCATGTCATTGCTGGGAACACTGGGTGCATCGCCTTCTCAGCTATGCATCTTCCATCTCTTTAAAAAGGTCCAGCAACTGTGCCCTCTGTGTCTAAAAATTGAGGCGGCCCTGCGGCACCTGCGGCACCTGCGGCACCTGCCCATCAAATATAGTTGACCTAGTTACGCCTGATGAGTTTTAAAACCCATTAAGAATTCACTGACCTATATCTGTTTGGTGGTTTCAACCCCTCTGAAAAAATATTAGTCAGTTGGGATGATTATTCCCAATACATGAAAAAATGTGGAAAAATAAAACATGTTCCAAACCACCCACCAGATATAGTTGTTTTCAACCAAGTTAGCTATTGTTTGGGCTCCCCACCAGTGAAGTAGGACCGCTCCGCTCACCACCAGTCACTAGATGCATTTTTAAGTCCTCCCCAAAGCCCAAAGCTGCAGAAAACTGCAAGTTTGGTGCATTGGAGAAAGGTAGTTTAGCAATTTACATAACCAACAGAAATGAGGAGTGAAAAGTTTAACTAAAAGATAAGAAATTGAGAGTGAACTAGAACCAACAAAAATACTATGTTTCCGACTGGCAGAAATTAAATGCGGATTTTGAGAACCTTGAAGAAACAGGGATATCAACTGACAGAAATGGGTAACCCACGTTAAACAAGGGTGGGATATTCAGCCAGCGATGTTGGGGCTCACCCGGCTCACCCGCCAAAGGTGGAGATATAATAACATTGGCTCTGTTCTTTTTACAAAGCCTATGCTGTTTTGTCTGGGCGAACTTCGAGGCAATGAACATGTGGCTATAGCACTAAGATCAAGTTTGGATATGATGAAGATGCAGTGCTGCTCGGATTTCTGAGAATCTTTGGTCGATTTTGCTGTGAGTATGGCCAACCAAAAACTGCGTGAGGGTCAATTTCTTGAAGTAGTCTTGAGCCAGTAAGAAACTGCTCCAGAAAAAGGAGACTTGATTCTTGGCTTCGCTCATCGCATTGTCAGAATGGATCCTTAGCTGCTCTGGTGGCGCTCGTCCATTTGCCCGAAACCAACTGAGGGTTTCAGATAGTTGGTGGCGCAATGTCAGACCCAAATTGGCATCCTTGGCAGCTGCATCACTGACCAGGTAGTAGCTCTCGCTGATGCGTTCAGCTATTATTCCGGTCAATTTGAGCTCTGCTCTGGTCATTTCAGAGAACTCCTTTGTCATTGCAATGTTCCGTGGCACGCGGAACTTAGCAGTGTCCATTCCATCTAACGTCATGCTCAGGATGCCCTGGGCATTTTCCCGATGGCTAGAACTGAGACGAAGGAAAACATGGTGATACACTAGATCAGTACTGATACACCCAATAAAAAAGGTTTGTTTTTGTTGTAAAGTGACCTTCCCAACAACAAACGCTTAAGATTAGTGCCCTAACGAACAATATGCGTGGCTGCTGGTGGCGAACCGTTGAACCCTTCGCCGAGTCGCATGCTTGTACAAAACGAGTACCGTCGTGAATGCTGCACCAGCCATAGTGCGTATGACCAAAGACATGGACGTCCTCAGATCTCTGGGATTTGGCCAAAAAGTGAGGGGCAAGGTGTAGCTAGTCATCATATGTCATATGTATAGAGATCATATCCATCTTATATAATGGATTTCAATATATATATATATTATACATCTGGTTGGTGGTTTTAACCATCTTGACAAATATGAGTTCGTCAATGGGAAGGATACTGTAACATCCCATATATGATGGAAAACAAAAGCAATGTTCCAAACAACCAACCAGATATTAAGGCGTTTGTAGGTTGACCAACTTATTCACTGGCTATAAATGACACTTGTGAACTGGATAAACCAACTTACCTTTCTTGGCCCCACAAGTCGTGGGACGAACTGAACTGGATCTCGGGATATCTCGGGCACTGTACCCAGCATGGCCATCACCCTCTGGTCTTGGATGTGGGGTATATTACCCTCCGGTAAACTAACATAGCTATTGAAAATGGCCATTTATAGTGGATTTTTCCATTAAACATGGTGATTTTCCATAGTTATGTTAGTTTACCAGAGGGTACACGGCTATACTATGTATAGTTATAATTCGTTGGACTTCTTATATTGCTCACATCATCTCACATCCAAGTGTCACGCCTTTTGAGGATTTTCCATGGGATTTTCCGACTCCGCGCGGAAACCGCAGATCCGCTTTTCTGACTCCGCACGACAGTCACGGTTTTCTTTTCTTCGACTGTGGGAAGGCTGGTAGTTTCAAAGCTGCCATGGGGGCCATTCCTCATCATGTCAACTGACCATCCAAGCTACTTTGCAAATAACATGTTTAGTATTTCAAAAGCATGAAAGAGAATTAAGAACGTCAATTTGGCACCATGTATATATAGTCTCATTCAAGGACGTTCAACAAAATCGAGGGATTGCTATTTCTACTGGCACTTTACTTTCATGGAGATGTCGTCTTTTTCATCAGGGAGACCTAAGCAGATTTGCGTCCATGTCGCTTTCTTGGGGGGCTACATGTTTCTTTGAAACTTTTTGAGGTGTTATTTATCCCGTTAATCACAGGGCAGGGTTATTCACTAGTTGATCTAGTTGTTAAGTGTGAGGAACAACCATGAGTATAGCTGGTGGTTGCACACTTATGCTGCCTTTTGCTCGCATAGTAAAAATATGTTTATCCCCGCAATGATCAGCTGGTTGAGAGGATAAAAAAAGGTGTTTCAAGATGCCCCCTATAGCATCTATAATTCATCATATATTGCTTGTATGATATTTTTACCTCTGATCTCCCCCCAAAAAAACTACCCAGGTGTGTCCAACATGTTGACATATGAGCTATGGTCAATACTCATGGTTAAAAACCATTAATAGGGGCTAGTCATCCAATGGTTCATAGGGATTTATAATAACCATTATAAGGATCCTTATTATGGATGGGATGACCATCAACCATATTAATTAGTGAGTATTGACCATGGCTCATATGTTGACCATACACACCACTCAGATGTGGGAAGCTCCTGGTGCTAAGGCTGCTAAGGCTTGGAACCGCCAACCTCTCCCGTCTCTGGGACGCTTCCCGCCGGCCCAACGTCACCCGGTGGCGCTTTTTGCGCATCCGCACCGCGCAAAGTGCTGCGGATGAGATCTGTCTGCCTGGGACGGCAGGACATACCCGACATGGTAAAGATACCAAGAAACGATGGAAAATCAATGAACATCATGGGAGATGTCCCATTAAAAATGGTGATTATGGTATATTATACCCATGATTTAATGGAATTTTATACTAACAATGGTATATTCATGGGATTTACAATGATTTAATGGAATTTTATAGTGATTCAATGGGATATGAATGGGATTTACCCTCTGGTAAACCAACATAACTATGGAAAATCACAACTGGTTGGTGGTGCAATAACAATCTCGAAAAATATGAAAGTCAATGGGAAGGATTATCGCATATATGATGGAAAATAAACAACATGTTTGAAACCACCAACCAAACAATTTTTAATGGATAAATCAAGTATAAATGGCCATGTCCAATTGTTATGTTAGTTTACTAGAGGGTAAAACTTGACGTCCAAAAGGTGAACTCCTGACAAGCTGGCCATGCCCACAGTGAACTCCACATTGCTAGTGTTAGAGTGTCAAAGACCAAGCGCACTCAAGTGACACATGGAACGACACCGTTGACCAAGGGTAGTGACACCGTCCCCAACCACAGAGGATCAACCGCGCTGACCAGACCAAGGTTCCCCAGCCATATCAAGTTATGGAGAGCTATTTCTGGTATTCTAGCCGTTCTAGCCATAGCAATATGAAATCATCAAGCCGCCATGAGCACAAAATGGGCCCCTCTTTCAGCATCATGGGGATTCAACTACGTCAGGTGACCCCCACATAATCATACCAATAATAATAGTATAATAATAATAGTAGGAAAAAAACTATAAACAATTCTGATGATAATTTAATGAATAATAATACCAACATTTTTTTAACAATAAACATGGTACCATCTGGTTATTTAACAGTTCGCCATGGAAAAATCCACCATTTTGAAGTTCGGTAAAGCATCTATTTCTATGGGCCATCTATACCATGGCTATGTAACAAATAACCAGAGGGTAAATCCCATTAAATCACCATTAGATTCGATTCAATTTCTATTTAATGACCAGTAAATTACCATAAAAATCTGCCACTTTGGCGAAAACTTTGTTAGATTAATAACCAGTTAAGAAAATTAACAATAAACATGGTAATATAACGGCTTGTTACGAAAGCTATTCTTAGGTCTTGGTGGTTAAGATTCGCAGTGGTCGCCCTTATCATTCCTGGAAAAACCACCGCAGTGGTCGCCCCACGGCCCAGTTACGGATGCGACGGCCCCAGTGACCGTTCTGCAATCCTCGGTGTCGCACCACCCGTCCAGGGGGATTGAACCTTCCAGAAGTTTTTCGGGACGAACTTTAAATGGTAATTTACTATGGTAATAACATTGATGGTAAAACCATGAAAATGGTAAAACTGAAAAAAAAATCTATTCCACCTTTAAATAGAAATGAAATAATGGAATGTTAATTATTAACTGGTTATTAATCTAACAAAGTTTTCGCCAAGTGGCAGATTTTTATGGCAAATTACTGGTCATTAAATAAATCGAATGGAATCTAATGGTGATTTAATGGGATTTACCCTTTTGTTATTTAACGTAGCTATGGTAAAAGTATAGATGGCCCATTTATAGATAAACATCATGATTTACCTATTAAAAATTGTGATTTCCCATAGCTACATTGAATATCCAGAGGGTAACGTTTAACAAGAAACACCAGGTTCTTCTCAAAACAACAAAGATCAACAAAGTGATTTAGATGATCTATCAACGAGAAAAACAAAACATGTATGCAATTGTATGCAAGTATCACTGGCTTGATTGGGAACATGTGCAGCTGCCAGTAAGCCATGCGGATTTGTCTGAAAATCAGATCAGGTACCCCGCACTATACACTAAGTAAAGCCACTTTCATGGTTGATCAGTTGACATGAGTTCATCATCATTCTCATGTTCACAGTTCAGTTTCCAATGATACCCATACCGTATGGTAATTTAACATACCAATTGCCAATAGCTATTGAATAACAGCTATTGAAAATTGCCTATTTATACTTTATTAACGATGGTGATTTTCCAGTTCGCAAACTGTTAGTTTACCATTAGTTTACCCTCTGGTAAACTAACATGACTATGGAAAATCACTATTTTCAATAGGTAAATCAACGAACTAAATGGCAATTTTCAATAGCATACGGTAATCTTTCTTCCGCTTCCAAAGGGATCCTCTCAGCCCAGCATCTTCAGCGCCCTTTTCAGGGCGCTTCCAGCTGCAGCAGGCTGCCCCTGGTGGGCACGACACAAGCCTCATTTCGTGGGCGCACAAGTTCCGATATGTTGCGGGGAAGTACCCTGGGGTAAACATTTACATAGATTTGGAAAACCCATGGTTTATGGTGGATTTTCCGCATTTGTGTTACCTGTTAGTTTACAAGACGGTACCCTCTGGTTATTTAAAGTAGCTGTGGAACATCACCATTTTTAGTAGGTAAGTCATCTATGAATGGGCTATGTTCCAGAGCTATTGTTCAGTTACCGGAGGGTGACTGAGCGTTACCATAAAAATTATTAAAAATTACCATATCAAAGCAGAATTACATCTACAATCTAGAAGCCTAAGGCCAGGCCAAAAAACGAAAAAACTGGAAGCCGTAGATGTTTAAACAATATATCTACAATAGATGTTTGGGATATTCCAAAGTTATATAGGCCTTATATATGGTAGGTACCTCCAATAAATCGGTTCCGCTTCGTCATGGCCATTGACAATATCCCAAACATTCCACCGCAACACTGGCTGCCTGACTATGCCAAACCATGGGACTGTTGGGTGGTTTTTTGGTTGGCAAATCTGAGTTTCATCAAACACTAAGTCGGTCACCAAGTCATCAAGCGTTCAAATGTTCAAATCTAGAGTTCTAATTGCTGAAGTTTTCAGTATCTGGATGGAACTCTCTGTACTAAATTGGTTGTGAACTATGGATCCTAACTTCAGTTTCATTGTCTAAGCACAACTTCACAAAGCTCCCACTAAATGGTCTACCAACACGGTCCTCAGCGGCATGTTACCTGAAGTGGATTGAAGTGGTGTATATATATATATGTATGTATGTATGTATGTATGTATGTATGTATGTATGTATGTATGTATGTATGTAGTGGTTTTATATATATACAGTTATATAATGTTATATATATATATACATGAACTCAGGTACATAGGGAAAAAATAATTAATTGTTATGGTGTGTAATGTCATGCAAATTCTATCATAATCTCTCTCTCTCTCAGTTTGTGAGGGAAAATCCAGGATGGTGGGAAGCCACCACACAACGCGAAGCTGGTGCTGGTTGGTGGTTGACCCACCCCTCTGAAAAATGATGGAGTTCTCAACTGAATGGAAAAATAAAAAATGTTCCAAACCACCCACCAGTGTTTGATTATCCCCCCATAGCTCTTGAGAATAACCCATTTATAGATGAATACAGATGATTTACCGACAAAAGCTGGGCAAATTTCCAGAGTAAACTGCTGACTTCAACGGACTCAAGGGAAACTTCATCCCATCCCCCATTACTAAACACCCCCTTTGAAACCATGGTTTTTCGTATGGAATTTCCACATTTTTTTGAGACCATACAAGGGGGATGTTTAATATTAGGGAGGGGATTAAGTATATATATATAATATATATATATAATTACCCTTTGGTAAACATACCAAAAACGATGGAAAATCACCATCTTCAATGGCTAAATCAACGAACTAAATGGCAATTTTCAATATCATTTGGTAATATCTGGTAGCCCCCTGGGCGGTTGCAGCACTTTGGGAGCGGCCCTTTGTGATTCGCGCCAAAGGGCCCAAGTTGTAGAGAGCCAATGCCTGGGACGTCCGCCGTGAATCTGACATCGAATCACCGGTGGAGAATCTCAATATCCAGTGGTTTTTTTTGGGCCCGGTGGGGGAAACATGAAATGCTGCATGTTTAGTCAAAAAGGGAAATTTTCACCGACAGAGTGAAAAACACTGGGATATACCTAGGCCAAGAGATCCAAGAGCTGTGCTTTGTTTGTGGAAAACCTCCATCTCTACAAGCCCCAAACAAAAACGCTCAACGACTCAACATCTGAATAAACGGTTGTAGCAGTTGTACCCTGTGATCGGAAAATCATCCTTCACGGCCCATTCGCCGATCTTTTTTCCCCCATCACCTGCGAAAAGTGGAATGCTGTGGAATGCTGTGGAATGCTGTGGAATGCTGTGGAATGCTGTGGACGATGGCAACCACGAATTTAACCAAGTGATGTTGAAAAGCACCGTAAAATTGTGACATATATGGCCAACAGAAACAATCATAAACACGATTTAACACGCATTAACCCCATGACGATCTTCGGGCTCTCCATGGATCAATAGTCGGGAAAAAAACGTATTGCTTCTTGTCGGTGAATTTCAACCCCCATGGAAAAAAACATATCACTGAATTGGTTTAAGGGAAAACCTACAGGAAACCACAGATTTTCCCATGAAATTTCCCTTACACCTATCCATCGAACAAGTTGCCACATAAGGTGTTTCCTGCGAGGGCAACAGCTCAAGCGCCTGGCGATTCAGCAACCCAAACCGCCAGGCAATCCCAGTTATGTTACTTGGTTTATAAAACCCTATGAACTATAGTTATAGTATGTTATAATACCGATTATAAGTATCAAAAAACCATAGTTATTATTGGAGTTAACATGGTGAATCTTAGATTCCAGCTGGTTATACAAGTTATATAACATAATATGCATTTTACCAAAGCAAGAGATGAAGTTGTACTAGTCAGTATCTATTTCAGATTGACCCAAATAGATATATGATGATATATGACTTGATTTTAAATATGTTCAATGGCCATTTCAGGAACCTAAATTGGAGGTACCTACCATATATAAGGCCTATGTAAGGCCTATGTAAGGGGATATACCCCCAAAATATGGCCAAAAATATGGTACAGTACCTCTATTTTAGGATCCTGGAATTCCCATTCATATGTTAAGCTATAAAACTTGATTTAAAACAAATGCTGGGTACGGCGCTCTGACCCACTGTGCATCCGATCCGACCTCCTCGAAATTCTCCGCGGCCTTCTCGAAAGCTCCTGAGAGAACAAGGAACTAATTTGCCCAATAGCCAAGAACATACCCTTAGGATCCATGTATGGTATATATGCTAACATGACTGGGGTATATAGATGGGATCCATGTTACCATTAATATAGCATACATGGATCCTATGGGATAGGATAGAAGGTGGTGCCCCATAGTTAGAAGTTGGTTTATAAACCCCATTAACTAGTTCGTTATATCTACCATAAACTTATGTTGTCTGCTATACAAGCTAACTCCTGTAAACCTGTTTAAAAAAAAAACGAAAAAAAAGACGATTTGAAAAAGCAAAAAAAAGCAAACAAAAAGCAAAAAAAAAACTGAAAAAAAAACAAATAAACAGCAAATAAAAAGTTGGAAAAAATGCCAAAAAAGACGATTTGAAAAAGCAAAAAAAACAAAAAAAAAACAAACAAAAACCCAGGAAAGCAATGAAACCAGCAGGCAATGGCAACAAGAAACGCAAGAACCAATGGAAAAAGCGCAGGTGACAATGGAAAGAGGCCTGCACACTCAGCTGGACCCGACATTCCCAGAAGGGGTCCAACCTCCTCGCTGACCCTACCCCGGGACCTGGGCTGGGGGGTCCAACCCCCTGGCTGACCCTACCCCGGGACCTGGCTGGGGGGATCGTGGGAGGAGGAGGGGTCAAAAATCGTTTTTTTTTTGTTTTGTTTTTTTTTGTTTTTTTTGTTTTTTCCTAGGAAAAAAGCGAAAAAAAAAATGTAAAAAAAAACAAAAAAAAAACAAACAACGAAAAAAAAAACGATTTGGGAGGACCCCCCCTTCCAGACGAGGGGGTCCCCCCAAGTTTCCAGCCACCTTCACCACTTTCCCGGATGGAGCAGCCAAATCTGCAAAGTTTCCCCCAAACCTAGCCAAAGTTCATGTGCCCAGGCGCCTTGTCACGATCCGAGGCATACTCTTTCATCTGCAAGCTCCAAAAGTAGGATGACATTCTCAGCGAAAGCGACTCCAAGTGTTTTTTTTGTTTTTTTCCAATTGCTTTTGTTTTTTTTTTTTCTTTTTTTTTTGTTTTTTTTGCTTTTTTTCCCTTTTTTGTTGCTTTTTTGTTTGCTTTTTTTTGCTTTTTTGTTTGCTTTTTTTTGCTTTTTTTTTGGCTTTTTTTTCCCCACCTGCCAGGTGAGGGTTGTTAGATTTTATGTCAGTTGCCTCCTCCTCCTTCTCCTCCTTCTCCTCCTCCTCCTCCTCCGCCTCCTCCTGCCTCGTCCTCCTCTCCTCCTCCTCCTCGTCCTCCTCGTCGTCCTCGTCGTCCTTGCTCAACTGCGACCTGCGATCCACAGTGTTCTCTGCCGGACCTCAACCACGACCATCCACGCCCAGTGTTCCCTGCCGGACCTCAACCACGACCATCCACGCCCAATGTTCCCTGCCGGACCTCAACCACGACCATCCTCGCCCAGTGTTCCCTGCCGGACCTCAACCACGACCATCCACGCCCAGTGTTCCCTGCCGGACCTCAACCGCGAGTATCCACGCCAAGTGTTCCCTGCCGGACCTCATGTATGAAGATATGGGACAAAGAATGTGCAGAAGAAAGTTAGAAAGAATGTCAGAAGATATGCCAGATAGAATGCCAGATAGAATGCCAGATAGAATGCCAGAAGATATGCCAGAAGATATGCCAGATAGAATGCCAGATAATATGCCAGAAGATTTGCCAGATGGAATGCCAGATAGAATGCCAGAAGATTTGCCAGAAAATATGCCAGAAGATATGCCAGATAGATATGCCAGAAGATATGCCAGAAGATATGCCAGAAGATATGTCAGAATATATGCCAGAAGATATGTCAGATAGAATGCCAGAAGATATGTCAGAATATATGCCAGAAGATATGCCAGATAGAATGCCAGAAGATATGTCAAATAGAATGCCAGAAGATATGTCAGAATATATGCCAGAAGATATGCCAGATAGAATGCCAGAAGATATGTCAGATAGAGTGCCAGAAGATATGCCAGATCATATGCCAGAAGATATGCCAGATAGAATGTCAAATAGAATGTCAGAAGATATGTCAGATAGAATGCCAGAAGATTTGCCAGTAAGAAAATGTATAAATGTCATGGTGGGGATCACACGAAGTAAAGTAATTTGCTTTTTTTTTTAATCGCTTTTTTTTTGTTTTTTTCAAAATGGCTAAATCGCTTTTTTTTTTTGCTTTAAAAAAAAAATGCGCTTTACAGAATTAGCTTGGACGGTGCATCATAACCATAAACCATAGTTATTGGAGTTATAAACCAACTTAGCTAACTATGGGGCACCACCTGGTAGAACGCCATTTGGAAATCATGTCTCAACATGTCTCAACTTCAAACTGCATGTTCTTGTTTTTTGTTGTCCGTTTTCCATAGTTTCCCACTCCTCTCCAGCAACCATTTCATTGTTTCATGCTCGATTCTTCATGGCACAAGCTTGTGTCCTGCTTGGTGGTCCTTCGAGCTAGCTAGTCGATTAGTTCACCCCAGTTAATTCATGTTCATTCAGTAGGGCAAGTAGGTCTAGTTCAGTCGGGATTGTCATGATTATCTCCTCCGGTATATAATTTGACCGAAATATGGAAAATCACTAAACCATTGTTTATAATTGTCAAATGATGATTGAGCTAAAAGATCATCAATGATCACAATCACTAAACCGAACTATAATTGACCGAAAATCACGATATCTTTTAGCTCAATCATCGAACTAAACCATGGCGTCCAACAGTTCACGAGGGCCAAGGGTCCACGCGCGTAGTGGAGGCTGCCCAGATTGTTGAGACATTCGGCCACGCTTGGGTGATCTCGTCCAACCAGATCTTTCCCTAGACCCGCTGATCGCCCCAAGCTGGCTTCCCCAAATGCGGAATGGTTATCCAATGAGAAAAGACCACCCAAATAGGTCTTCAGCAAATCTAAGAACCCCAACAAAACTTGGGGCTTCAAACACTGGAACCCCGGTTATGTCCTCATGTTTCATGGGTAAATCGGTATGTTTTGGTGTTTTTCAAATGCAAACATCTTCAACATCCGAGGTTTCAGTGCTTTTGCTGCAACACAACATCAATCATCAATGAAGCCACCCACCAACCATGGGAGAAAAAAAACACTTACCCTCTGGTTATTTAACATAGCCATGGAAAATGGCCCATTTATAGATGGTTTACTTATTAAAAATTGTGATTTTCCATGGCTATGTTAGTCATAACCAGATGGTAAATTTGACTCTTCATCATGGCGATTCAAACCAAAACCGCCAGTCTGGTGACCAAGAATAAACACCACTGGTACCGCCAAATAGTTGATAATTAATCATCATGTTCCGCAACCTCTGGGGTGATATACTTAAGTTGCGGACACACCGAAAAAATATCAGATTAGTGATCATATGATATATATATATATGTATTCTCCACAAGTATATTGCCCATATATATATATATACATATATATATATATATCTATATGTCCTATATTATATCTATAAGTTCTATCAGCATGTTCCATCATTTCCCGTGTTAAAATCACCCATTTTTGACCTGAAAATCACCGTTTCGCCGAGGCACTCAGCTGTAGCGCTTCCTGGTGATGAGCCAAGGCGGTTTCCGGCTGCCCCAGATCAAAGTAGGCCACGCCCAAACTGCTGCAAACCTGTGAGGTTTTCCCATGTTTTTCCGTTGAAAAACATGAAAAAAACTGGTGGATTTTGGTAGATTTTCTGGATTTAAATGGTAAATCTATGGTAAATCCTATGGTAAATCTTGGTAAATCTATGGTAAATCTATGGTATTTCTGGATTTGGTGGATTTTTACTGGGAAAATTTTGTGGTTGGTGAATGTTGCTTACAGTTTTTTGAGTGACACTTTGCTGATTTTTGCCCTCAACCATTACTGTAGTGACACAGCGACAAGATGTTTGTGTACAGTGAAGACTTCTGATTTTTCCGTGGTGTTTTCACCAGTTCCATCCGGGGTATGGCTGTGACGTCACCACCCTAAACGCCTGCTGAATTTCATCCGGTAGAAATGCCAGGTGAAATCCATGAACATCATCACTTTTGCTGGGCTATGTGTATTGTTTGGCGAAATGACTTCTCGAAGTGTAAGATACGGATGACAAAAAGGCATATGGCAAAATGCCGTCTGCATATATCTGCATATCTCTGCATATATCATATGTATCACATGTTTTGTTTGCCTCAAACTCCACGTTTGGTTAGTGTTCACTGTCGTTTGGCGTAAGGTCAAACTTTTGATTGCTAAAAACTCATGGTTTGCTACTTCAATCCATTTCTGCCGCTGAACTCCGATGTTGCTGTTTAAATCTACATCTTGTCCCAATTGTAAATGCAATATTCATGATGTTGCTCTTCAAATATGTTAAAAACCGCAACCATGGCGGCTAAAATCCTGTTTCATGTTATCATTATAGTCATCATGTTTTTGATCAAACCACAGTAAGTTTCATGATGTTCTTCCCATTCCATCACAATCTTCCATACGTGTGTATTTCCCTATGTACCATGAATATATAATTCATTCTCCATTATTGGATATCACCAAATTTATGCCATAGTCATATCATTTACATCAACATCTTCCATTATTCATTATCCCCGTTATTCAGCTGTATCCCCAATATTCACTTATATATCCATCAACATTTGTTTACATCATACATCAACATATTCCATCATTTTACCATCATTTTACCATAGCTATAAATTTTTACCAAAGTGTTATTCATATTTATTCATTATCCCCAATAAAAGTTCCCTTACCCTCCTCTAAACATACAAAAAAACTGCGGAAAACCCACCTTCTTTCAAGTAGATGATGTTCCCAACAGGAAACCTGGGGTTTTCCATGGTTTTCCACATCTTTCTGTATGTTACCCCAGTGTTTTTTCATTGATATGTTCAATGGATGGAAGCCAGCAAGCAGGTACAATATATTGGACAGACCCATGTCCGCCATGTCCAACCCGGACATCCTCAGTTTCTGAATGGTTTTCAGCCGACTTATTTATGTTATACCATGTTATATCCCCATCTTCCATCACTTTACCACAGTTTAATCTCCTACCCTCTGGTAATTTAACAATTTGCTATTGAAAATGGCCATAGAAATAGTTGGTTTACCTATTAAAAAATGGTGATGTTCCATAGTTTTTTGTAGATTTACCAGAGGGTAAATCCCACTCATATCCCATTGAATCACTATAAAATTCCATTAAATCATTGTAAATTCCATGAATATACCATTGTTAGTTTACCATGTCGGGTATATCTCCTCAGTTCAGTCATCGCCTCAGATTTCACGAAGCGCGTGTGAATCAAGGCCTTGGTCAACTTCGCATCCTGCGGGGATACAAAGGGAAGCTGAGAACCAGCCACAACTCCTGGGAATTTCATGACAAATCCCCATAAATTTGGTGGTTTTCATCGGAAAAAACAGGTAACATCTGAAAAAATGATTGTTTTCATCGGAAAAACCGGGTAACATCTGAAAAAATGATGGTTTTCATCGGAAAAACCGGGTAACATCTCAAAAAAGGAGGGTTTTCATCGGAAAATCCAGGCAAAATCTGAAAAAATGAGGGTGTTCATCGGAAAATCCAGGCAAAATCTGAAAAAATGAGGGTTTTCATCGGAAAATCCAGGCAAAATCTGAAAAAAATGAGGGTTTTCATCGGAAAATCCAGGCAAAATCTGAAAAAATGATGGTTTTCATCGGAAAATCATTTACGGTAAAGTCATGGGAAAATCATGGGTATCACGAAGTGTACGCCAGGAGATCATGGATCAAGTCTGACTTGAAATCCCCATTGACCAATGACCGTGGAAAATGACCTTCATGCCTTAACTTACCAATTAAATGGCCTAGGGATGCCTAGGGGTTTACTAATCCAGGGTTGACATTATGTATAATTATTTATGTATTACCCTCTGGCAAACTAACAGTTTGCGACATAGAAAATGGCCCAGTCGAAATAATGAATTTAAAAAAAAAATAACCCATTCATAGCATGGTGTTGATTTTCCATTCCATCGTTTTGTTGGAAACGTTTACCAGGTCGGGTAGCATCTGGTTATTTAACAGTTCGCCATGGAAAATCACCATTTTTAATAGATAAACCATCTATTTCTTTGGGCCATCAACAAACCATGGCTATGTAACAAATAACCAGAGGGTAAATCACCAGACAGTTCCATTAAATCCCATTAAATCACCATTAGATCCCATGAACCTCATATAAATCCATATAAATCCATATAAATCCATCTAAATCCAAATAAATCCAAATAAATCCATATAAATCCATATAAATCCAAATAAATCCATCTAAATCCACATAAATCCATATAAATCCACATAAATCCATATAAATCCATATAAATCCATATAAATCCATATAAATCCATATAAATCCAAATAAATCCATATAAATCCAAATAAATCCATCTAAATCCAAATAAATCCATATAAATCCATATAAATCCATATAAATCCATCTAAATCCAAATAAATCCATCTAAATCCAAATAAATCCATCTAAATCCAAATAAATCCATCTAAATCCATAAATCCATATAAATCCATATAAATCCATATAAATCCATATAAATCCATATAAATCCATATAAATCCATATAAATCCAAATAAATCCATCTAAATCCAAATAAATCCATCTAAATCCATATAAATCCATATAAATCCATATAAATCCATATAAATCCAAATAAATCCATCTAAATCCAAATAAATCCATCTAAATCCAAATAAATCCATCTAAATCCACATAAATCCATATAAATCCATATAAATCCATATAAATCCATATAAATCCATCTAAATCCATCTAAATCCATATAAATCCATATAAATCCATATAAATCCATATAAATCCATATAAATCCATATAAATCCATATAAATCCAACCATCTCTCGCCATCTTCGCCTTCTCCCGAAAGTCGATGGCTTCCGACAGCAGTTGCAGGGCATTTTGGTACTGTCCGATGGCCGTCTCGGCGTCCCCCAGCTGGTGGTTCTGACGCCCCACCTGCATCCGAAAACAACAACGAGGTCGGCAAGCAACAAAAATAGGGACCAAGAAAAAGTTGGGTTATTCACGAAAAATATGCTTCATTGGTGATGATAAGCAACAAATAGTGGGGAAATCACTAAAAAGTTGGGTTCATTGGTGATGATTATGTGATAATAGTTGATTGATGATAGGGAGCTGCTTGAAATATATGTTCGACACACTGGATCGATGGCCGATGTATCTATCGTTCAATGGGTGTTTTTGAACCAACTTGTATATAACTGGAGTCCCGTGCCTGTAGAAATAAATTAAATCTAGTAACCAAATGGTATGTTGAAATCCTTTTTTTGGTACTAGTATGTTGATGGTCCCAAGCCATTTACTCAACACCGTCCGCTCGACTCTCCAGAAATCAAACCTGGCTACTGTAGCTGATTCTCAGAGGTACACCAACGGCATAAAAATTGCAATCCCCATATGATAAACATGTAAAATTAGACAAATACAGGAGAATGGTCAAATGTCAAGCTTCTATATCTTTCCATTTTCCCATGTTTAAATGTTTATCCCTCTTTGCTTGGGGCTCACTATCTATCTATCTATCTATCCATCCATCTAACTACCTATCTACCTATTATCTATCGATATATAATCTATATAAATAAATAAAGAAAGAAAGAAGTACATCAAAATACAACATATATGTATGTATATATATATATATTATACATCTCTATGCTATCCAGCTCCCTACCGGCTCTGTCACCGGCCTCATGGAGACTCTTGGCCAAGCTGACTCCGATGGCCGACTTGCGAAATGGAAGCGTTTCAGCCTGGCCCGGACATAGATATTGATATACATATATAGATACATACATATACATAGTCATATAAGTTGATTTATGATAAGGAAATCTGATATATATATATATATATATACAGTTGAATCATGATAAGTTGGTTGTAATAAGAAGGTTAAGTGTTCAGGTTTTGATATATCGGTCCAGTTAGATGGGCTAAATTGATTCTTATTTCGGCTTATAAACCAACTTAGTGACTCACCCCAGGAATCGCAAGTGAGGTACTTCAGCTCACCCCAATGGATTGTCTGGAGTGAAATAACCCAGAAACACGATTCGGAAGAAGCACCCTGGGGAACTTTCAGTGAATGTTCAAAATAAAACATTCCCTCCATCCAACACAGAGCAAAATAGCTTTGGACAATTACTTTCCAGAATTAACCACCAATTTTCAGAATGCGAGTCTTGCGAGTTGTGTAACTTTGGTTAAATGACAACTCAGTTGACCTTTCATTGGTTACTCAGCTCTATGTGGCTGACTTAATATCTTGTGAGATATCTCACTTGTAAAGGAATTCAATCCTCCAAATCAATACCCACACAGGGGACCACAACGCCACACCCAAAGAGTCAATCAGGGTTTCTTTAAGGGGGGTGGTTATTTCATGTTCAATGGATTGGTTTAAGGGAAAATCTACAGGAAACCATAGATGTTCCCATTTAATATGGGGATTTCCTGCAAATGTTACCCGAAACCAATCCATTGACATGTTGTTTCCCATCTCTCTTATGGTTATCCCTCTATGACTTCCATCGCCTCGTATTCCTTCTGTTGAACCTCCAGCGTCTCCTGGTCACGGAGCTTCGCTGTGGTAGCATGTTGCAATCCCCAACATCAACATAATGGTATAAACGACCGTAGATGTTCATGATTGATTTTACACAGCAATGTTAGTTTACCATGGGTTCAGTATATGAGGGGTGGGGAAAACAACCCGGCTTTGGGGATATTATATATTTGGTCTTGGGTTGGCTGGTATCCATATATGGCAATGGCATATTCCACCAATGCAGAAGTAATCCATGTGTGACAATGTGTGGATAAATTGGTGGTTTTCCATCTCGAAGCCAGCAGCATCTACTGCCCACAGCCCCAACAACAACAAGGGCACCCAAAATCATGCAAAACATTGCAAAACCCACTTCCCACTCATAAACACAGTCTTCTCCAACCTCAGACTGAAAGAACCTACAGTAACCTTCCTGTAATCACTGGCATCAGTCACACAAGCGCTCACCATTTGCAGAAGATCCTCTGGATGCTCATTGGAACCTGGCAAACGCATACAATATATGTTGTGCATATATATATATATATATATATGTGTGTATATGCATGATTATATAATTATATATGTATATGTGCGCATGTATATATATATATATATATGTATATTATAGATGTAATATACAGTATACACCATGAAAAGGTCAAGATGCTGTAAAATGCCTCTACTTCAGGCCCTAAGCACCTCTGTCTTCACGCCAAACTCCCGTCCTGCAGATACGCCAAACCAGTTGCAGCACGACCCAGGTCGAGGCCCATAGTCTCGAACTTTCCCAAGTTAATGTAGCGATTCGACCTCCATTTTTTCCCGCTGAACTGAGTTGTTTGGAAAATCCATGGCGCATCTCAGGGGGTTTTCCAACTTTTACATATCTATGTTACTTATATAATACATATATATATACATAGTAGTGGGTGCGTGTTCCTCTTTGTCTGTGGGCTGCCAGCACTGGTCCAGAACTATATCTAAATTTCTCAGAACTAAATATAAGGTAGTCCAGAACTATAAGTTTTGCTTGAGCAATTTTGTGATCTGCGTGTTGGAAGTGGCGCCCCTCCATATATCAATCATCCTGGATGTATCAGTACGAGAGATGGTTTGCAACCCTTGATATTCTAGAGGAACTGCACTGCCACATTGGCGAAACATGTGTGACAGTTGCCCTCTCCATCGCCATCTACCAAAACTGCCTGCAGCAGTTGGCAAGTGGCTTTCCCCGGTTTGCAACCTTTGTTTTGCCAAATCTATTATCCAAGAATCGTATCAATTCCACTTTTCTTGGTAAATATATCCTCCGCATACCTCCGGTGAACCAACATGATATGGAAAACAAACCAATTGGTTTTCCATATCTTTGTGTTACACTGGAGGGTTATCATCCAGTATCTCCCTATCCCGATAGCATCCCAATTTGTTCTTGAACCCCCTTCGTATATCTTTGTATCCTATGTTGATGGTTAAATCCAACTATATCCTCATTATATTGTCAATTTGTTGGTGGATCCCCAGACTAATTGACAATATAATGAGGATATAGTTTCAATCCTAATTGTCAATTATTGGTTGCAATCCCCATCCAAACAAATATAACTTAACTTACCATGGTTACAACCCCAGACTGACTTGTTTGGATGTTCATCGTAAGTTTTCATCCTATGGTTCATCATCATTCCTTTTGGATCCACATCCTTGCTGAAAAGGGGTGCGAAAAGCCCTTTTCATCATACCCCAAATACCGGCAGGACGTACTTGATTCCATATGGATTGCTATAATTCATCCAGAGTAATAGTTACATATTTATATATTTATATATATAGTTACTGATAGTTGTTATATAGTGATGACAAAAAAAAATGCTATACAGTGATGACTAAAACATAATGGGATCATACGAAAACATGGAATTGTCAAGGTCTTGTTGGCGATGTTGGCGATGTAGTTGGCCCATTCCAATGGTCATCTCTCTCCCCATCGCCATCCCGAAGGTCCAGACGATCATTTCCCTGCTTTAAATGGATCTGGTTGGTGGTTGACCTACCCCTCTGAAAAAAATATGAATTCGTCAGTTGGGATTATTCCCAATCTATGGAAAGTCACAAAACTCATGTTCCAAACCACCAACCAGTGTTTGATTATCCCCCCATACAGTAGCTCGTGAAAATAACCCATCTATAGATGATATAGATGAATATAGATGAATTTAACATAGCTATTGAAAATTACCATAGAAATAGTTGATTTACCCATTAAACATGGTGGATCTTTCCATAGTTTTTTGTATGTTTACAAGAGGGTAAATGGATCAATTGATCGTCAGGGCACGGATTTGCCGCCGCCGCAAAGGCTCTGCGCTTCAGTGGGCCGCGTGCCACGCCGCCCAGGCGCCAGGCGAGACCACCGGCACCGCGGAGCGAAGCAACGGCCATGGCTGGGGAAATGGGGCGGAAAAACAGCCGAATCCTATGGGATTTGGATGGATTTGGGATGGACTCTAGATCATTTTGGAAGATTTTGGATGGACTTTGGATATGTTGGATGAATTTTGTGGTTGTTGAGATAGCAGCCATCATTTTATGGAGTTTTCTGTGGATGGAATCTATTTTTGGCCTCTTGCGGCTCTGGAATCTTGACACTGGGGCGTTGCTGTGCCTCAACTTCCTGTCCCTCTATCAATACGGCGCTTTAAGATACTATAATATACGTTAAGTATGTTCCTCTTTCTTGCCAGCATGTTTTGAAACGAACTGTTGCTTCCTCGCATCAAAATCATCACGCCACTGAGGCTGAGGAGCGCCGAGCCGACATAGCGATCAGAGCCACGACAGCATCCACCCCTGGAGGTGCTCAGATTACCGGCGAAGCCGGTCCAGTCAGATCACCAAACGGGATGATCGACGGGCACAGCGGGAGGGCTGTCCATCTGCATTTTCACAATTTCACCATTTCACTGGTGAAATTCCATGCTTGGTAAGATCCAAATGGATGTTGCTTAAATATGCTTAAATAATCATGAAGTTCATCTTTTCCGCCTTGTCATTTCCCCGTGTTGTTTCGTGTTCATGACCAATTAATAGCTGGCTAGTACGTGTTTCCATTTGGGGGAAATACATTGAAGTACTGAATTAACTACCCAACTCACCAGTTGCTTTACCCATCATTGTTCTTTGTGCAAAATGCAATTTTTAGAGATTTCTCTAACACATAATCACCATATCCAAAGGGCTACATCCCCATCATTGATTGTAGCAGTGTTTGCTGAAAAAGTCGCTAAGTTACCCTATGGGAAGCCGTTAAATTAACATCTCTATGGAAATCAGCATTTTTTTAACGGTAAATCACCGAACAAAATGGGCCATTCGATGACTTCCAGCTCGCAAACTGTCAAGGTTTACTGGAGGGTAAATTCCATATGTTGCCATTAAGATCATAGTTATAAACCAGAGTTAAACCTGAGTTCACCCATAGTTAAAACATAGTTAAGCACAGTTAATCCCACTGAAAATTCCCATTGGAAGCACTCAGCTGCCCGTAGCATCCCATAGCGTCCAAGATGCAGGCGCCCAGCGCTTGAGTCGCTCACCAAGGAAGCTGGAACCCACAGCCTGGTGTATAGAGTTCTGTATGTATAGTCATGTGTATATACGTATGAGACAGATGGACTTAGATAGAAATTATATATATATATATATATGTATACACATATTGATATATATATATATATATTATATGTGTGTGTTATACATATATATATACATACGCGGGATGAGAATATTCAGGGAAAGAAATAGGTTAGAACTGATAATTTGGCTCAATAGAATTGAAGGTTTCCAACTTCGCCCCATCACCCCATCGTCCGGACATCTCCCACCTTGGCAATGGGTGGGAAGTAGAGAAAACCTCAGACATGCAGCGTGGCTTCACCTCACCTGAAATACTGTGGAAAAGTGAAGTTAATGATCCATTTCGTAGGCAATACCATATAATACCAATGTGTTTCCAGTTTGCGGTTGTTTGATGACAATTGACGATTTCAAAGCTCAACTGACTTACAACTGCAGGACAAAAAGGTCACTTTTTGTGTGGCCTGGTGGAAGAAAATTAACTCCTCGCCCCAGTCAATGGATGCCAACAGGTACTCTGTGGCAAGCAAACATGGCAATGGTAAATCTCCTATCCTTTGTTTTTTTGATCGGACAATAACCAATTACTGTGGGAATTTCCTTTGCCATGTTGGCTTCTAATGACGGTACATGCTCTGGAGCAAATTGATGCAAAGTAGCCTGTATGGGTGGCTTAAAAGAATTAGGATCATCATGATCATCCCGGATAGGTTGGATAGGTATAGAACGTGCAGAACGTGCCCTCCAACTAACATAGGCCCTGCCACATGTTATGGGTTCCGTTCGTCCGTGGCTTCGTCACTTCGTCGCTTTCCAAGGGGCGCTTCTCTGGCAGTAGGTCTGGCCGCGGCAAGAAGTGCGAGAAGGTGATCACCTGAGATACAGCATCGAAGGGTGGAAAAGCATTGAAATCTGAAAAAAGGTGCATGTCAGAAGGTAGATATAGAAAAAACAAGAGCATACAGTATCCATGAATATATCTGATGACATATCCAATAAGGTGAACTAGCTGGCTCACAAATCAGGAGCCAAGTTTGTAGAAAACCTAAGTGGATCAATGTTGGATTTGAATTTGAAAATATGGCTGATGAGTCAACGAGTGATAATATGCAATCAGGGCCAACATGTGGTCGAGGTTCACACTATACGGCGTTTTATTATTATTTCCTCTTTGGGAACATGTTCATATTAGTTCATATTAGTTCATATATGCTCATATTAGTTCAAAGTTCAAGGGGATGCCAATGATATAAACAGGGACAATAAATTCATCTGGTTGGTGGTATACCTACCCCTCTGAAAATATGAGTTCGTCAGTTGGGATTATGACATTCCCAAAATGATGGAAAGTCATGACAAATTCCATGGTTCCAGTCACCACCAACCAGATACTTTATCATTAATCACCATGATTACTCACCATTAATCACCATTAAACCATATATTACTCACCATTTATCATTAATTACAGCCATCATTAAACCATGATTGGCTGACTTGGACTGTAAGCCGTTGCGAGGCGTTCATTTCAACCAATGACCTGGGGCTGTCTGGGCTTTTTCTGGGTTCCCCACTGCCCTGGCCGAAGGCCTTGATGCTCGCAGAGCCTGGGAGCGAGCATACGATCGACAAGAAAACTCTCACGAAATAGATCTAAATAGTGATACATATAACCCATAGGATCCATGTATGCTATATATGGTAACATTTACCATCAATATACCTCAAAATGTTAGCATATAATGCATATATACCATACATGGATCCTATGGGTAATAAATTGAACAAGGTGGTGCCCCATAGTTAGCTAAGTTGGTTTATAAGTCCAATAACTAGGGTTGATTAGGGGGTTATATCTATAGTTCATGGGGATTATAAACCAACAAACATCACTGGGGGGGTACCACCTTGAACCTTTTCTATCTTTTGGATTCTTTTGGGGGTTGGCATATTATGTATCCTTTCTGGGGGTTGGCATATGTATCTATATGATTCTATATGTGCTGTTCAATGCTGGGGTGGTTTGGAGATAAGCAAGTCGTGTGATAGCTGGGTGTGAATGGCATACGTCAGGGCCGATCATCGTCTGCAGCTTTTGTGAGGGACTGTCCGACAGTAACACACAAAGAATCTGACCGGGGAATCTTGGACATCTTCAAGAACAGTTCAGTCTATACATATATCTAGGTAAATGATAATATTTCACTAACCTGAATTGTTGGGCCATTTGGGGATCATTTCCCGTACTAACCATGATTTCCAGTGAGGTCGCAGTGAGGTCGTTATAATTTACCCAGATAGATGACATATATATGACTATCACAAGTGAAATGGGCTCGAGAAAAGTAGCGTAGATCTGGGGGAGTCACTTGGATTGGTTGAAGGCAGAAATGTCAAAGCCAGATTTTGATTCACCCCTGGGCCGTTGATCAATCGGGGGTACCATTTTGAACTTGTGACACTTGGCAACAAATAAGCACTTCTTGTGGGTTACTTCTAGCGTTTCTTAAACCGGGGTTGAGCTTGTCATACATTGCCTTTGAAAGGTTCTTGCGGGTATCCCCCTTTGGCCCCAATATGTTGCATAGATGGGTCATATATGGGTCTATCCGTGGTCTTTTCCATGTTGACTTTTCTGATAAGTTGGTTCTTTTTATCCATCATCAGCAATATAGATAGATCCATATAAGTCCCATGATTATTGCTGATTATAGGTCAAAAGAGCCCACTTATCACATATTGAAAGAACTATTTATACATAAATTCCCGTTAAACCACGTGTTTTCTGTAACTCACTATATGATATATATAAATATATATATGCATGTATGTATGTATGTATGTATGTATGTATGTATGTATAGTTCCAGTCTTCACTCATTTTTTCGGGCCCTTATTCTTTTTTTTGTTGTTGGTATAGGGGGCGCCTTCTGGGGCGAATTCCATAGGCGGCGCAGCTTTTTTTGACCACGAATTCTGTCCAACTTCTCCAGGTGCAAGATCTGCACCACATGGCAGGCTATGTGCAATACGCCTGCCGTGCTTCTTTGAAGCTGTCGCAAAAAGCGCTGTAATGTATCTAGCTGTTTGCCTCTGTTACAGTCTTCGTGTTCTTTCTTTTGTGGGCGAGGTTCATCTTCCCTTCGCCATCTTCTTTCGACCGGCTTCTTCTATGACCGGCCGCGGTGTGACCCAACGATGACTTTGCATCTGATTCTTGTGCTTCTTTCTTGTTTAATCTTCTTCTTCCTCGAGGCAAACAGATTCTAACTGTACAAAAGCCAGACTACAACCGGTGTGTGTTCGACACTCCCACCATGGATTCTTTACAGGTGTGAAAAACCATTTACATTTGTACAGCGTTGTTGTTCACAAAGACCTCCAAGTCCCCAAAGATTTCCACAATGGTCAATGATTGCCTTGCCGTTCGTGATTCGCACCAGCACAGATTGCAGCACCTTAGCCCGGGTTCTGAGGGAGCAATTGTTGCATGTTTGCAAGGTTACATGTATAATCATGTATAATATATATATATATATATGTGTGCGTGTTATTATTGTATATATATATATATGTAGGTATTTTTAAAAACTTGCAACGTGCGTGCATTTAAATGTTTTTTGCCAGGTATAAAAAAGCACCAAAGGAATATGTTTTCGCGTTAGGTTTGTTCGATGTAGCTGATGCGCACGCTATAGATGAAACCAACATTTCTTGAAAGATGCCTTTTTGAAATGTAGCGATGACTATCCGACTCCGCCGCTGCCAGGCTCAGGACTGCCTTCTTCATGAAAGTTTTTCTCCGACCCCTGCATTAGACGCCAGGCTGTTTAGCGTCCTCCTAAAACTTGCCGGGTTAGGACCGGCATGCCGCTGAACCTGGTGCGCTCCTAACAGAGCTGCCGTGGAGCAAGACACCAGGTGCAAGCTAAAGTTCAAAGTTGCAGGCTGACGCCCTCACACCTTATGGATTTTGTTGTGAACTATCTATCTATCTATTCTCTCTCTCTCTCTCTCTCTCTCTCCCCCTCTCTTCAAAACCATTTAATGTGTATATTGTATATAGCAACATGCTTTAAATATATATATATAGATATATTAAAGAAAACGCATGCATCAATTTGAATTCTGTGGGGCAAGTGCAAGAGCAAGCCGCGAAGCAGCCTCGGAGCAGATTGCCGTGAAATCGAGCTACAAGGAAAGCAGCTTTGCCTGGCCAAATTAATTGATGAAAGATTGTGCATTCACTGTTTGGCTCTATGATGGCTACGTGCACTGGGAAACCCTTGCCTGCCAAGCCAAGCGTCACGCGGGTGTCTTGTCGGCGAATGCCTTTGACCGAACCAGCAGCAAAGAAAGGCGTTAGGTAAATCGGGGGATGAACATTTTAGGCCCAGGCTTTTGACCATTGCCAGAAATTGTGAAGATATGGTCGTACCAAGACCCAAATATCCCCATAAACATGTCGTTTCTACGTCTGTCCATCTCAAAGCCGAAACTGAGGCGGCGGCGCCTATAGCGCGGCCTACAGGAAGCGACGCGGGTCAGCAAATGGAAAAACGACTTCTAGGGCGGCCAAATTCAACATGATTGATCCCACCAATTGAATTGAGTACATACAACTGCTATACCGGCAAAACCAAAGCTCCTACAAAGACACCTCTAAAACCGGCTTCAGTAGTAAGTGGTAGCGTAGCAGCGTCATTGTAGTCGTTGTTAGTTGTAGTTGTACTTGTACTTGTAGTTGCAGTAGTTGTAGTAGTAGACAGATTTCGGGTGTGAACCATCTCTGAATGGAGCGTGCACCGGTATGACAAGCCCTCTGCTCCGAAGCAATCAAACTGCCACATTTCTATTGTGCTTTGCATGCTGGAAATATGGCATTGCTTTCGCGGAAGATTTAATTTTACATAACACCGGGCAAAAACACCAGCAGTGGGATAGAGTTCCTGCTCCAAGTTCTGTTCGACAATGTGAGTTTTACTGTGCTCCATGCTTTTCTTTGGCTGCAACCCCGGGATCGCTGAATATGTTTTTGCTTTTATGTGGCAGCCCCCTTCTGTGTTGAAAATACCAAAATGTTCGTGCACAAGGTCAAGAAAAAGAAAAGATTGCCAGCACGAAGGGGAATTGTCCTCCTACTCAAAAACCGGTAGGGGCAGATCTGAGGTGATTCCGCATGTTGGCACTGACTATTCTATTGGATTGCGTTCAAGATTTCAAATTCATGTGCTGGATCCCCCAAAAAAGCACTGCTAGCAAGAGACATGGGCTCCATCGAACCTAGGCCGCGCTTACGCAGGAAACCTCGGATTTACAACCTTCCAACATAAGCATGGCCCTAAACATGTAATTTGGGTGCAACCCCCCGTAGACCCCAAACACCACACACGGGGATGAGGACAGCTCCTGATGCTGATTATTTCAGACGCGTCTGCCAGATCCAAGAATATATGACTATCTGGCCTTCGGCTCTTGAATGGACGCCGCCTACAGTCGGGCAGGGGACGACAACATTCTCAGAAGCAAAGAACGTTACCCTATTTGGTCAAGCCACATCTGATTTGAAGCCGATTTTCTTTTCATAGTGTGGGATGTTTGTTTGTTGGTACCTTTTAGCTTCCGCTGACACTTAGCATCTCAATTAGAAATGAAACGTCCCTACCTTGGACCGGCTTGGATTTTAACATTGGTGAAAAGAGAGCGATTTCGAAATGCATAAGAAAACACAAAATCCAAAACCCTGAAATAGAAAATGAATGAAAAGGATTGATTGATAGAACAAACTGACCAGCAAATCCCAGTCATCAACACCTTGCCTGCTGATCCTCCTAAATCTCCTCATCGCGTGACGCTTCTGCTGCGAAACCAAGATCCTAGCGGGCAAGAGACCGGCAACATGCTGATCACACCCGGGAATAAAATAAAAAGCGTGCCTAAAAGGTTGATGAAGCTGAACCGATTCCAACCAAACTCTCTGTCTGGCTTAGTTTATTTAAATTTTGTGTTGGGTATATAACTACATTCGGGAAATTACAGTGCAAGGAAGGTTATATATTCAATTGTTCAACGTCGCTATTTTCTTATGATGATTGACTTTGTATAGAGCGATACCCTTTCAGCGTTTTTCAACTTCCATTCCTGCCTCCTTTCTCTTTTTTGCTATTTGGTGATCTTTGCCGCTTGCGCGCTCCCTGGCTAGAGAAGTCAGTGTGATCAACTTTGGGTTTCATATTGCTAACATGATACCAGACCAAATTATATAGTTTAAGATTGGTTATACACGTTCCAGGGATATGAACAAAAAACATTCACCGCATGTCAAGGGTCATAAAAATTCAAAAACCGCAAAGTTACTTATATACTACTCGCCATGGACATGGCCAAAATAGGTGGCCCCCTGTTGGTTGTGAAGGTTTGTTCTTTAATCCTATGTGTAAAAACAGGGTATCGGTATATATGTGGATGGTCCTCTATCGGTTATGAATGTGATCACGCAAACTTGACCATCCGAAGTCCAATCCCTACTACTTTCATCTTCCACTAGTTTTATTGGTTGCTCATATTTGACAATGAAGGTGCTTCATCCAACACCGACATCTTATGTTACGTGGCTTACCATGTACCCCTCTCATCACTGCGGGAATGGCCTAGCTCTCGGCCTTCGTCCAGACGGTGCAGCATTCCCACCACCTAGCAGAAACGTGCGGAAACAACGGGCAAAGAAACGATCTGCACCACCAGGGGAAACAGGTTAACATACAACATCACATGTGACGATTGTCGTTTGAAAGTGCGTCGTCAATCATGCAAAATTTTCCCTTCAACCTTTAGATTTAGATAACAATTCGACTCGGCATCCCGTCCGGCCTCTAAAATGTAGTTCCCCCAACAGGTTGCCGCTCCCCGCTCGACGTCCGAAGACAAAGGTCCACTTCAGGGATCACCGTCTGCTCAAGATATCCTCCGGTTCATCCTTCTCTGCTGCCGAAGCAAACAGAACAACGGAAGAACCTTCTCAGGATGCATTGGACGGTTCGGCGTCTCATCAACTTGTGGGTTCCTTGGTGAGCTTGCCGCAGCTACTCCCTGTCAGGGCCACAAGCTGAGATCGGCGCTCAGTCGACCAAGATTAACCGAGGCCTTACTGCCACAAAGACGTCCCTATGTGGACCGCCGAGGAGAAGAGCGGTCTTCTCTGCGGTGACCCGCCTTGTGTGGTATCCGTATCAGTATATGGGGCATCACCGGAGGGCACTTGCCAACGACCACGGGAGGGGCCCGAGTCACTGCCACTCATGCAGGGTTCCGGCATAACGGATGCCCAACTGCTTCGCATGCACTCAGGCAGTGGGTATCCTAGCCTCAGGACTCACGCTTTGCCGAACGGCCAGCACCTAAAAACTCAGATACCCGTTGTGCTGTGTGCCGGTTCTCCCCGCCATCCCTGTCCAAGGTACTTGGGCTTCTCTTTTCTTCCAGCACGCCTGTTCTCCCCACCACCTCTGGTAGAGATACTTGGGCTCAGTCCTTGGATATCTCGGGGGTGTGGTCCCCCAGCGAATTCTCAGGCCAGAACATCCACGTTCTCCACCCGAGAACCGGGCTTCAAAAAGGGATTGCTCCGGCCCCGGCTCGCCAAGCCGTACCTGCCCAAAACGGAAGGGAGCAATGGAAGTGTAAAAGGACATGACCGGGTGCGCTGGTTATATTTGGTTTTGGGGGTCCCCCCCGAAGAAAAAGGGACAGAATCCTGCATCAACATGTAAACCAAACATAGTGGGTATTTTTCTGAAGCAGGACTAATGAAACAGACCCGTTTGTGAAGAAAGTCCAAAAATGAACCAAATTGTAGGGTGGGCCCGCCGGGGAGGCAGGCCCAAAAAATAAAGGGCCAGAAAAAATGAGTGAAGACTTGTACGTATGTATGTATGTATGTATAGTTATAGCAAACCCAAGAAAGTTGACCTATCAAACCAGTGTTTCTTCATAGTAACATCCCATGATCTGCCATCGCCCACAGGCCGCGCCGCACCGCAGCACCTCCCGCCCCTCGTTGAGGTCATCGAAGTGTCGAGCGATGGAGTCGCTCTCCTCCAAAGCTGTGAGGCCTGTAGGCCATTTGCCTCGGTCATTTCCTCAGGCCCCGGACCCTACAGTTATGCTATGGCCGGACCCTAACAGTTATGGCTATGGATTATGTCATGAAAATATATGGCTAATATATGGCTAATATATGGTTAATATATGGTTAATGATAGTTAACGGGATTATTTCATGATATAACATAACCAACTATATTAGTTATAAGAGTTAGTTCATCCATAACTGTAGATTTGAACTTGGGAAGAGAAGACTCCATCTAACTAAGTAATAAGCTCTAGTGTCCCCTCGATTCTTGCAGTTCTGGCCCTATAGTCGGGGCCTTAAATGGGCCTTAAATGGGATCAAATGCTATAACTCCGGCAACTACCCTCTGGAAAAATAACATAGACCCTGGCAGTCATCGGGGTTGGAAGATTAGTTTCCATTAAAAATTGGTGATTATCAGGGTCAAACTGTTTATTTACCAGGCCGGGTAGTTGTTTTAAATCATGAGATAGGCCAATTTATAGGTGAGCCAGAACTGTCGGGCTGGGTCCATGGGATTGAACGATTGATTTATAGGTGATGTGGGGCTGGGATTCAATGGACGTTGAATGGGAGTGAAATAACAAAAAAAACATTTAATAGTGATTTAATGGGAGAATAGCTATTAGGGGTGTCCAAAAAATGGGGATATGATGAGATACCCTCTGGTAAACTAACATAACTATGGAAAATCACAATTTTCAATGGGTAAATCCATTAAAAATCACAATTTTCAGTAGCTATGTTTGTTTACCAGAGGGTAACCATGAATTGGCTGCCACTGGAGCATAATTTGTCAAACTCCATCAAACTCCAAACTCCCGCTTCCAGGATTAAGAAGGGGGCGGAGGCGCTGGAAAAAGAACTGGATAGTGGGGAGGGTCACAAATGCATCCACACATGTCCACCGCGACAAAAAGACGTGATTTAATGGGAGAATAGCTATTAGGGGCGTCCAAAAAAATAATAAAACAAAATGGGATATGATGACTGGTTGGTGGTTGACCTACCCCTTTGAAAAATATGAAAGTCAGATTGGGAGTATTATTCCCAATCTATGGAACGTCATAAAAGTCATGTTCTAAACCACCAACAAGTTAATTTATCATTAATCACCATGATTACTCACCATTAATCACCATTAAACTATGTTAAACCACATTTTGAACCATTAAAACCCTATTAATCACCATTAAAACCATTAAAACCAGGTGGTGTCCATGCTGTGATTTCCAGCTGCACAGCCCCTCAAGATATTCAAGGCACACAGCATGAAGTCGGACATCATCCTGGTTGACCCAAGTTTGGGTGCCAGAGAAGATGGTGATTTGAAGTTTGGATGTCACTCTTGGGGGGAAAATCCACGGAAAACCGCATGTTTGGAGGAATGAAAGTTGAAAAGAAAACGAAGATGTGATACAAAGCTGTCATCCTGAGCGGCAGCGGAACATGATCCCCAAACCACGTGGGCGATTCATATCACGAATATACCAAGTGAATTTCCAAGTTTGCACTGGCTTGCATGATCAAGAATCATGAACTAGATTATATATACTATATACTTAACACTACTTAACCTACTCTTGATGCTGGTACTAACTTAGCTAAGTAGGGGGCATCACTCCGTAGACCCCTCTCAAAGCTGTGTTAAAAAAAAAAACGAGTGGCTTCTCAACAGGCGGCAGGGTCTCATCCAAGATCTCGGGTTCTTTGTCGAAGCCTCGGCAACATTTGTCCATGGTAAAAATAGGAGGTTAGAACTGAACAAAATGGGAGTTGAACCGACCAGAAATAAGATATTTGAATGTATTTACGCCAAACTCCTCATAGCTTGGGTTCAGCAAAAAAACATGAAGGCTAGCCAATCAAAAAACCATGGTTTCAGGATGTTTAAGGTTTAAGCTTAGAAACAAAAACATGATTTCACCAGCAAAATTGGCAGTGAACCTCCAGGGAACCCATGGTAACCCCTTGGGTGCCCTCGCACCGGGTCCTCCGACTGGCATGGTACCAAGAAAGCAGCGGCACGATCAAGACCTGTGGGTTTCCATCGCACTCATCAGCGTCTGGATGGGGGTGCCAGAAATCAGCCAAGGCATTGGATTTATGGAGTTTTTTTGAGGATTGAAAGCCATGGTTTGGGGATCCCCCATTTTAAGAAACCCTCATATGACGTGTATATATGTATATATGTATGTATATATATATATACTATAATGGATTCTACTATTTTACATAACCAGATGTATAGTATAGTCCCTAGTGCTCCAAATACCCTCTGACAAGGTGTTTAGACCCCAAAAAACCACTCCAAATACAATCTCAGAAAGTGTTTGGAGCTGTAAGGAGTTACGGGGTGTCCTGGATTTTAACCCACTGACGGTGCTGGTCACCGTCAGAAAGCTATCGAGATGCGTAAATCCGGGCCCTAAAATGGCACGGCTGTTGCGTCCCATCTTAGCTAGCTCAGTGGCGTACTTTGGTGCCTGTCCCAAATACTTCTTTAAACCCCAAGGAACCATAGGATAAAGATTAAACTCATATGTTTGGGTCCTTTCATGGGGGTTTCCAATCTAGTCTCTAAGCCCATCTGAATGGTGGTTGCCTTTGCTAATCTGAATCTATAGCGAGATCGTTGTGAGTTTACATTAAAATATGCCCGAATCAATTCACCAAATGCAATCGATAGCCTCTGATTGGTGGTTTCAACCCCTGTGAAAAATATGAAAGTCAGTTGGGATGATTATTCCCAATATATGGAAAAATAAAAAATGTTCCAAAACACCAACCAGAATCGATAGCCTGTTTCAAGTATTGAATAATTGTCCAATTGATCGCAATGCTTGTCCAGCTATTTCCAAGTTCATACCCTGATTTCTCACCACGATGTGGTGCCCCCCCAGTGATGTGTGTTGGTTTATAATCCCATTAACTATAGATATATCACCTATAAACCATAGTTATTGGAGGTGTGTTCACCACTGATCAATGGGAATTCCAGGATCCTAAAATGGAGGTACCTACCATATATAAGGCCTATATAAGGGCCATTTTAGGATCCTGGAATTCCCATTGAACTAATTTCTGACCATGTCTTACTCACCACGACAATCACTACAACCACTGGCCCCGGATGGATTGCATCCCGCCGCCCGCCTTTCCAACGAAGCTGGGCTGTGTCTTGACCCCGAGCTCCTAGCGTGTTTTGTCTTGGTGGCTACTTACCCGGCATGGTAAACCTACAAAAAACGATGGAAAATCACCATGTTTAGTGGGAAACTCCACTATTTCTATGGCCATTTTCAATAGCAAACTGTTAAATTACCAGAGGGTAATGAATTAACACATAGTTCCTTGTGGTAAAGGAACATAGCTATGGAAAATGGCAATAGATTTTCCGTAGCTATGTGAGTTGCCAAAAAGGGTACAGTAATGGTTTGTGAATCGTGCAATGGGGGGATGGGGGATCATGAACATTATCTAGGAGCGGTGGGTTCCATCTCAACATTCTCGTATTCCAAGAATAACGGTATCCAGTAGGTAATCTATAGTTTTCCTTTTTGGTGGTGTCCCATAGGTACTGAAGTTGGCTGATAAGTAGCTTAAGTATGGTTTCATGGATTTATATATGGATGGTCTGGATGGTACATAAGCTACAGTTCACTCGCTTTCAAAACCAACAAACATCTGCCCTGTGGGGCACACGACAGTCCTCACAAAGCTCTTCCAGTTTCCTGAGCAGAAAACAGCATGGCGGCTGCATTTCCAAAACTTGGATTTTTCTCACAGTAGAGGTTAATTGTACCACAAAGGAAAGCACACACACTTCCCAGTAGATCCCTCAAAGCAAATTTGGTCAATAATAGACCGTGAAAACAAACATGTTTGGCAAATTAAACCAAAAAGAAAAGTCAGCAGTAGAACCTAAAATTAGCCCACTAAGCAATCTACCACTCAAATTGTAGCTTAACTACCCATGGCTTATAACCTATATCACCATCTTGGTCGGTTAAACGCTTTTTTTCTCGTAGTACGTGCTGAATATTACACAAAAAAACACTGTATCCCTTGTTGCGAAGCCGTATTAAGCCCGAAAGAATAGAAACACAGTCTGAATGTAATTATCTATAGGATTGGATCTTGCCAAACTCCACTTTTTGGGGGCTGCTACTTGGGGGTCTGCATCCCAGTTGGTAAGTGGGCACCAGTTTATACTCCAGTTATCAGCTAAAAACATGTATCACCAATCATGTTTGCGTTTTGTACGGCAATGTATAGTCTAAAAACGACGGATCCTATATAATTGGGATGCACATCCAGCCGCAGCAGCCATGGCCGTGCCCAAGTTCAACCCCAGTGGCTGAAACTTCTCAACTGAATCCTTGCACCCATCCTGTGCTCGTGGTGCAGCCGGTGTTTTGGAATGTCGGCTTATGGCATGTTCCAAACATCAAAGAGGGGATTTAACCAATAACAATGGTGCAATAATACAACCTCTATGGTGATATATACTAGTTATTTATTAATTAATAAGGATGTTACCAACAATATCCAATCACGACCATGCCTAACCCTTATATTCCGGTGCCTTTGTAACCCTTATATTTCTATTAAGAACTAATCCAACCAATTCGTACTGTAGTCGTAACTCCTTGGCGCTAACAAGGTTAACCATCGCGACCAATCATCCTAACCATTGCCCTGAATAACCCTTTCTCTGTACAAACGTCATCTTCCGTATCGCTCCCCTCGGACAAAGGAACACTAAACGAGAACCCAACGCATCGGAGATGCTTTTGGGAAAAACACGGAATTTGTCACAAATAGACTTTCGTTTCTGTTAATCATTAGATTCCAATTGGTGTTGACGCATGGTCATCCTGATTGGCGCACCGCCGCTGTCCTCCATGAGCATTTTATTAGCTAATTAAACATACCGTCAATTTGGCCCTGCCTGCCATACACGATGCCCTTCAAGATGCGGTTGCGCTTTCTGCCAACTCGAGAAGCCATGAAATCCTCTTTCCACGGTCCATGGACATGTGTGCTCCATTCCTGACGAATCTTGTTCAAGAACTCCTGCCACTGCATGACGGTCCCATATTCAGACCCCAATACAAGCCTACGCATGTGCATTGAAGGCAATACCTGGACACATGCACGGTGAGCCGGCTCGCGGAGCCTCCCGAGAAGCTTTTCACCAAGCCCCCCAACAAACTCTGACATTGTCTTTCGCAGAGCCGCATCGTCATAGAAGTACCTGATCGTTTCTGGGCATTTTTCCCTCTGTATGTATGTCTGCGCCAAAGTTTTCTGCCAGCTCAAATCCGAATCCGGACGACACTGGCTCCAAGAACCAAGGGCGTGGTTCCTCGCCATGTCCATGAAGGCTGCAAGGGTCTTGCAGTGCTCACCAAGCTCCGTCTCGTAGCTCATGATGGTCTTGGCACTTTCATAGTACATGAGCCCAAACTGCTCTCTGGCCTCATCTTTGAAACAAGTTTCGGCTCAATCATACTGTGGATAGAAGAAATCCTGCACTATCTTGGATGAACCCCCTATAAATAATGGGATAAACCACCTATCAACTGGTGCAGGATTTCTTCCATCCACTGTATCATGTCTCTACCTAATATCAATATTTAGCTGGGCAAAAACAAGGCACCCATTTCTTTCGCGCGCAGGTTTACACGGGCTATTAACTGCGTCAGTGATTGAAAACTACCGGGGCGAAGGCCAAAACAAAAGCACACATAATTGAAAACCAAAAACACATGCCAAAAAGTCACAAACCCTATTGTAGAATTATAGTATCAAATTTCAACCCCTCTGAAAAATATGAAAGTCAGTTGGGATTATTATTCCTAATATATGGAAAGTCATAAAAACAATGTTCCAAACCACCAACCAGATATAAGAGTTTTAGGCACATAAATTCCGCCAACTAAGACCTTAGAGAATTACTTTAGCACCTTAGTCAACTCTCAAGAAATTTAAAAAACTTTAGGACATCCCCATATAGTCAATAGATGGGTATTTTTTTCAGCGTACCCTGTTTTTCCAATGGGTTCTCATGGATCTTCGGCCTTGGGATGAAGCCAGAGGTCATGATTGCCTGCCATGGATGGCTTTGATGACAGGCTTGCTCCAAACACAGGTACCTTGGTACCCTCTGGTAAACGTTTACATAACTATGGAAAATCACAATTTTTAATGGGAAAACTCACTATTTCTATGGCAATTTTCAATAGCTATGTTAAATTACCAGAGGGTATTGCTTGGCAATAAATATAAAGCAAAATTATGCAAAAATAAGATAAAATAACCCATGTACCCCCCTGGTATCATTGACCTATGAGTAACAACCCTGATGATGTTTGCGGAATTCAGCTAAAGACACTTGGAATGGCTAGTTCAACTGTTGAATCCTAAGTTTCACTGTTTGGATACTGGTGTTGAGTGTCAGTATGCACCAGTCTTTGGATCAACTAAGCCGAGGCCCATGCAGCATATGCATCTACAAATACAATAAACTTCAATAAACTACCCCTAGTAAATCAATATAGCTATGGAAATCACCATATTCAATAGGTAAATCATCCAAAATGGGTCGTTTTTTCAATAGCAAACTGTAGAAATTACCGGAGCCTATGGTCACCGTGAAATTCTAAAATGGGCAACCACCTGAGTACACTTCAGCAACCCCGTGGTAGCTTCCACAAATTCCAGGATAGAAATGATGGTGAGAGTTAGAAAGAATTAGGATTCAAATATGTTCCAAGTTAATTCTTCTCTCTTCATCTGCATTATCTGCATACTTGTAGCGCCTCCGGATTCCAAATGATTCAAACCTTGGTTTTATTCTTCTTGTCCGTTGTCATGATGCATGCGCGTTGCGAAGCAATTCTTTGATTCGCCAGGTTCTTGGTTGGCCTCCAACCTATGCAGCTCCCGGCCGAAGACGTCTGGCATCGTCTGGCTGGACGTCCCCCACCATTCCCAAGACGAGAAAGCGGGGAATCCCGAAGGACCCCAAATTCGCTGGATGGAAAAAAGATGAAAAGAAGGGCGGAGTCTATGAGAAAGCTCAGCAGGACAGGCAACAACTCCAACAACTCAGATTTCTTGAGGCGCTGCTTCCCTGTCCCAGCGTTTCTGAGTTTTTTGCTCTCTTTCTTCAAATTGTTCTTGATGTGTTGCTGACACCTGTGCACTTTCACATGCGCTAACGAAGCATCTTCAAACATCTTCACTGATGGCTGCTTCAATGCCCTCCATGCAGCCACTGGAGAAAACCCAGTGAGGTATAAACCCAGACTTAATGCTGGGCAACACATTGCACAACACAGCCGAACAGTATGACATAAATTGCCAGGAATCAAATCAAAGAGTTGAAACTTGATAGGCAGGAGCTAATAAAAATAAATTCTGGAGGTAAGTCTCCCATATATATATACATACATATATATATATACAAGGGACTCCATAAGTAGAAAGTTTTCAATAAGAAAATAATTCTTATTTACTCCTCCCTTCACTCTTTTGTTAGAAACCACAAAGGGGGATCATGGAAGCGGGAAGCAAGCATGGACATGGGGGTCATCCGGGTACCGGCGCCTGAGCAAAAGAAAACATGACCAAAGCCTCAGACTGGCGGTGGACCATCCTACCAGAATCTTTACATACAAACAACATAGTCAAAAACTGGTTGGTGGCTTCAACCCCTCTGAAAAATATTAGTCAGTTGGGATTATTCTTCCCAATATATGGAAAATATAAAAATTGTTCCAAACCACCAAGCAGAAAAACATTGACTCAATTCATAATTACGTAGATGTAGATGGATAATGCAGCAAACAGATGCAAACAAATGCAAACATGGCAGCTACAGCTTAGTGGTAGGAAAACACGCGACATCACAAAGATTGACAGAAACGGCGTGGAATGACAAATGAAGGTCATACGCATATCTATGTACCGGCTTCTACAGCTGGTGAGTTTGATGGATCGGAGAGCATCCCCGGTTCAAGTCTGAAGGGTCGTCGGTGGAATTCCGGGCAATATCTCCCAGTGGGATCACACATCCGGATCCATGGTGCTGGTGTCTATACGCTAACATGATTGGGGTATATTGATGGGATCCATGGAGCACCATATATGGGCATGATATGCCATATTGATGGTATATTTCCATATATTACCCATATTATCCATGTATCATCCATATCTATATGTATATATATGTCACATATACCATATTATATGGATCCTATGGGCATGATCACTCCATCTGGGACCCCCAGACGCTCCAGCAAAAGTTGCAGGGTCGTTTTCACCACTGACAAGTCGTTAGACACATCTCCTGCGCCCCGGAAGACGAATGATACCACAAGCCTACTTCGAAACATATCATGTTATTCTCAAGCCTCCTGAAAAATATGTTGGATTATTGAATACCAACCCTACTTGGTAAGGTTAGTACTTGTGATATGTTGTGATGATATATATATATATATAATTATTTCGTATTGTCAGCCCCACTAATCGTGAATCATGGGGATCATCCCAAATAAACCAACCAACCAGTGTTGATTCTTTGTACCCGAGCCAGCCCCTGGCCTGCTAAGAGAAGCACATCCTTGGGGCGTGGGGGCCAACTCTGAAGAAGTTCCATGTTTTCCCTGGCACGAGAGTGGCACACTGCACACGTTGTTTTTTTTGGGGGGGAGGGATGGGTTGGGAGAAAACATCTGAAAAAAAATACGGACAAATGACAAATGCTATAATTTCTGTCACTTTCTTTGAAGGTAGAATTTGAAGCCGTCCGGACTGACGACATGCTCTTGCCTTGTTTCTTGCACTTCTGGGATGATGAAATTTGGGGGTGTAATCTTTCTTTTTCGCATCATGAACTAGGAACAAACACCAAGAACTTCACAATAGTTTAGGAACAGCAAGTCTATACATGCCTATACTTTATCGTTCTGTATGTTCGCCGGGAGAGCCTTCCCCGAATTTTCAGTAGATGTCAATTATCTCAACAAGAACCTGATTGGATGTACAGTACAAGGGACATATTGAAAACATATAATTTGTACAATTCCTTCCCGATAAGATCACCGTAAATGCACCCAAGAAGACAGGTTAAGTGCTGGCTCCATTGGTTTTTTTTTGGGCGGGTCGCTGAACCATCTGAACCTCTTGTCCGTGTGCACATCCGAAACGGCATAGACGCCAAAAACATCCTCTCCTTCACATTGCCTGAGCTCGAAAGAGATAAGCTCTGATAGAAATCCCACTAGGTCACTAGACTGATACACTATGCGAAATTTGCACATATTGGTATATTATAGTAACGAACTACCCTCCCCAACATCCCCCAACTAACAAAGACCCCGAGAATCATCCATGTCAATTCCAAGCCTCGGCAGAAGGAAATGCAGAAGGGAAACCCGATCACCCCTGTTTCCCCCCAAAAGAACACCAAACATATCCTAAAGTGCAAGGAGCTATTCCATTGCACGGATGGGGAAGCAAATCTAAGCCTATGCTGAGGTGGTCCGATCCAAGCCACTCAAGCTGGTCAAAATCAAACATTTCGAAAAGGCGCCGAAGCTCGTCGGTGCATCACTGGGATTTCACTGAAACTTTGACACCTTGCCACTTACTAATATGACTGACTTGACTCCTCTTTCATGATCTTTCATGTATATATGCGCGCATATGCATTACTAATATGTGAGCATGTGTCGCTTTCTCTTCACTACGGTCTTTAGATTTCAATAATTTTCAATATAACATCCATCATACCCTCCAGTAATTTAATCTGGCTTGCTGGAAAATCCTCCGTTTGTAGATGATTATCCGATTTATCCAGATTTTCCCGTTAAAGGTTCGGATCTTCGATGGCTTGAACCGAGCGAAAGGCGGCGGAAGGCGCCGCTGGGGTCATCCCCTTGACCCGTCGCAACTGGTGAATCGAGTACCCTCTGGTAATGACTAACAGTTGGCTATTGAACATCACCATAGAAATAGATAGAAATAGTGAGTTTTCCCATTAAAAATGGTGATTTTCCATAGTTATGTAAACGTTTACCAGAGGGTACTTGACAAGTAAGCCAAGTCGTTTATCCCATAAAAATTGTGACACAGTTCTAGCTAAACCAACCAGCTACTCTGGTAATGAAACATATGGAGGTTTCCTAAGTCATGGGTGTACCCCCAAATCATCTATTTTAGCAGCATATCCCATGAAATAAATCATCCAGCGATAAAGGGGGTACCCCCATTGCAGGGAAGCCCCATTGCAATGGCAATGGAAAGTCCTCTAGTTGTTGATGTACTGAGCACTCTGGATGATGGGATGATGCACAAAAATCTTCAGTTGAGATTGCTGAGTGGCTGAAGTTTGGACAATCCATTTACCCTCTGGTAAACTAAACATAAATATGGAAAACCATGTTTTTTCATTGGTAAATCATCTATAAATGGTTCATTTTCCATAGCTATGTTAAATTACAAGAGGGTAAGTTAAACCCTCATCTTTGCAATGCATCACTGTGTATCAGTGGTATTCACGGCATGTGGGTTGGACTTCCATGAGTTTGAAACAAGCAATTTCCACCTGACCGGTGCTCATTCTGCTTTATGAAATATCTCCTTTGCCTATGGCTCATACCCAGGCCAATCAAACCCAAACTAACACTAGACCAGCCTGATGTAAGACAAATTAACGTCTTTTCGGGACAGTTCCCAATACAAACCATCACTCGTCTGGTAGATTCGCAATCCAGGATCTTTTTATTGACTGGGATCGCCCTAGAAAAAGATCCCAAGCATTCTCAAAGTTTGAAATCACGATTGCATCTGAGCCAAATCAGAACATGGTATTTAGGATAACCCGGTTAATCTATGTTAACCTTCTGGTAAATTAACATAGACCCTGGCAGATAGGGGTTGGAAGATTAGTTTCCATTAAAACTATGCTATTTTCAGGGTCTATGTTAATTTACCAGAGGGTAACCTTCTGTTGGTCATGATAAATCTACATTTTGTTGGATATGACATCATATGACAACTAAGTATACTGGTGACATCGTCCATGTGACCTACCCAAAGCTGAGATTTCAATATATCGTTTCTATTGATTTCCGAATCTTTCAGATATCAAAAAATCAACTTAAACATATATAGCACGAATTCGCACTGGCAATGCGAATTCGTTGAATCTCCAGTTGTTCACCAGCATTTTTATAATCAAAACCAACCTGGTTGGTGGTTGACCTACCCCGCTGTAAAATATGAAAGTCAGTTGGGATTATTATTCGCAACCTATGGAAAAATAAAAAATGTTCCAAACCACCAACCAGCAACCATTACAAACCATAGATTCGGACCCATCCCACACAACTGCGGTTCAGCTTCAACTTCTCACCTTTCTGAAGGCTGGGCGCCTCAGAACCCAAACAGCATCGTCAACTCCCCATTCAATGGATTGGTTTAAGGGGAAATTACAGGAAGTCCCATATTTAATGGGAAAATCGATGGTTTCCGGTTAAGATTTTCCCTTCAACCAATCCATTGACGCATGTTTGTTGGTGAAATCCCTATTTGTTTATGGGTTAAATCCACATTCTACCTCCATGTTTGGTAGTTAAATCATCACCAAACTGTTGTGTGGTAAATTCCTATAGTGTTTCCTTGTTCCTCACGGAACAAATCCCTGAATTCCCCTTTTGTTGATAAACTTCCCCATGTTTCATGAGTTAAACCTACATCAATCACATCATCTCTCCATGTGTTCCTATTTTTTCCCAGGGAAAATCCATGAAAAAAACCATGGGAAAGTCATGAAAAATCACCATTTTTCGATGGCGATGCGCCTCCTTGAGCTCCTGCAACAGCTCAGCCTCGAAGCCCACCATGTCCACAGCATCCAACAGATCTGCCACAGGGACACCTCCCAGGTACCAAGGCCATGGTGACCCCCAGCAGTCCATCGAAAAATTGTATAAAATTGTGATTTCATGTTTTTTAGGCTGGTTGTTGGTTGACCTACCCCTCTGAAAAATATGAAAGCCAGCTGGGATGACATTCCCAACTGAATGGATAAATAAAAGCAATGTTCCAAACCACCAACCAGTAGGGGATGATTGTTTTTTTTTTGATGGGATTTTCATGTGATGAAATTGGAATCGTCATGTGATCAATATTTTTTTTGATTGGATTTTAAAGCTGTTTTTAATGTGATTTAACATGATGTAACAAACAAACAGTGTAATTTAATTACTTTAATGGATTTCTTTGAAGAACATGGGAAACGTGCTTTTGGCCAAAACCTTGGGGTGTGTCCAACAATCTGGTACAATTGTGATGATTAGCAAAAGAACGGTGTTTGAACCATTTTAACTCCATCAAACATAAGGGATTGAGCAAGAAATTCATGAAATTGAGGAGATAATGAGGATATACAAGACAATTACCATCCAATAAACATACACAGGAAGATTGATTGATGGGTGTCCAAATGAACGTGATCTGTAAACGGTGGATTTTCAGGGGCGTAGCTGGGGTCTAGCCAAGAAGATCAAGAAGACCCAGCCCGGCAAAATGATTTTGAACCTTCAGTTTGTTTGAACCAAAATCAATCTTCCTGTTTATTGGATGGTAATCGTCCAGTATATATCCTCATTATCTCCCCAATTTCATGATTCTTTTGTCTTCGATCATCCAACATTGGTCAAACATCTCCGCCATCTGGCTGAAAATCTGGCTGAAAATCACCATGCGACGGAGAGGAAGTGAAGCATTGATCATTCGAACTTCTTATCTAGGACACGTATGCATGATATACATACATCATATGATCATAAAAAATAATGCATTGGTTATATTAAAAAAACAAACTATATGTAGATCTCATTATATATTTGCCCTGGCCGGGTCACTATGGGTCGGACTGGGGGAGGTGGGCTCCAGGTCACCTCGATGTTTCACTTCTGCACGCTTCATCAGTAGATTGACCTGGACGCGCAGCAGGTGATTCGAGTGGTCCGCAGATGGACTTTCAGCAAGGAAAAAAATGTACCCTCTGGTAATTACTAACAGTTTGCTATTGAAAATGGCCATTTAGTTCGTGAGTTTTCCCATTAAAAGTGGTGAATTCCCATAGTTATGTTAGTTTACCAGACGGTAGCCATTTTCATGGGAAATAGACAAAGAAATGGTGAATTAATGATTACTAGAAAAAATGAACTCAAATGGTTAATTAAAGGAATTGCCATTCGGTGTCATCAAACGTGGCTGGCACGGAAATACCTGAACTGAATGGGGGTTTATAGCTGGGAAAAACATCTATAAATAAGTTAAGGGACTTTCCTGCAAGCCATGTTTGAATACCAATGGGGATCTTTCGCCAAAGAATGCAACAGTTCACACACTTGACAGACCGTTTGTCGTCTATGAGTCACTTCTTGTTTCCCATCAAGGGATCTGGAGATTCCAGTTGAAGGCCTTTTTCAGCACAAAAGAAAAATGAAACTGTTGTGATGAACTCTGTTCGAAGAAACTGCTGAAACGGAGTCGGTTCTATACATACTGAATAGAAACAGTCGTTCACGGAGCGGAATGAAATGACGAAAAACTGCAGGTACGTGGAGTTGATCAGACTCCATATCCTAGTCTACTGCATGGAGCTTCGTTGGATTTCGTTGGCGACAGACATGCAGCGACTCTGTCGCAAGGTAGAGCTGTCCAGTCCCTTTCTATGGTGCTCCCGATGCACAGCAAACAACGATTATCTAAGCGCGGCATTTGCTAAAAGGCCGACTTCTAACAAATATGCCACCGCTCTGGAGAATTTCACGTCGTCGCCGTCCGAGCCTTTCACTCCATGATCTGCGCTTTTCCTCTCCAAAGGCCACATACTCATAGCCATCAATTTGGCATTCCCAAGCGTAAGGGCGGCCCTGTGGTATCGTTACACTACGCTGCTCCGGTCCAAACATGATCGTTGTCTCATTGTCCGTTGTAAGAACAAGATCAACGCTCTGACATGGGACTGTTGCAAATTGGTGCCGCAGTGGGTCAACCCAAATCAACTCTCCCTCTTTGAGAGGGGCCTGGTAGCTGCAAACGTGTCTCGGATCGTTTTAAGTGCATCGGGGCTGCTGAAATTACCAGTCTCCGTCCGTGCACGAGCTCCCAACGTTATGCAGGATCAGTAAATATATCCCAGAAAGATAGACAAGTGCTTTCAAGTGGTTATACATGATATTTAGTAGCTATTTCCAGGTATCCCACCTGGTGACCTCTTATCTTTGGGGCTGCTATGAGCATTTGCATGAACCATAGCTGCTACACAGGCCTCTGGGCCTCTGGGGATCATCTTCGAAACAACCCCGTTGATCGCACGTGCTTGCTATCATGATATATATATATATATATTATATATATATATTCATGGTTTAACATGTTTTAACAGTCTCATTGGGTGCGATTTGCACAACCAAGGCTTCCAAATTCTTTTAAACATGTTTCACCGTGTATTTGAATAGTTGATGTTTACATGAAACGTGGTTCTTACTGAAACCTCCGTTTGAACCCCAATCATGGTGATTCTAGTTTTATGATGGCCTTGTCAACTCAGTTTGAACATCAAACATCCTTGTTAAGTGTTGGAAAATTCATGGCAATTGCCAACCCAAAAATGATGAACATGGAAGCTTCCCTTCTGGAAGCCCCAGCCCGGCCAGTTATGAGATTGATCTATACCCCCAACTAGCGATGGATTTAGCTACCACAACCATCCGCAACCCCTACTCAGAGGCAGAATCTGTATAGTTAGTAAATGAGATGTGAGTGATAACATGTGATAACCATATGAAATACTATGAAATAGTATGAAATTCAGTAACATAACCCAGTTCTGGGATGTTAATATTGACCTGGGTTAGTACGGCATACCACGGTTACGCACCTTGAGGAACACCCAGTTGCCAGTTGGCAAAAATCACCCCATGGATATAGCCAGAACAAATCGCCGCCACTGAACCCCTAGTTAATAACCTATATGTAAAACCTATAATCTATATATAACCTTCATAATATATATATATATAACCTTCATAATTAAATATATATATATATATTATTACTATTGTTATTTTTGTTATTAGTATTATCATTATCATCATGATTATCATAATTTCTATACCAACTTGAAAACACAGCGCTTTCCCTCGTTTCTTACCCCCCAAGAAACGGCCCTCTACGTCCATGGCAAGTGGCTCCTGCACTCTTCACCCCGTTGACACCCTTCAGCGCATTCTCCACGACGCCGACGCAGGCAGCACAGGTCATGCCTGGCTGGGGTTCACCAACTGTCTTGCACAAATGGGGCATGTGGGTTTAGACGGATATTCTACTTAAATATAGAGCTATATAACTACATAGACTAAAAATATATAGAATTATCTAGAATATATGTAGGATATTATATTCTACTTATAGTATAGTTGTAGTACATTCCATCTCAGTCAATTAAACGCAATAACGTAGGAAACGGTTGTCAAAGCCTCCCAGTGTTCAAGGCAATCATTTTGCAGACAAAACCTTAAGGCTTAAGGCAATCTGGAAACATTAGTCAATCATTAGTCTCTTTTGAGAAGGCGTTCCATTAACCTTTTGCAACCCTATATGCCCATCATTGTTTAGATGAGGTCCTTGCGAGGTCGCTATAACTATGACGTGCGTCCAATTTCGTCCAATTTCGGTCGGGCCCAAAAAGACACAAATGTAGATCCAGCAACAAACAATCTGGCTGAGTCTTAAGAAAACACATGGAATTGCTGATGATTTTCTTCAAAATCCTCCCCCTCCCAAGGGACAGTGCCTGTAATTTGCAGGATCGCTATATCTTGTGGCGCCTGGCGGTTTCTGAGTTGTTTCATGACTTGGGCAGGCTTTATATGGCAATTAAAACCTATATAGTTAGATGTGTTTGTAAACGAACTTACAATTGGGCCCCACATTCTGTTCCTGTGCTCTTTCCACTTCATAATTTCCACATTGTCGTTATGAAGGCATGTCTCGACATACCTGTCGTAGTTGTGGTTGGCAGCCATCCCATCTGTCGAGGCTCAATCTCGATCAGGGCGAGTCAAAGTGAAACAAGGAATTGGAACCATCGCCAGCTGACAGGTCTATTGATTTCCCCAAACAAAATGCCCCCCAAAAATGGATGACCAAACGCGTGGTAGAAAATTGATAGAGAACATGTGGCCGAACCTCCAACACCACTTCCTTCTGCAACTGTGCCGGAAGGCCAGCGCAGCACAAAGCATTCACTAACCTCGTGGATCGAGGGGAGATGGTGAAGTCGCCGGTAATTTAAGTTACATGGCTACAGAATAGATTCGCCATCTATGATTTACCTATTGAATGATGATGTTCCATGGCTATGTCAAATTACCACAGTGCGGTATGCGTAAGTATCTTTCACACACACACGTGCATATATATATATATACTGCAGCTACGAAGCTTGCATACGAACTTCGCAAATTTGCCACGTTTCCTGGTGCTACTTGAAAACAATCTATAAAGTGGCAAACATCCTGAGATTGAAAAACATGACCCGCAGCAACGTAATCGATACATTTCTCTCCTTTTCTCTCTCCACGTAATAAATAAATAAAACATAATACATATATATAGTGTATATATATAGTGTATATATATATATATACAATATACACATATATATATACATACTATATATGTATATATGTGCCATTTCCTTTGTTATAATGTTATATATATATATATAATATTTTATGTATATTGTATTTTTTATATTTATTAATATATATATATATGTATACTTGTATTTTTTTAAACATATGTATTTGTATACTATATATGTTATAATCTATAATATATATATATATATTTACTTATTTTATTTATTTATTAAATATATATTATACACATTATTAAACATTAAATAAACATATCTATATTAATTTAAACAAATCAATATTAAAAATGATATGATATGATATACTATGATACAATATAATATAATATAATATAATATAATATGATTTTTCAAAAAATAACCAATAAGAACAAAACATATAATATAAAATGTATAAAATAATATCATGTAATTTAATATAATATAACATAATATAATAAAACATAATTTAATTTAATTAACAAAACATATAATATTATATATACACACTTAATTTATTTCATCATGGATCTGCATGTCTATCTCTATCTATCTGCATATGCACTTAAATAAATATAAATATGATATTAGAAATGCATAATATATGGACACATGCAATAATTACACAATTACCTGCAGATTTATATCCTAACCTTCATCAGCCCTTTTTCAAAGTTCACAGGGTTGCCCCAACGGGCAGAAACGTCATCTGCCAAGGATCTTCTCAGGGGCATCCGACATCTCAACCTGCCCGACATTGCCCGGTAAGTTTGGCGATCCGAAACAAACCTGGTACAAAACTGTGCGGAATAAAACGATACGGGGATCCTTGCTGAAGACAAATGATTCACACAACAACTTTTTTAAAACATGATTTCCCCGAACAAATGCCATCGGTAGTGAACTCGGCCAGTGAGGCTGCTGCACCTTAAATGTCCACCCCTAAAACCTATTAAAACATTGATTCTCATTTTTTACTGCATATCTGCCAAATCTGGCATGTGTCCAATTAAAAACATCAAAAAACCAGGTCAGATCAGTTGGGCCACAGGCCTGTCACCAACCCTCTCCCTGCTCCTCAATGGTGCTCAAGGGCTCGTTGAAGGCCGTGAGTTCCCCGCCTGTCAGGGGATGTCGTGTTCCTAAATCTACAGATCTATTGGAGGTAACTACGATATATAAGGCCTAAATTTAAGGGCTATGTAAGGGGATATACCATGATATATATATATATATATATTACCTTCCAAAAAAAACATGTGGTACAGCACCTCCATTTTACCCTGCACCCAGGTTTACAACTTCACTTAAATCATGATGTTACCCTCCAAAAAAGTATACTTCTTGTGCTGGATCGCAATTTTCCAACTGGTGGCGAAACATCGTCCAATGAGAGGCAACTCCAGGATATACCTGACAAGGTTGGTTGGTCCTGATCATCATGTAGATTTGATATTCAGCCCTGATAATATGAGTTTAAACATAAGTATGTTCACCAATAATAATTTAATTTATTTTACAGCAAAAAAAAAGCAACTAAAAAACATGTAAAAACTGGCACCCTCGGCCTGGGGTATATCTGTGAGTATCAGGCTTACATGAAGAAGAGGGCATTAAATTCGCACCCCCGCAAAACTCTACGGTAACTGCATCTAAACATACGGATTTTCAAAGAATACGAACTGCCTCCGGGAAGGTTTTCCTTGGCCCGCCCGGACATCTAAACATTTAAATTTTACGGTATATTCATTGAAGAGCTTTATACAGGTTTTAGGCTTATACGAAGAGGGTCTTCATTCAAGAGTTTGATAAGGGATTTAGGTTTGAGGGTTTTGACCAAGATGATGATGATGATGATGATCATTATTATTCACCTGCATGGGACATCCCCAAATCTCGGGGTAAGAACGGTAAGAACCAAGGTTTCCTGATGAGGGCAAATCTCGTGAGCCATTCAGCTATTCCACAGACATCCGCAAATGTATCCATCACTGGCCCTGCCAGTCAAAACGCACTTCTGTGGGCAGCACGCCCGTCCTAACCAATGTATTGCTGTAAATTCTGGGGCAATGGTGGGGGTCCAGCTATGCTAGTTGGGGATGGTAAACGGTTTATCCAAATATCAACAAAGCCGTGTGGAAATTCGTGGGCGATGTCGCTCATGAGATTCTGGTGGCCAGTGCCCGGGGCTGATACCGAGGCCCCTTCATTGCAACTGGCAATTTTTGTCCATCTTTGCTTTGTTTTTCCTTAGCTTCTTGGTGGCATGACCAAGTCCCTTGCATGTGAAACGGGATCAAACTCACAATCCACTCCTCGGGGCCTCCTGTGGATGTGTCAAATCAACCAAAACAAACCTTTACCATAGGCGGGGGCCCATGGTTATATCCTGTTTTGTCCCATGGTTATGTTCTGCTTTGTCAATTTGAAACAAAGATAGCAAAAATATGCCAGAAATAAATCCGTCCTTGTGAGTCTACACCTTCCTGCATCTGGATTATATCCCACTGTTTTTGATGCTTTGTGGCTTGATGTTTATAAATTAAAAATATAATCGCTTACACAGGATGCTGGGCGAAACACTTGACCGAACCAGCAGAAGCCGCGCCTACAAAGTGCGCAATCTCCTCGACCAAGAGTCGCTCGGAGTGGTCCATGCTGTGTAAGTTCCTGGCCAAAAGAATGAGGATTTCACCACTACTACTACTACTACTACTCCTACTACTACTGCTACCACTACTACTACTACTCCTACTACTACTACTACTACTACTATCTACTACTATCTACTACTATCTACTACTACTACTACTACTACATCTACATCTACATCTACATCTACAACTACTACCACTACTACTACTACTACTACTAGTACTACTACTATTATTATTACTACGATATTAGTAATTAATAGAAAAACAACAACAACAACAACAACAACTACTACTACTACTTCTACTACTACTACTACTACTACTACTCCTCCTACGCCTACGCAAGTCATGATCCCACCCTTGACAAAATACTCGACTGCAAACTCAAAGTTGTTGCCATTCCTGGTGACATGTATTAAAGCATTCTCCATCATCCTCCAGGCGTCTCCCAACCCAATCAACTGTATGGAGAAGTCATCGGGCAACCAGCGATTCATCGATTGCAGAGCAGAGCCGAAGCCTCTGATACCAAATGTCCTCATCGAGTCTATGACTTCCTGCGAAAATCTGAGATCTTGTATCCTTGCGGCATTGATGGTTATCAGTTCAGCATTCCCGGCAGGAAGTGCGACATTGCCAACTGAGTACGTAGGCGCTGCCGGAAAGTCAACTGCGTCAATGTCAGGGGCCGTCCAGTAAGGAGCAGATGTTGCATACTCGGCGGACCGTTGCGCGCCGGCGTTCATGCCGGCGTTCATCACTGCTACTGCTACTGCTACTGCTACTGCTACTACTACTACTCCTACATCTAAATCTACATCTACTACTGCTGCTGCTGCTGCTACTGCTACTACTACTACTACTACTAACTACTACTACTACTACTACTATTACTACTACTACTATTGCTACTACTGCAACCTCTCCTACTCCTACTCCTACTCCTACTCCTACTACTAATACTGCTGCTAATACTGCTACTACTACTACTCCTCCTACGCCTACGCGTACTCCTACCTCTACTCCGACGCCTACTCCTACTCCTCTACTCCTTCCTCCCTTCTTTTCCACGTACTAAACTGGTAGTGTCGGTAGCTAATGACACTGCCTACAGCATTACAGTCGTCTACAGGTACTCGTCGCAGGACACACACGATACTAAACTTATCGACCAATACTAATTTGGTACGGTCCATAGGTTGTTCAAGCAGGCAATTGCTACTCAAGCAGCTTCTGATCTACGGCTCTGTCATCGTCTCTTCTTCTTCCTCTTCTTCCTCTTCTTCTTCTTCCTCTTCTTCCTCTTCTTCCTCTGCTTCCGCTTCTTCCGCTTCTTCCTCTTCTTCCTCTTCTTCCTCTTCTTCCTCTTCTTCCTTTTCTTCTTCTTCTTCCTCTTCTTCTTCTTCTTCCTCTTCTTCTTCCTCTTCTTCTTCTCTTCTGCTTCTCTCTCAGGCTTCCACCTAGCATGCACATCAACTTCCCTTGGGGCAATCTCTCTCCACTTCCACCCTGTCTCCTTCCATGCAGCGGTCTGCTGTCAAGCCAAAGGCTCATACATAGTACCTGGCGCTACTTCTCTGGGGGCGGTACCAATTTGGTATACAAAAATAGGTTGTTACAGCCAGCACTTGCTACACAAGCCGCTTCCGTTTTACGGCTTCGTCTTTGTCTTGCTTTCTTCTTCTTCTTCTTCTCCTCCTCCTCCTTCTTGATCTTCGTTTCTCTTCTGCTTCTCTCGCGGGCTTCCACCTAAAGTGCACATCAGACTCCCTTGGGGCCACCTCTCTATGGCCGGCGGGCTTGCCGAAGGCAATTAAATATGCGTTTTTGTCTGAAACTAACCCAAACTTCCCATGATTTATCATCATTCTCCCCAAAAACAATATAGTATATATATAGCTATATATGTATATGCCATTATAAACATAGATATGTATAACTATAATATATATATATATAGCCATATGTTACCATCATTTGGTGTCACTATGTGTCAATCCAAGCTTTTCCCGACATCCAGCCGGAGGCTCTTCAGGATCAAGGTGAAGCGCCCTTTGGGCATCGAGAAGGGCTGCAGGTCCAAAGGTTTACCTCACGGCACGGTGGTGCCCCATACTTAGTTAGCTAAGTTGATTTCTATACCCTCTGGTTATGTCAAAATAGCTATTGAACATGGCCATAGAAATAGTGAGTTTTCCCATACAAAATTAAATTGTGATTTTCCATAGTTACGTTGGTTTACCAGAGGGTAACTCCAATAACTATGGCCAATAGCAGATAGATATAACTACAATGGGGCTTACAAACCAACTTATAACTTAGGAGCACCACATGTTGCTGGGGTAAACTGAGAACAAGTGCGAACCGGTCGGACCTGGGATGTCTCAAATCTGGCTGTGTTGGTCCTATATGCTGGCTGTATCATAAGCTCCCACGTCACGAGTTGCATTGGAGAACTGTGCCGACAAAAATGGGATACTGCAACCAGTGTTTAAAGAATTGCCGGACATCTGTGGTTCCTAAGCTGTAAGTCTTAAACTTTTAGATCCACAACTATCTTCGCAAGACTGTGAGGTTGTTCAACTCCACCCACATACAGGAAATTCTTACACTCTGCCAGTCCCAGGCTGAAGAAATCCTGAAAAATGGAGGTATTATACAGGGTTTCTCCTGGAATATGGGATGCCCTCTGATCGCCGCGTCACAGAAACAGCTACCTCTTGGACATCGACACCAAGGGGATCCACACCTCAGTCGCGCTGAAAGCAGGGCCGCGGGTGGGCCCAGGGCTGACACAAACTAAATCTGAGCTCGGCACTGAGGACAAACCTTGGCACTTTGCCACGGGCATTGGAGAAGGGATGGCTATATCCAACAACCTTGAAAAAGATAGAGCAGCTGTTTAATTTGCACCAAATTTATGATTTTATTGGGTTTAGCGTAATTAGTGCGTAAGCAAAAGGGGGATTGTTCCAACACATACTTGATGCAAATCTAAATGTCCAAAATGGGGCTTTATCGATACTCGCTGTGGTTCTCAACCATCAACGATGCCTGCCAAGGCACCTCCAATTTCCCCGAAACGATTCGACTTCGACCTTGGGAGGTTGGAAAAGGAGGGTGTTGGCTCCACTGTTCAAGTGGCTGAAGCCTTCCGACCATCATTCAGTATGAAACCATCATTCAACAACCATATCATTCCCTATTGCGATGCTAACATATCAATGGCTATGTAAGGGGATATGCCCCCAAAATATGGCATTATATGGTACAGTACCTCCATTTTAGGATCCTGGAATTCCCATTGAACATATGCTAAGCATTCCTCAATAAGTATCAATGAGGTCTGCCAATCGCAACAAGGCACCTGAAAGAAGTGGCTGCTGTAGATTCGCCATGGCTCTCTGCGTCAGAAATTTCAAGTGGGCACACTTCATGTAAACAATCATTCTCACAGGGAGTTATCAAACAGCTATATATGAACCATATACTGATTATATATGCACCGCATATGAACCATATCAATTATATACTGTATGCACCAGTCATTAACCATCTATTGGCACTATATCAACTGTATTAATTTCCCATATGGGCCTTGGCCGGCCTATGTTTGGAAATGTCTGCAGAGATTTGGGCGATGCTAATGTCATCCTGGCAGAAACATAGACTGGTCATGATTTAATGGTGATTGAATGGTGATCGAATGGCCTTCGCATGGCATTAATGTAGCATGTTTGATTTAATGGCATGTAATGGAATGTTATGGTATTCAATGAAATTGATATGATTTACCCACTGGTAAATTAAAATAGCTATGGAAAGGCCCATGTAATCCCATCTGTTAATGATCTATCATGTTTATTAGACATGGTGTTCTTGGCTGTGTCAAATTACCAAGGGGCAAATGAATGGGAACCAATAGGAATGTAGTCATGTCGTTGCATCTAAATTCTAATATATATATATATGTATGTATATGTATATATATATACCCTCTATATATATACAATATATATATATATATATACTGAGTAAATTATAACGACCTCACTGTCCTCCCTCACTGGAATCATGATTAAGGGGAATCATCCTCTTAAATGGTCTTATTTCAGGTCAGCGAAATATCACTTTGGCCACGTTGATGCCAGAGGCCTGAAATATCTGAAACAACTGCTGTTTACAGTTTGGGAATGTCTGGGATCTATTCATTTTGGGTCCCGTATTGGGTTTCAGGAGTTTCTCAGATCAATCCCATTAATGTGATATGTGGTTTTGCCCAAGTTGTTCAGGTCAAATTTGGTTGGTTAACCCGGTCCATTCTGGCATGGAAAGCCAAACTCAACTTGCAACACTGGATTCACACTTATAAATTATAAAGCAATCACCAACCAATTGCGGTATATCATCTCGAGTCGAGTTGTGCAAAATGATAAAAACACATGTTGCGCTTCACACTCTGGATCCCACACTCCTGGGTTACCCAAAACTTTGAACTTGCCCCCTGCGTTTTGCGCCCGGGCCAATGTAGAATGAGGAGTTGGCACCGGTAAAGCAGATAGTCACTGGGCCGCAGTTGGCCGCTGAAACTGGAACTTATCTTTGTGGAAGAGCCACTCTTCAGTGATCATCATATTAAGCAAAAGCCAGAACTAGACATCATCAGTTTCTAGTTCACTATGGTCAACAGAACTGAGGTGTAGTTCTAGCCATGAAGGTCGCAAAAGTCTAGACTGATCAGCCAGGGAATGGGCTGCCAGTTTACATTGCCGATGTCTCAGAAGAGCAGGGGTTAGCTACGCGTTCTGAGGTGGATTGGTTGTCAAAGGATACAAATTGCTGTGTTTTTCACGTGCGGTTGCGAAGATTTTTCAAAACATTACAATACACATACAGATTCATGTAGACTGACTTATGTTGTATATATGTATAAATACAATCAACGGAACTGGAACAACAACTCATATTTACACACTGGTGCACACCAGAACTAATTTTTGTATCATCTTTATAGCTAGACATGCCTACTTGCAAGCCTACAACCTGCAAGTCCACCCCAAACCCTGATCGAGTTTTTTTTTCCCCACCGGGAACGGCGGCAGGCATTGGAAAGCATTGCGCGTCGAAAACATTGGAAACTTCATGAAACTGATGATGCCAGCGCCAAATCCACATCACCGGGATGATACCCCTATAACTGTAGTGTGGCCGTGCGCAAATCACTGGTGTCAAAGAAAGCTCGCAGAAATTTGGGATCTGATCAGTTGTCGCCCAGTTTGTTGCATGTCTTACCCTCTGGTAAACATACAAAAAGCTATTGAACATGGCCCAGTCGAAATAGTGAGTTTTCCCATTCAAAATGGTGGATCTTTCCGTAGTTTTTTGTGAACGTTTACCATCTAAAATTCCATGAAAAATCATTGTAAATTCCATTAATATACCATTGTTAGTTTACCATGTCGGGTACAATATACCATTGTTATATACATGAATGGGACTGTTGATAACAGTCGATCAACCGTCATTGTTGAAAGCGGCTCCATCCCATCGATGTCCGTGGCTTTGCGTGGCCGCCCGTGGGGCCCACGTGGCCCGGCGGCGCTCAAATGTATGTCCTCGTCCACCGCCTGCCATTGGATCATGGGGGGCCTCCTATCACACGCTACAAATATCATCCCTGAGTCAGACATAAGTCCGGGAGCGGGACTTATAAAAAGCCAACCTCCAAAAACATTTTAACAAAAACAAGTTGGAAACCTGGACTCCAAAAATCAAATGCTGGGAAACCATTACACCATCTTGGAAATAACTGTCGAACTTTTTAGGGACCCCCATATGCAACAACTGGCAGACTGATTCGGACAGGAATTTAATTTCATGTGTGGGTGCAATTACAAAGCCATGTTGGTCGAGAGAAAAAAAACGTTTCTTTTTTCATACCAATGTTACAAAATACATCAAAATACCCTCCCAACATGTTATTCCCATTGCAATAGCCTCCTGGCCATAGCCTCCTGGCATACAAAATGACTAAATTCAGCAATCTGGGCCATGAATTTTCCATACCACCCATCAAGCATAGGACAGTCGGCGCCGGAGAGGCGACTCACTTTTGTTGAGTCATCTGCTGTGTAACGCTTCATGTTTAAAAAACAACGATTTGTTGCAATTGAGTGAAAAATCCCTCCAATTCAATGACCATGTTTCGCTGAAACATGTTTGCTGCTATAAATTTGCTGAATGTATTCTAAAACATCATTCCCGTTGGGATTGTATACCCATTCCGACAAACCTCACCCAACAGGGTGGTGCCCCAGTCATGGTTCTTGCTTTTAAACCACTAACTTGTTCGATAGGTCTACCATAAATCAAACAGTGAAATAAAAACTATACTTATCTCAACCAACTTGACGTAAATCAACATCAACCAACATCAATCCCCACAATCAATTTTTGTCTGGGTTAATTCACATCAGAAATCAACAATAATCAACATCAACATTCATCAACATTCATCAAGCATCAATCCCTATAGATCTTTCTTGGTTACCCTCTGGTAAACAAACAGTTTGCTATTGAAAATGGCCCAGTCGAAATAGTGGATTTGTTACCCATTAATAGCATGCTGATGTTCCATAGGCTAAACCATAGAAATAGTTGATTTACCCATTCAAAATGCTGATTTTCCCATGAGTTTTTTGTATGTTTACCAGGTCGGCGAGTTCCGAGAAAGTTCAATTCCCCAAATCCCGAGCGAAAAACATCACCAGCACATCACCAGCCCGGCCTTTTCCGGAACATGTCGAAGGGCCCGGGCACGGCCACCCAGGTCGAGGTGTTCCAAGCGATGCCGTACTGCCAGCCGTCTTCATCACCTACAGGTTGGAAGTGGTGGGGATACCTCAAGATATACCCTTAAACAAAGGATATTCTAATAATAATAATACCCCCCCCCAAAAAAAAATGGATAGATTTTAACCAACAAATGATGGTTTTATAATAGAGTTTCCATTTTCCATGGGCTTTTACATGATTTAACAAACAAAAATGGGACTTTTACATGAAATTTCATGGGGATTTAGAGTTGATAAGAGTTAAATTACGTTGTAACTTGGTGTTGAACAATGAACAAATTGGTTTATGATAGCTATAAGTGTAGTTGGATGGCTCAAAACAACTCATAACTGAGGGGGCCACAGTGTAGTAATCTAACAGTTTGCTGAGGTATAGATGGCATACCAACTCTATTTAACTCCCAACTTTCAACTGTTGTTGTTGTTGTTGTTGTGGTTGTGTCGTTGCTGTTGTTTTCCACATCGAATTTTCGGCCATCAAACCACCGGAGTTGTGGGGTCAATCTTTGCCACGGGGAAAAAGACACAGAGTGGTTCATAGTGCACGCACAAATACAAATACATATACAGCATATACATACGCATACACATGTACATATTATATATATATATGTGTATGTTACAGTAATATTTATATATACATATATATATATATCCCCCCTTTAAGGGGGGGGGTGGGGGGGTGGTAAAAACTGAAATATTTCAAAAAGGGGGGGTGTCCCCCCCGCCCCACACCTAGAAAATATCTCAGCTAAAAAAATCTGGTTTATAATGGTCTCTCCAGGGCCTGGTTGAATGCATGCATGTATGTATATATGTATGTACGTACGTCGAAAATGAAAGGGTGTGCAATACCATCTCTGGGCTAAAATGTGGCATCCAAAGGACCCCCCCCACTTCTTTTGGAACCCCAAAAAACATGTGGGGGGGGGGTATATTTCATGTGGTCAGGTGAAATATTTCTGAGAAATGTCTTGTCCTACCCCTCCCCAAATATTCCAGGGTTAAAGGGGGGGATATATATATATATACATATATATATATATATGTATACATTATACACATTAAGTAAGATAAGCTCAGCTAGGAAACAACATATGCATCTTATAGCAAAAAGATCCAAAAGTACCATCTGGTTATTTAACATAGCTGATAGCTATGGAAAATCACCATTTTATAGCTAGGTAAACCATCTATTTCTATGGGCCATCAACAAACCATGGCTATGTTGGTCATAACCAGAGGGTAGCCAACCAAGACTTACCCTCTGATAAACTAACATAACTATGGAAAATCACAATTTTTAATGGGAAAACTCACTATCAATCACCATTTTTAATAGCTATGTTAGTCATAACCAGAGGGTACCTAGAAAATGCAGGTAGTTCCACCTTGACTTCGGTCGATGTGCCAAGGCGAGTACCTCGGGACCCATGGGACCAATAACTGGAGAACTGGTGATGCAGATTGAACCAGGATTTAACAGTCAACAAATGTCACATTTTATCACAGCTATGTTAGATTGACATGATTTTATGGAATATGATTGCTGACCCCATAATTGCCATAGGCGTTAGATATTTAGATAATATAGACCCATATTATTGTAACCAAAAAACGCATGATTTTGTTTTACATGTTTTTACATCCGATATAAAATCAACTTGAATTCGCAGACCCTGGTTGCCCTGGTTGATAAGATGAAGGTGGAACATCTCCCATTTCGCTGAATTTCTGTCGGGGAAATCGTCACCGGAAACATAGTTTTCCCATGAAATACGGGGGTTCTGCATTGTAGATGACTTTGTACATCTTCGTGTTGTCTCTGATTTTTCCTCATGCCAGGTTAGATTTTCCACAGAATATGGATGAAACAATGTGATGCATGCATCCCCCATATTCAATATTTTCAGGTCATCGGATGTGATCATCGCAATTCTTGGGATAGAATACCAGGGAATACCAACACATGTAGAACCACGAGCCAAGTCATTTGTTCATGTGTTCTGCCCGTCATGGATGAATTAAATAACCCGGAAATATCTGGGTCATCTTTCGTCAGGGTACCAGGTGAATGTGGCCTGAACACCTACGTGTTCAGTTGCTTACTCAGGCCTGTTCATAACAAACCTTGTACCCTTGGATACTTGGTGTTGTTGTTGGGGCTAAATGCATCAGCATCTTCAACAACACAAGCTCGAACACCGATAGATGAATTTTCCTGCAAGATTTCCTGTGAACAATGGACTGTCCACCCCGGTTCATGCGAGCTTTTGTAGATAACGATAAACCATTATATAGTGATGTTTGCATCGAGAAAAGTCCAATATCACATTCTGCGGCCCTTTCCTGATGGTTTTCCTTACATTGGTTTGTTTTTGGTGGGAACAACCACTTTCGTTGGATGGGAACAACAACCACTTTCGTTGGATGGGAACAACAACCCTCAAAAAGTGGTTGTTGTTCCCATCCCAAAATCAACCCAGCTGCGGCTGGTAGAGGCTTTTGTCCAGCTCCACGGGTGGGATGCGCCTGACTGATCAACGGGAGATCTCAAGGATCCAATTTATGGAGGTACGTTAGTACCATATTTTTGGCCATATTTTGGGGGTATATCCCCTGAAATTTAGGCCTGAATTTTAGGCCTTATATATGGTAGGTAGCTCCAATTTGGGTTCCTGGAATGGCCATTGAGCTGATGCGAAACCTCTGGGGTTGACTAAGTTGACTATGGCACCGCAACAATCTTTGGTAGTTCAGAAAGAATTCATCTTTTGCTGGTGATGGCTAGTTTCAGCAAACAACTAAAGGATTGAACTACCCATCCACGGTTGGGGATGATGGGAAACACAAAATCATTTTAGCAAGCTATTGTCTCCAAGAGTGCTGGTCATCAAGCTATTGTTTCTTGGGAGGAAAAAAATAATTTAATCATTATATTATATTTAAAAAAAACGCTTGTTTATGGGTTGTTGGAAAGCTGGGTCTTGAAACTTCAAAGAACTAACCATTTGATACATATTGAAGATGTGGGAAAACCAAATGTAATAAACCATCCGCAATGTGGGTATATATGTTGATAAATCAACCAAATAGTAGACAAACACATGGTGAAACATCATTGGTGTTAATCTCTTTGTATTGAATAGTTGCCATACATCAAGAATCTCTGACGGTTGGTGATGTCTTCATGTGTCATGAGGTTTGTGTTGTATACTCGAATTACGTGTTTTCAAATCACCTGATTTACAGTTGAAATTCAATCAATCCACATCTTCGCATGGGAAACACAAAAAAACTGTGACCAATGATATGCGTGGTTGCAACCCAATTGCTCACTGGTAAACAAACAAATGATATATTGGCGCTTAAAAATCCAGTGTTGCAGTGGTGAACATCCAATTGTGACCCAAAATGACTGGACTGTCTCAAAGATAAATGATATGGGACAAATATTATATATATATGTCACTAACCCAATTTACCCATTGGAATTATATAATTTACGCAATCATCATAATCCAGCTGTTTTTTGTTGCAGAGGCAAAAACAATGGTACAATGCTACCCTCTGGTAATCAAACATGACCACCAAAATATCCTGCCAGTGATTGATTATTTTCCCATTTCCCGCCCACTTAGTTCGGAGATTACCCATGTTTGATACCCATTTGTACCTATATATCCTATATCATATCCCCCATGATTTCTCATATTTTCCATATCTTTCAGGGTTAAAACATGATCAAAAAACATCTTTTGTCCATGGTTTCCACATGTAAGTGGCACATTTCCCATATGTTCCATATCTAACTCATGTTTTTTTCTCACGGTGTAATTCCCAGTGGAAAAGCCCATGGTTTCCACGAAAAGTGAACCTGTTCACCGCCAGCTGTTTGTCGCCGGGGATGAGATGTGGATGACGACAGCCACTGGAGTCCAGCCACCTGCCGTAAGGCCGGCGTAAGGCCTGCGTCAACTTAGCGCCTCAGCTTAGAGGATAGATATAGAACCATGGTTAGATGGTTCGATATATGCTTAGATATATGGTTAGTCAGATGGATCGTATATTCTTATATACTCTTATCTATCTAAGCATCTAACTAAGTAACTAACTGACTAACTGACTGACTAAGTGACTAATTGACTAACTAAGAAACTAACTGACTAATTAACTCAGCAACTAACTAACTAGGTAACTAACCAACTAACTAATTTATCATAATATATCTATCTACATCTATCTACCTAATCTGTATCTAATCTAGTCTATCGTTCCATGCTGAACTCATTTGTAAGCTTGTTTGCTCACAACCCCTTTAGCATCATTTAGCTCATCTGATCAAAGAAGGGAATCATCCAAGGGACAAAAAACAGGGTTGCTGTGGATAGTACATGATGTATCCACGTAAATTAGAACGCTTAGAATACTGAAATCGACAAAAACACACAGCAGGAAGGCACAGGAAGTCCCCATCAGTGGTTACTCGTTCGCAACGCCATCCAAATTCACACCTTTCACCGCTGCAGGCACCATTTTCTTCCGCCATCATCGGTGCCCTCGGTATCCCTCGGTGGCTCTGCGTTCCGAAAGCGTTCCGCTTCCGCCCCGCAGAGGCCGGAGCCCACACGGTACTCCGCCGGCGCGCGTTTGCGGATCAGCTCTGTCCAGCGGTCGCAATCCAAATGCAAAAACTGCCTGCAGGGACTCAGGGAACACTGCACGAAATATTGGCGAACTTGAACTCAGATTAGATTGTTTATGTGTTTTACGCATTTGAAAAGATCACTTGGGATGATGTTGATATGTGCATATATATATAATATGTATATATGGCTAGAGTTGCTTTGAATGTATTGAAAGGTTAGGATATGTTGATTTATATTGTTAAAGTTCGGCACAACTTACCTGATATTTTCGGGGCAAGTGATGAACATCGGAAAATCATCACACTGGATGTAGCTGGTGATCCTAACCCTGGGTATAATAAGCCCCCAGCAGCATGTTATTCCAAATCAAACTGGGGTATAATCATGTATAATCCCCATACTAAGCATATACTAAGTATATACTAAGCATTTACTTGGTGGAATGATGCTCCAAGATATTGGAATGCATTCAACCTGGCACATTCTGTGTGATCCTTGCCCTTTGCTTCTCAGAACTTCTTTGAAGAAACATTTTGCTGGACACCCCTCTTCTTTGGGGCTACCATCTAGTAATCTAACATAGCAGATCATAGCAGCTATGAAAAGTCACCATGTCTAATCGATAGGAAAACCATGGAACTAAATGGGTCATTGCCCGCGGCTATGTTAAACTATCAAAAGGTTGAAAGGATTGATTTGTAGCCTCTCGTAATATAACACGGCTTGGTGCAGAACCTCCTCGCTATAGTTCGATGAATTTCCCGGCGGAATAACCCCAATTTCGTTCGGGGATTTTCCAGCTTGCGATTTTTGAGACCCATGTGTACCCAGTATGAATCCCCATGGGAAATCCCTGATTTCCCCACATTTCCCACATGTTTCACGGTCAAATGATGGTTATACCGTTATACCTGCTTTATATGAAGGATGTAGAATAAATAAATAGCCCTCCTTATTAAAAAAAAAAAAACAGCCATCCTTATATAAATATATGGTATTTTCCTGATCCGAATCCATTGACTCTTTGAGTATTGGCCAAGAGACTGGGTGAAACTGCGGTTGAAACTGCTCTCGGATCGATTCATGATCCGGGCCAGAACCTAGGTGAGGAAACTTAAATAACATCAAATAACGCATTATCCATACTAATCGATGCCTAAATGTTATATTTCTGGACCATATATGGAACATTATCATTTATAACGCATTTAAATAACATCATGGTGAGAAATTTAATGATGCCTACCATTATAATGTGGAACATATACGGAAGTTTCAATAGGAATATCATCCACAAAATTCCACAAATGGCTGTGGTTTAATGGGAATGTCAGGCCCAGGGAGGTTCATCCTGGGGGTTATACCACAATGATAATGACTTGCGATCATCAGGGTGATTTTTTTTCCAGCTACCAAGTGGAATGATCCTCAAGTAGGGAAGTGCCTGAGATAAGGAATATCCGGCAGTACCTCCATCTTAGGTACCCGAATGGGCCATTGATGCAGGCATAGAAGGGGCAATTTCAAGATGCTCAGCACTTTTCCAGGGAACAATGGGTGTAGAATAGTTTTTGTTTTTTTTTGCCTCAGGTTTTGGATTTTTTTTGGGCTTTCTTTCCCGGTACCATTTGCCTTGTATTTGGCCATGTTTGCCTTCCATTTTGCATGGTATTTGTCACATTTTGGCATTTCAACCTCTCATTTGCATGGTATTTGCTACATTTTGGTGCTTCAAACGTTCATGTGGGTCTCTTGAGGGTTCTTTAAGCTTTCACTTAGGGTCTCATTTAAGGTTTCATTTGGGGTTTCATTTGGGGTTTTATTTAGGGCTTCATCTTGGGTTTCATTTAGGGTTTCTTTACGGTTTCATTTAGGGTCTCTGCCGGGTTCGGGTTTCTTTAGAGTTTCATTTAGGGTTTTTTACCGGTTTTCTCTTATCAGGATTTCTTATCAGGAGTTCTAAACGTTCAAATGGGTTTCTTTTGGGCTTCTTTAGGGTTTCATTTAGGGTTTCTTTAGCGTTTCTTTAGGGTTTCGTTTAGGGTTTCATTTAGGGTTTCATTAAGGGTTTCATTTAGTGTTTATTTAGGGTTTCAGTTTGGGTTTGATTTAGGGTCTCATTTAAGGCTTCTTTAGGGTTTCATTTAGGGTTTCTTTAGGATTTCATTTAAGCTTTCTTTAGGGTTTCATTCCAGGGTTTCTTATCAGGATTTCTTTTCACGATTTCTAAACGTTCAAGTAGGTTCCTTTAGGGTTTCATTTGTGGTTTCTTTAGGGTTTCATTTATGTTTTTTTTAGGATTAATTTATGGTTTCTTTAGGGTTCATTTATGGTTTCTTTAGGGTTCATTTAGGGTTTCATGTAGGGTTTCTTATCAGGATTTCTTTAGGGTTTCTTTGGGTTTCACACAGAAGTACAAAAGCAGAGAAACAGGGAAAACAGAGAAGCAGAAAAGCAAAAAAACAGAGAAACAGGAAAGCATAGAACCAGGAACCCCAAAAACAATTCCAAAACCTGCCGCGAAAAAAAAAAAAAATAAATAAATAGCCCTCCGGGAACAATGGGGCAACTTCAAGGTGCTTAGCACTTTTTCCAGGGAACAATGATACTCATGTTCACATCATGCATATGTAAAAGCCACAGAATTTTTCCCTTCCCCCATTCATGTTCAACATCCCCTTATAAACCCATGGTAAACAGTAGGGGATTTACACATCTTCAGAACCATGGGCCGGGGGATATGGGACATAAAACAGCAGGGGTACCTTTTAGGTGGATTGCAATGGACCCATGCCATCGAGATTTGCATGAAGTAAACTCAGCAATTTTTACGCCGTACGTTTGGACGTTTGGCAATGTAGAGTGCTATAATTCACAATACCCCCTAAAATCCCCTAAACATATATATATATATATATATATATATCGGGATTGTAGATTACTTATATAGGGTTTACCACATTAATCAACATGTGTTAAACCACTACTTGTTCCCTTTATTTTTAAAAGCCGTATGAGCCCCGCAGCCGTATGAACGCGTCCATCAAAGTAGACTTTGTCCAAAACTGCGAGGTCACAGTGGTCCTTGGCCACGGGCACTACATGACAGGAGGTACATCGCAAGCCTGCGACGCGACAGTCCTGCGGCAATAGACGAAGAAATCACCGGCAAATGGATTGGTAGCAAAAAAGGGAACATGAAACCATGGTTTTGTCCCCAAATATTCTACATATATATATATATCTATCTATCTATCTATCTATCTCTCTCTCTCTCTGATCTATAATATATATATATCACATATTTATATATATATACAATATGGGTTTGCATTTTCCCCGAAACCAAATTTGGATAACTTTGGGAAGTGGGTCATTTGGGTATGGGTCAATACTATGAACCCCCCCAAAAGAAAATTTAATGCTAAGCATAACAAGTGGGCCCACTAGTGATCAAATCACCATTCTTCCTACTTGGATGAGTGGCACAGGTTGTTCAGTTCTGTGCAGGGTCAGTTTGAGAATAATTGGAATATAATCCATGAAATGGAGGCCTACAAAGGGTCGTAATCAAGTTGGATACAAGATCAGTGGCAGATGTTGCCAGCTTTGTTGGAGATGTTGCTTTGGTGTTCTCGACTTTAATGATTACTGATAACAGACTGGGCTAGTAACCGGCTAGTAAAGGGGGGAACGGTGAACACTTAACAACACTACCAAACAATGCCTGTCACTTACCAACAGTATCAGGCAACCCCTGTCCTTCGAAGCAAGTTGCAGTCCATACCCTCCTGCTGACATTGCCACTCCTTTGTCTGCAGCTTTGTTCACAGCACCACTTCACGACAAAACAATCATGCAAGTAAACACATTCACCATTGAATACAATGTTGTTATGAGGTTACTTTCGGGTTTGCCACATCGAACACCCACTACATTGATCTACGTTGTAGTTGTGTTGGATGCACACACCCCCCCAAAAAAAATGTATGGGTTCCCGACGTTTCAGTCTGACAAGCTCCCTTGATATTCCAGATCAGTTCCAAACAATTTGCCAGCCTCACTCACTTATAGGGCAGTTTTGGGGGCCATCATGATCCGTCCTGTATTTTCATGACTTACCGGAACAGTCCACTTCGAAACAGGACAAAGCACTTAACAATGGGTGAAATAGTGTGCTTCACATATATATATATATATATATATATATACATATTATGCATATACATTTACTCATTCACTGAATTTAGCGTGTGTATGACATACATACCAACATTATATACATATACATTTACATTAAAAAAATATCACATATATATATAATATACTATATAGTATAATATATGTATATTATATGTATATTATATATATAAACACCGCATGTACCCCCTGGTAAACTAACATAACTATGGAAAATCACAATTTTTCATGGGAAAATTCACTATTTCTATGGGCCATTTTCCATAGCTTTTTGTATGTTTACCAGAGGGTATTCCATGTCGTGTTTGAACCATTGACACACCGCCCAGGCGGGGCGGTAAGTCCAGTCTAAGTCTCTGGAAAGGTTAAAGCTCCACATGGGCGGCACATCCTTCAAGTAAATCGCCTCAGGAGATTGACTTAAAAACTCACGTCAAGTCGAAATCGTTTTGGCTGGCAACCCCCAATAAAGAAAGAACTAGCATCACATATATATATATGGTTGGTGGTTAAAAAGAACATCTTGAAACATATGAGTTCGTCAATGGGAACGATTATCCCATATATTATCCATTCTGGAAAATAAAATATGTTTGAAACCACTATCCATATATATATATATATCATACGTTTATTAGGTTATATAAATTATATAAACGTTAATATAATCATCATCGTCACTATTCCAGTATGATTTCACTGCTCTATATTTTTTCCGGGGTGCTATGGGTCACTAATTACATCACAATTACTTGACAATGCCCGAAGCAGCCGACAAGAATGAACACAAGGGTCCAATTCCCAAAAGATGTAGAACCCGCAAGTTACCTTCTTCCGTGGGTAGAACCGACTGACACCTATATCCCATAGGATCCATGTATGGCATATATGCTAACATTTGGGGTATATTGATGGTAAATGTTACCATATATAGCATACATGGATCCTATGGATACTATATATCTGAAACAAGGACCACAAGACCATCCCGCTCACAGATACTCCAGCGGCAACAAACCTTGCCTTCCTCCCTCAGCCAAAAAAAACATGTACACGGTCTGCATTTATATAATTACAATAACCACATAAGAGACCAAATCAACCTACTTTTCATGGACTCCTATCCCTATTTGACTTAGTTCAATCATCATGAAATTCTCTTGTTGAACTCGCCCTATTCATGAGTTGTTGCACACCCTACGTTTGACTGACGTTCTAGTAGCAACTCCTTCCCCCAAAAGATCTAAGGTCGCATGAAAAAAAACATAACTCACCTTGTGCATCCCTATTTTCCCAGCTTGGATGTGCATCCCAGTTAGGATCCGTGGTTTATAATCCATATGTAACCCATATTTCATCCCAGATATAAGTGGGAATATTCCATATATAACTGGGGGTATAATCCATTTACCTAGTGGGATGCACCTATCAATTTCATGCAATTTTTGATATATTTGGAAGTTTCAAATAATGTCAACCCCGGATTAATAAACCATGGTTTATTAATTATAGGGGGTATTCCCCCCAATAGTCATGATTTGATACTTTGTTATGGTACCCTCCCAATTAAACAGCCGTTTGGGGTTTATTAATCCGGGGTTGAGATTACGCGAGGTACCCCATTTCTTCATCCAAGTCATTGATCCCAGCCACATCGGGTCTCACCTTGATGAAAGCCTCATAAAAGCGTCCATGCTCCAGCTGAAAGCTGTCCAAGACGTAGTCTAAGGCCACGTCCAAACGACGACATTGCGAGAAGCTGCCTTCAACAAACATCTGATGGCTATATGATAGCTATATGTATGTATACTGTATATGTATATATTATCTGGGAAAATTATAATATTTCACTAACCTGAATTGTTGGGCCCATTTGGAGATGATTTCCCTCAAATAAACCATGATTTCCAGTGAGGGCGAACGGTGAGGTCGTTATAATTTACCCAGATATGGGGAATGTCATCAATAGCTATATGTATGTATACTGTGTGGTATATGATAGCTATATTATGGCTATATGATAGCTATTAGTATATATTATGTGTGGTTTTTCTCTGGCTTTTGTTTGGGATATATTCGATGTATTACCATAGAATCTATCATCGGGAGATCGTGGGATTTCACCATGGGGGTGTTGGCTTGGTGGCTATGACTGTGCAGCAAAACATAAGGATCAAGCAACATAAATGGTGATTTTACGTAAATAAATAGAAGATAATAGAAGATAATAGAAGTATAGGAACAACAAAAAAGTGATTGAAGAATGGAATGAACCATGTTTTTAAGGGGCTAAACAGCCATCGAATATATGGAGATGTAATCCATAAATCTGCAAGAAGGCCCCCCAAAAAAACGATCATTGATTCGGTGGAACCAACTAGGCTACTTGTTGGATTTAAACATGGGCATTTCCTTGTCCTTGTCCGACCGTTTTTGTTGCTATTGTTGGATGGGGCTACAAACAGTCAGCCGGTTGACCGGTTGACCTTTAGATCTTGTGATATGGCAGCACCGCCGGTTGACCTTAGCCTATCCCTCCACAATATGGCCTCATGTGATATGGCACACAGTTGTGACCCCCTCAACAGGTACAAATGGGATGAAATAACTCCTGTAAGTGAGTTTATATATCATGAAAGAAGCCAGTTGTAACTGTTAAAGGGCCAAAACTGCAATAAATCCTATACATCCATTTCGGGTGCTGGGAATGTTTTTTGGTGCAATTTCCAAGTGCCTTGACTGAAAGACCGCCTGCATGTGGACCTTGCGTAGGTTTGATGTGGACTTTCAGTACAGGCACGTGGGAATAGCACAAAAAATCATTCCCAGCACCACAAATGGATGTACATGATTTGTTGCAGTCATGGCCCTTTAACAGTTGTAGTTGGCTTATTCCATGACATATATAATCAGTTAAATTACATGGATGCCTCTCCCTTCTCATTACATGGATGCCTCTCCCTTCTCACAATGCTGCTTTCCCATGTCCATGTTGGAGTACCAAAAGGATCCAAAAGGTACAATGGAGCTGGGGTCAAACACGTTTTTCCATATTTTTTCAATAACTGGACCGTTACGAAATGCCCACGAATGGCCGCGAACTCAAGTGAAAGACATTGGAAAATGCTGTAGAAACGAAGATATGCAGGCCATACATCGACGTCAAACTCCCTTCTTCAGACAAAAAAATGCCTGAGCGACTACTAATTGAACCGGCTTTAGCATTGAATCTGGCAATCTCAAAATCAAATAATTGTCAATAGTGTATTGTGGTCATCAAACCTTGACATCTAGAACAGTTTGTCTAGTTCATCACCTTAACAGTATAAGTATAAGTCATTTTGTTACACCGACAGAGTGCAGCCAATGGTGCGCGCGGAACGCATGGAGCAGTTCCCGGGTTGCGGATAGACAGCTGGCATGAAGTTGACGTAGACGGGATTCAGAAGTTCAATGCATGGTTGCATCATCTGCTTGACGTACCTTTCAATGGCCATTTCAGGAACCTAAATTGGAGGTACCGACCATATATAAGGCCTATTTTTTTGGCCTATGTAAAGGAATATCCCCACAACATATAGCCAAAAATATGGTACTAACGTACCTCCGTTTTAGGATCCTGAAGATCTCCCATTGAACCTTGGGAGGTTAGAAACCCAAACGCACCTCGGCAGTTGAAAAACATTGAAAAACCATCCGGTTAACCATCCGATTGCACTTGGTGCCCCCGCCAGTTATAAGTTGGGTTAGATTCGCCCCAGTAACTAGTTCGTTATTTGCGTACCATAAACATCCATAAACCATATAGTGAAATTGGAGTTATGTGAACCCCAACTTAGCGTTCACGAACGGGGGCCTCACATTGTATGTAAGCCCCAACGTAAGGGGTAATTTTTTCGAGGTACCTGAAGGATGGATGATGTGAATTTGGATTCGGCATGGATTCGGCTGCCAATCTTTATCGGGTCTGCATCCCAGTTAGGAACTACTAAAAACCATATAACCCAGTGATATTTGATATACGATGATATACCGCACTTATAAGTATATAACATAGTATACTATCTTAACTATCAGTCAGATATATGATATATTCCAGTTATGAGTGGGACGCAAGTAGGACCCTGAAAAAAAAAATCCAAGTTGGCACCAAGAAGCCGATGCGGCAACCCTCCACCAACCTTCGCATCCGTCTCCACAAGCGACAAAAAGAGAAAGACCCCAAACAAAAAATCATGGGAACATGGGTCATGCCAGCCATGCCACCCTGGTTTATGGCCTTATGGACGTGAAAGTCCCAAATATAGGAATATATATATATATATATGTAGGAATAGGAATATATATATATATATACATATATAGATATACATATATATATATATATACATTACGTGAATGAAAAAAAGGTTTTGATCCATCCCCACATGAAAGGACCTTGAGAAAAAATAAGAAAAATCCCACATACCCACAGAGCATGCCCCTCCACTTGAAGAGAGCATCGAAAGGATTCCTTTCACTTGGGGTATGCTCCAAAGTATGTTCCATTCATCTTAGAAAACCTATTTTTGGCCAAAGAACTTGGACATAGCCCCCGGCAATCAAACATAGCGTGCTGGAAAAGCCATCATTTAGTTTGATGATCTTTCCATTAAAACCTCCATTTATTTCATGGAATTTCACATGCCATGTGTAAATACCGGAGGGCCCTGACAGGCCACATCATTTGCATCTTGACACAGGTTTAGTTCGCAGAACTCTGCGACTCTGCGGCACACCCAAAAAACTCCTTCTTAGCCACAGTTGTTGTTAAATGCTACCCTCTGGTGAACTAACATAGCAATGGAAAATCATCATTGTTAATGGGAAAATCCACTATAAATGGCCATTTTCAATTGCTATGTTAGTTCACCAGAGGGTATGTATATAGTTGCATGTCAAAACACATGCATGCAAAATACAGTATGACATATATGACACATGGTTTCCTAATAATGTGTTCACCACGTTATCAGTCATTAAGAAAATGCATCGGCTTGCTGGAAAATCCCCAAATTTGATCCATGATTTGTCTAAAACTTTGCGAGCTAAGAAATCCGAATTGGACTGCGCTCACCATATTTTATCCATTCCCATAGGATCCATGGTGCTAGTGTATATGCTAACATTTGGGGTATATTGATGGTAAATGTTACCATATATATATATAGCATACATGGATCCTATGGGATTTGTAGACTGTAGATGATTATCCCACATTTTTCTATTACGGGTTTGGATGTTCCATTTTTTGTAGATACTTTGCTCATCTTTTCTTCCCTCAGGAACCTCACACAATGTGCTGCCCCTCAGTCATGTGTGTTTCAACCAACATGTTTCAACCAAATCTTGGCTAACTGGGGCATCATCTTGATAAAATCCCATGAAATCACCATTGTCTTTCTTCAAATTCCATGAGCATCCCATTAAACCACGTTTTTTGTATCTTCAGTTCAATTGATAGATGATGTTCCATGATTTTCCCACTGAAATGCCAATTTTCCCTCGGATTTCCCAAGCGGATTTCCCACGCCCTTCGGCGGCTCCGCCTCCACTTTCCACTGCGGAGGCTGGTCCTGATCCTTGAGCAAAGCGTCGACTAACCTCATCTTGATATTCCTGCGGCTGGTTTTTGATGTGGCCTGCACCCCTGGCAGCCAGGGGTTACCACATGAAAAATGATGCTGAACCCCTCATGTTTTCCAAGTTTACTACTTTTCAATATGTTTGAGGCTTGCTATGCAGAGGGGGAGAGATAGAGAAAGATGATTTTAATATGATTATAAGATAACTGACATCTATAATATCACACATGTACATATATTTATACAGTACAGTTACCGATATAATCTGATACATCCTTGCTTGATCATCTAGTTCTGGGCATTGGAACATGAACACCATCCAACTGTTTAACCACCGAGGGCGGACTTCCCAGCGGAAATTGATGATCATCACCCATATTTAACATCATATTGGGCCCCATACAATCATCAAAGAAGAGGGCTTTTAAAGACCTTTAGCTGCACTGCGAAACATGCTGAGTCACATGCTGAAACTAGCACCAAGATTCTCACAAACCATCATCCAGGGAAGTGATCTGGCATGGCCCACGATCAACAAAGCTGCCAGCTTGATCTGTTGAGAAGGCTGTCCTTGGATCCGCTGATCGCTGGGGTACCCTGGTCACTTGGTCACCCAAGGTACCAAAATTGCTGATCAAATGGGAAAACCAACCATGAAATTTGGGGGACCAAAATGTTCAGAAACACCCCAACTGCTCAATTTCTTGGGAAATCAGAAAATCTGCAATTCAGTACTTCCAGATTTCCGGCAGCCTTCGATTGAGTGAGAGAGTTTTCCAACGTCCCCGTCCATCCCTTCGATCCCTTCGCAGCGAGGTCCATCCAGGACATCAGCAGGTTTCCGCTGACGACCAGGACTATGCAACAAAGTAGGAGATGTCTCCAGCTCATCACATCTAGCCTCTGGTTATGTCAAAATAGCTATTGAAAATGACCATTTATAGTGGATTTTCCCATTGAAAATGGTGATTTTCCATAGTTATGTTAAATTACCAGAGGGTAGCCACATCTAGCCTGCATCATGGCCATCATCGGTGATGAACTCCATCAACTGGAAGTTTTTTTTGCCGCTTAAATGGAGAATGCGGCTGTCCAAATGTGTGTGTTTTCTGAAGCATTGCGTAGCCATTTTTCTGCCAACATGATGTACAAGTCTACACAATGAGATCAATAAGGTCGACCTCCAATTTTCATAGCCCAATCCACTGGTTGAGCCTTGATTCAACCACGAGATTTTCCCATGAATCCAAAATTATATGTTGCATGTATGTCACAAAAATGCCAACATGCTCCTAGTTTTTCCCAATCTCAGTGAATAATTAAATATGCCAGGCCATCCATGAAATCGCTTTGAAATACATATCAATATCGCAGAATGTTCCACTCTAAAGCTTGAACCTCTCAAATTGACTGCAAGCAAGGCCGTGCCGTGGTGAAGTGCATCTTGAAGTGCGGACGGGTTGCCCTTCTGGAACATTCGTTCTGTGAAATATCATATCCCATAGGATCCATGGTGCTGGTATATATATGCTAACATTTGGGGTATATTGATGGTAAATGTTACCATATATATCCATATATAGCATACATGGATCCTATGGGCATCAATTTATATAGAATCTATATGATCTTCGCGGCTTTCATTTCAGTATGTTACAGGTTTCCAGTGATTTTTTGATTTCCACTTGTGTCCTATACAACAATGATCTTAAATTTTCATCCATCGCGCCCATCTGCACCAATGCCTCCAACTGGTCTCGGTTTCAATCATGGAGCCCCAGTTAGGTGTCTTCCATTCTTTGGACACCTCGCAGTCGAGTCTGAGTCGATTTCAGCTTGCTTGTTGTAAGCAAAAAAGGGAAACTTGATCCTGCTTCCTGCTAGAAACAAAAGAAACACCGTGACTTTACCAAAATTCATTTAGCCAGCCTTTTGACACTAACCAACATATACGCCAAAATATATACATGTATGAGCACAATGACATACTTTTGACACTACACAGATCACACATAACACATACCATCTGGTTATTTAACATGGCATGGAAAATCCCAAACATAAACGGAGGTTTCTAGCTGGAAAAAATATCTATTTCTATGGACCATCAACAAACCATGGCTATGTTAGTCATAACCAGAGGGTATATCCCATTGAAATCCCATTGAATCACTATAAATTCCACATTAAATCCCATTAAATCCCATTAAAATCCCATAAAATCCCTATAAAATCTCATTGAATCCCTATAAAATCCCATTGAATCCCTATAAAATCCCATTGGATCCGTATAAAATCCCATTGAATCCCTATAAAATCCCATTGAATCACTATAAAACCACATTGAATCCCTATAAAATCCCATTGAATCCCTATAAAATCACAGAGAATCCCATGGAATCCCTATAAAATCCCATTGAATCCCTATAAAATCCCATTGAATCCCTATAAAATCCCATTGAATCCCTATAAAATCCCATTGAATCCCTATAAAATCCCATTGAATCCCTATAAAATCCCATTGAATCCCTATAAAATCACATTGAATCCCTATAAAATCCCAGAGAATCCCTACAAAATCCCATGGAATCCCTATAAAATCACATTGAATCACTATAAATTCCAGATTAAATCCCTATAAAATCCCATTGAATCCCTATAAAATCCATTGAATCCCTATATCCCATTGAATCACCCAAATCCCTATAAAACATTGAATCCCTATAAAATCCCATTGAATCCCTATAAAAAATCCCTATAAAATCCCATTGAATCCCTATTAAAATCCCATTGAATCACTATAAAATCCCATTGAATCCCTATAAAATCCCATTGAATCCCTATAAAATCCCATTGAATCCCTATAAAATCCCATTGAATCCCTATAAAATCCATTGAATCCCTATAAAATCCCATTGAATCCCTATAAAATCCCATTGAATCCCTATAAAATCCCATTGAATCCCTATAAAATCCCATTGAATCCCTATAAAATCCCATTGAATCCCTATAAAATCCCATTGAATCCCTATAAAATCCCATTGAATCCCTATAAAACCCCATTGAATCCCTATAAAATCCCATTGAATCCCTATAAAATCCCATTGAATCCCTATAAAATCCCATTGAATCCCTATAAAATCCAATTGAATCCCTATAAAATCCCATTGAATCCCTATAAAATCCCATTGAATCCCTATAAAATCCCATTAAATTAGCCGTAGGGGGATGGTCATCCCATGAAAATCTCCATAGACACCGCACGTTCCATCCAGGCCGAAGCGGCCACGTTAAAGCTCTCGACTTCAAAGACCTCCAGGACTCGTTGACCGGCGCCTCCTGAACCCACTGACACACGTGCCGGGGAGATCAAAACCATAGGAAAACCATAGGAAAACCATAGGAAAATGGTGGTTTAATGGGATTTAATGGTATATACCCTCTGGTAAACTTACAAAAAACTATGGAAAATCAATGAAAATCATAGGATTTACAATGATTTATATAATGGAATTTTATAGTGATTCAATGGGATATTAATGGGATTTACCCTCTGGTAGACTGTCACATAACTGTGGAAAGATCCACCATTTTATAGCTGGGTAAATCCACTATTTCGACTGGGCCATTTTCAATAGCGAACTGTTAAATTACCAGAGGGTATGGCCAATCATTAGTTATAACTGCAATGGTTATATTTATAAATGGAATTATACATTCTATAAGTGGGGTTATAAGTACTTATAACTGGTAAAGGGCGACAAGTGAAGTTTATAGAGCATGATGGAAAATGAGGATATCAATTGGGAAGGAACAGGGATATAGTGGTGATATAATCTAATGGGTAAGGGGATAAAATCGATATACTGTAAAACAAACATAAGCAAACAGTACCACATGGGTGTCTATCCAAACATGAGGTAGACCCGCAAAATGCAAGTTCATTGATGGGCAACAACAGCAACAACAGCAGCAGCAGCAACAGCAACAACAACAACAACAACTGTTCAACTACTACTGCTACTGCTGCTACTACTACTACTACGACGACTACTACTACGACTACTACTACTACTATTATTACTACTATTGTTATTACTACTACTTCTTCTACTTTTACTTCTACTACTTCTACTACTGCTATTACTGCTCATAATAATGCTGCTGCTGCTGCTACTACTACTACTACTACTACTACTACTACTAGTCCTACTACTCCTACTACTCCTACTACTCCGAAGTCGTGGGAACAAAAACAGTGATTATTGGTAAATAATCCTGGTTAGGGGCCTTTACAACCCCAACTGTTCGTGATTTACCAACGTATGTTTTTTTATATATATTTTTTCTTTGGCACCTTTTATGACCATTTAATTTCCTCGCCTGATGAATTAATCCATCCCAAAACATTTGAGATCCTAAACCCAACTACGTGTTCAACCATGTAGATGTGAGGCGACAAATCTATCGCCAAACTATATGAAGTGTGTCCCAACCTTCCTTGTTGATCGCTTCCATGCCTGTTCTTGGCCAATTGGTTTAATTACTCTTATTTTACGTGAAATGCAATTTGTTGGCTAAACCCTGTTTCTTTCTTTAGGGTACCACCATTGTTTGTGGATTCTAAAACTCCAATACTTGGAAGTTATTGAAACATCCCTCCAATTCTTGTTGGTTAAACATGGTTAAACTGTTAAACCCCCAAAAAGGTCCAATCATCCAATCCCAACTTTAATCTGTTTGAGTCTTTAAATCACTTCAATCAAGTCCCGTTAAATGTGCATGGGTCAAGTTGCGTAAGTTGCTTGCCTTCCAATCCCTACATTCGAAGTTCGTTGGCAAATTGAGTATTTCCCAAGGAAAACCTCGAAGTTCGAGAAGTTCAATCCCAACTCTTAGCGGCTTAAAACATGCTTAAAACATGCTTAAAACATACTTAAAACATACTTAAAACCCTGAAATCATTCCAAAACCACCTGAAATCATCCCATAACCCCCTATTTGTTCCATGCCAAATCAAATTTCCCCGGAAATTCCCATCAGCTCCTGAGCTGTGCAGCATCACCTCCACACGGGCGTCCTGGAGCGCTATCCGCAGGTCGTCCCAGTTTGCCACACCTGGCGGATGGAAAAGAACCACGACCTGGGGAAAAACTGGCGGATGGAGTTTAGAATTACCATCCGGTAATCAGAGGGGTAGCTCAACCACCAACCAGATTAGGATGAACTGTCTGGTGAATTACGCTCTGGTAATGACTTACAGTTTGCGACATTGAAAATGACCTTTTATCGTGACTTTTCCCATCTCATTTTTTTTGGAGGGCTATCCTGGCAGAACTACCTGGGAAAAAAAATGCTCTTCATCCAGTTCTGAGGTCTTTCAAGGGAAGTTCAGTGAACAAAAATCAGAAGTTAAGCAACCAAAATGGCAGTGAATGAGCAACTGATCACTGGTTGGTGGTTTTAACCATCTGGAAATATTAGTCAATGGGAAGGATTATCCCATATATTATGGAAAATGAAAAATGATCCAAACCACCAACCAGTATAATGGTTAATATATAATTGTTCATGATTGTTAATTATCTAGTGGTTTATAATGGTTAATAATTGTTGATTAAACAATGTTAAACATAGTCTAACTTAGAGTGTGGAATAGTCATGGTAATATTATCAACTAATTTAATAGTGGCTGCATAATAGTGGTTCAACGTGGTTAATGATGGTTAAACAATCACAGATCTATACAATATTAGGTGGAAGTGATAAATTTGGAAGATTCAGGGTTATTTAATGGAATAAATCATGGGAATATCATTCACAAATACTGGGGATATATATATATGGGAATAGAGTGTGGAAAAGCAATAGGATCC